TGTTGGTTCATCACGCACTCCCATCTCTAGCCACAGATGATAGCCACAGAACGTTGCTTTTTCCTCTCTTTGTTTGTTGTCATGTGTACTGTACATTAATCCTCACATGTGAGAAGATCTCGGGTTTTTAATGATTACGCCGCCACGGGCGCGTGGGCACAGGGAAAAGTGTATGTTAGTGCGGCGGAGCTGCCGTTATGACGTTCCATTTGATAATGTTAGAGTTTTTCGTAAACAACAGAGTTGCCTCAACGAGTTGTGCGTACGTTTGTCCGCGTCGTGCCTCCAGGTGCGTAACGACGAGACGGTCGAGTGGCAATGAGATCGCTACGCCAGTGACGTTCTGTTGGTGGTGGAGGCTGGTATATGTTGATTGAGAGCTCCGATTCCAATCCCTACCGTGATTCCTTTGCATTGTTGGCAGCTTATTGTTGTGAATGGTGATAAAGTGCTGTCTTGTCAGTATTATTTGAGGTGCTGAAGTTTACATGCCATTATTTCTTTGCTACGTACGATCATAAGAAAGTGAGGCAATGGACCATCTTTTTTCTAGCCTTCCTGCGAAGAAAGTTCCGTGGTGCTAGCCTCACATGGCGGTGGATGCTCGAAATTAATTACGGTGTTGAAAATTCAAGCAGCCAATCATTACATAGCTGTGGCTACAATCTAATTTCGACTAACCTCAGCCTGCGATATGTTTTTGCGATCACCGTAGATTTTACGATCCACACTGACACTGGAATTGTTGAGTACCTAGTATCTTGGCTAGGTAGAATTTCCCAAAATTTGAATCAGGAGTTCGATTTTAGACATCGTTACTTCGTATTTCTGGTGGATCTGAGTGGCTAGGGCTAGTTGTGGCTACCTACATTTACGATTGACCGTTGTCTTCATAAGGAGCTTTCTAACTGACTCCAGATTTTATTTTTTCGCATAAAATTCTTTTATTTTCGTTTCCAACACTAGGCTAAAACAAATAAATTACGAATTCTATGCCCAATGTCGAACTGATGTGCTGAGTGTTTGAAGTTTTAGATATTTGTTATTTTATTCAGTTATGCTAATTGTCGTTTTTCCATTAAGGCTTAAGTGACTCGCAAATGCAAAGTTTATCTATGGTGTAAAACAAAATATAAATATCTAGGTATATTGACTTACGAATGTTTCTCGAAGTACTATTAACTGAACTAAGTTCACAGCACTCTCTATCATCACAAAACAATTGTGGACACCACAATAATTGTGGACTAACTATCAGGACATCATAGAATAATTTTGGCTAGCTCAAAGCGATCATAGCAAGAAAAATCACAGGCCTCTTGACTAACCGGTTGGCTGCTAATACTGTAAATGCGAGGCGATTTAAAATAATCTTGACAATATATAGGGCAACGATGACGTCCATCATGAAGATCTACAGCAAAGCTACTCGCAAGGTTGGTGCATTCTTGCAGGATATTAGCAAATAACGCCTTGTGTTACTTACTGTCAAAGTAGCTAATCCTCCATTAACGTTACTGGAAATGAATGGTGCGAGATGTCTTATTTTTGTCTTTGTCACGGGAAACATTTACGTTAATTTAAATCGAATCTAGAGACCTAGAAACTAATGTCAACGTGGTTTTACTGTTTTTACGAAATGAATGCTTGCTAACTATAAAGTAAATGCTTGCGAAGTGAATGCTCGATTGTTGCAAATTGCAACTATAGCTTCACACTTCCAAACACATGCTTCAAAGCTTCTTTCGGTCCTGGTGGAGTATGGAGACACCAATGCCAAGATTGTAGACTCCATTTAATATTATATTGTATTAAGAAGAAGGTTATGTTGGCTTAGTTTAGGTAAGGTTACATGCATTGCCGTGTACCTCAATGGTCCACCAATACTGCTTCTCTTACAACGATTCATCGTATCGGTACAGCGTTGTTAGTCTTGCACCTAATTACGTTCCGTCTCGCTGTCACCGAAGATTACCACTGGAAGCGCAGTCAGCCTGCAGTAATATTGTCGATCCAGGGGGAGTATGGGGACACCTTTGTATGTTATATCGTAATGAAATACTAGGTTGGGAACGTTGGGTTAATTAAGTCTATTATTATCCTATACATTTCAGTTGATATCTTCACTCCACTGCCATTATTTCTCGTAATAAACGAGACGTAATAGTGAGGACGTTGTTAAATTTAATGGGGAGGTCTGATTCCTGCGGTGTATTTTATAATACGAAGTACTGCAAAATATTGTCTCTACCCCCGTACCCCGAAACTGAAAGTGACATCTCCACACCAGCTGTCTCTCTTATTTTACCAATGCCAGCTGTTTTTGCTGCTTGAGAATGTTAATATGCTGGGTTAATTTTGATATTCTGAGTAAGTTTTTCTTGTTTTGCTGCTGTAAGAGTAAAGTTGCTCGAGTAATTTTGTCGTAGTTTGCTGCTGTAAAATTAACAGAAGTCGACGCAGACGTTGAGGATCTGCTTGACTGCTAATAAGGTTTATGGGTAAACGTTCAATAGATGAATATGAATTCAATAGAAACGTTCAATATAATTAAATTCTACAACCCTTGCCTCGTTGAACTATTCGGATTACCGCTGACCAAACGCTTCTGTTATCGTTCTGAGCGCTGCGCCGTCACCTCTTTTACTTTACACCCTCATTTTAATCACCTTCCAACCACCATATGGAAAATCAACTCAAAATTTGAACCATTACTACTTCAATTCCATGCTCGAAATCTTCTACGTATCCGATACTTTAGATAAGATTGGCAAACATCTTGGTCGGTCATCATGCCGTGCGGCCTCTACAATTATTTATATTGCTCACGGACTCCAATAACCGAGAAGTCTAATGGACACACGTGAACAGAAATACCAGGAAGCGCCAAACTTCCCCAAAAATATGAAGTGAAATTTTTGAAAACTAAAATTCCTTGCATGCCTTCCTACCACAATGCCATTACAATACTGTTAAAAGACGTGTTTAGCTCATATAGGTAGTATAATATAATGTCGCCAAACAAAAAGTTGGCGAAATTACCGACTATGATGGTGATTCTGTTTCTTTATTGAGAGATACAGCTGTAAAATTCTAAGAATTTCAGGATCAACAACATCCTTCCAACGTTTTCCGAGATCTGTCAGTCTCTATAACTCACATTTTAACAAGCTAAACTTGCAATAAACTTTTGCTGCGAAAGCAATAAATGTCTAATCAATTTTATCTTATATGTTGCTGTAAGAAAACGAGAGTGTTCGCTTCTATTGCTTCGGGGAAGTTACGCAGCCTCTTGACATTTGCTTCACTGAACATCGCCACCCAAGGCTGTCCAGTATCTGGAGTGCGCGCCAGTTGCCTTGACGTTGCGAGCTAAAATGCTGGGTATGCGAGAGCCTTCTATGCTGCGATGGTGCTTCTGAGAGCGCCTTGGTGCCATGTGATGGAATGCGGGGTATGCGAGAGCCCCCTATGCTGCGATGGTGCTTCTGAGAGCGCCTTGGTGCCATGTGATGGAATGCTGGGTATGCGAGAGCCTCCTATGCTGCGATGGTGCTTGTGAGAGCCCGCCGATGCTGCGTAATGGAATGCGAGGAATGTGAGGAATGTGAGTGCTCTCTGTACTGTGTATATATATGCCGTATGGAGTGTATGGCATGTCTCTGTGTGTGTGTGTCACATACTTCATAGGCCTTGAATTATGCCCCTAGAAATGTCTGCACGCTATTCAATTGTGGCAGCCAATCGTCAGATAAGTCGTAATATTAATGAGTAACTTTCACTTTACGTTCTCTAGTATTTCCTCAATTAGCCGTAATTCTTCAGCCAGAAATTCGCGATCAATGGCTTAATGCCAATGTAAGGGTTTCTTTATAGAGATGGTTTACGGCCGCGTTTTAGCTATTCTCATCTGAATATTTTTGAGCCTTTGCACTTGTGATATACTCGCGTTTTAATTACAATTCCTAATTGATTTACCCATTTCTTGTGAAGTAGCGTGAGAAAAACTTGGAAGTGGTTTTAAGGTATATTCCACTTCAAACGCACCCAAGGTAGATTTCTATTGAATAAGCTCTTAGCTCAGCACAGCTTTAACGACAATCGAGGTAGCGATGATGTTGCACAATCTTGCGGCACACATCGACAGTCATCTCGAGTGTTGTTGGTTCTTACTGCTGGGTTGTTCTTTCCAACGTTCGCCAATAGACCACACCAAGCATGCATGGACGCACGCTCGTTGCGACGCCTTCTACTAACGCAATCGCTTCCTGCTCTGTGCTTCATACATCACTTTCCATTTAGCATTCCATTGCTGTAGAGTGAAATAATAATTAGCTTTCATTAATCCATTTTAATTATTATGACTAATGTTTTGTATTAACATCTAATCGTGAAATTTTTCGGAATTCATTTCCCGTTCGTATTTTTGATTGAAATTTCGATAAATTGGCCTGTTTTTAATTAATAATTGGCTGCCTCTACTAATTGCTGCTGGTCCGACAGAAATTACTTTGAGTTTTCGAAATTTCCTGCTTCGTCTTTATTGTTCCATTTGTACGACAGCGCGCCTACGCGAGTTGAAACAAAATGGGAACACAAAAGTTGTCAGCGGATGTAAGGAGACTCGTGATAACTACAGTTCATCTTGTCGTACATTTGCTTGCCGTTGCCTGGGCAACCATGCACAACGTTGTGGTGGACAGACTTCCGAAGATTATGATTGCATTTCTTCACTTATTACATTCTGCCAGTCCAAAGAAGGTTTTGCAGTATTATATTACTTGAGGTATTTCGCTTTCGCGTTTTTTGTGGTATAAGTACTTCAAATTTATATCACAATAATATTCCATTAATGAAGGTGTCGTTTCAATTGTAATCTGAAAGCATCCATTATTCAGGTAACTCTCCTATTTATGATCAGTATCAACAAATTTCGTAATGTGATGTCCATTTAAATCCCGAGCAAACGTGTATAATTCTAACGCTTGTGACCTCGGCAGGGCTCTGATCCTCGGCTACAGACATGCCGGGGGAAGCTTCAGAACACGCGATCCAAACTCAACCTCGAGATCAACAAGGAACTCATGTTGCGCACCGGTGCTGAGAACTTGCTCAAGTGAGTACCCGGTACAGCAGTCATGCTGCGCACCGGTGCTGAGAACTTGCTCAAGTGAGTACCTGGTACAGCACTCATGCTGCGCACCGGTGCTGAGAACTTGCTCAAGTGAGTACCCGGTACAGCAGTCATGCTGGACACTATAAAACGGTTGTGTATGTTTGATTAATTTAATAATTTAAATAGCTGAGTATCGCATCCTTACATATTAGTATCCAAAAATTGAATTAGTACCATGTACTACATTGTACACTTCAGTGCCCAGGAGTTTTCTTCAGCCATGTACGCTCTTTTTTTCCTATAAAATTACGTCAAGTCATGCAAATTTAGCAGCTAAACTTGAGGCTAATAGCCTACTATGTTTCTCTTGCGTGTTGGCTCACGACGATCTCTAAGATAACCGGCCTCTTGAGTTGTTAGATGTCCTCCGCAATGCCTCTGTTATGTATGCATTTGCTTCATAATTCTAAAAATGTTGTTCTGGTGCAATGAGGGGAATCTATTAATGGATATCTTGCGTCCCATTTCATTTATTGATTTTATCATTGTTGAAGGAAAATGTTTTTATTTGCGAGATCAATGAACGCGTAGAGATGTCAGTAGCGCGCGCCGCCTTGACTGTGGGATTCTGGCGATGCGCTCGAGGCACGCGAGCTCACGTAGAGCATTTCCCTGCGCTCGCTGGCCGGACTTAGGGTACGCAGACAGTGAAAGCAGGTTTGCCCGCGCGGGCAACCTGCTCCAACCTGCCACAAGAATGAACNGCGCTGTTGTCTCACGTGCGCTGTCGTCTCACGGGCGCTGTTGTCTCACGTGCACTGTCGTCTCACGTGCGCTGTCGTCTCACGGGCGCTGTTGTCTCACGGGCGCTGTCGTCTCACGTGCCCTATGAGTTATGTATATCTGTCTTCCTTCATGTTATGCATTATTTTCTTCGTGTTTTTCCCCTGCAGTGCTACACAAAACAAGAAAATGAAGGAACAAGTAGCAATGGAGCTGCAGTTCTTCAACAGTAACCTGATGCTTCTGAAGGAGCAGCTGGCTGAACTCAACAGCTCCGTGGAGATCTACCAGGGCAACAAGTACGTTATTTTGCCTTGTGTTTATGCTGGTGACCTGACATCTCAGCATACGTGATATTTCATCACTAGAGCAATTCATCATTGGGTCATTCCATTATTCCAGCGTGTATTATGAGGTCTAGTCTTTTAAATGAATTCAATTTTGTGTCGCGTTAGTCATCAAGTTGAATAGAGCTTTGAATTTCACCGGTTATGAGAAGATATCTACAGAAAACTATTTGAAAAAGGTTTCGATTTTCCAAATAAACATTGGTACACGTAGAGTGGATTAGGTTAGTTTAGATTGGTAAAGAATTACATGATAAAATGTCCCTAATGATGAAGAGTTAGAGTGATGAAATGTCTCGTTTGATGTCTCGTCAGAGAACCGTTTATACAGGTACATGTCCGTTGCCTTAACTCAGGCAGGAGATTATTGGTTTCAAGGGACGAACGGGGTTTCCTCGGTCTTGTCATGATTAATGTATCGATCATGTCTTGTGATTCTTCCGTCATGCTGTCTCAGTATTCCATCAAAGTATGACGTTAATATATGTGACTGCAATGAATGTTTTTTTTATTATATGTGTAATACTCTAGTCACTACACGACTCTTCATAATATGCTATATTCTTATGTAGAGCTTCTCTAAATGTTCACTGTTACCCTTACAGTTCCAGGTGCAGAATCCCGATGATCCCTCTAGGCCTCAAAGAAACAAAAGAAATTGATTTCAGGCAACCTTTTAAGGTGAGTTTCATTTGTTAATATCAAGTCTTGTCCTGTAAACCAACCCGCAAAAGTTAAACCTTGTATCACGAAAGTTCCGAAATGACAGACGTACGTTTCCTGAGGTCTAGTCTTTTAAATGAATTCAATTTTGTGTCGCGTTAGTCATCAAGTTGAACAGAGCTTTAAATTTCACCTTTTATGAGTTGATATCTACAGAAAACTATTTGAAACTTTAGCTTATTTTGAAAGCGCAGCTTTCCGTAGACCAGCTTCAAAATTGAGTGTCAATAACATGCATCGACAATACCGATGAAGAATTTTACAAAAAAGGTTTCGATTTTAAATTGACAAAAACCGAGGACAAAATGAAAAGAAGGAAGAGAAAAGCGCATAGATAAACTTGCCTGCTGACAATTCAAAGCCTATTCGTGCTATTTGCGATTTTTTTATTTCTAAATATAGGTACACGGATGCTACAACGTTCAACTTGCACGCGCCCAAACGTTATAGTTTATATATATATATAGGAAGGTTATAGTTGAATATCCATCTGGTCTTCGGGACATCACAGCAGATTGTCATAACGTTGACTTCTACCACGCTGCTCTGATGATATATATAGTACCTATACGTAGTAGCTGAACATCGTTTTGTCGTTTTGTGACGTCGTATCGGCGTGCGTCGATGCGCGTACAACTGTCTTCATTATCTTCAGAACGCTGTAGTGGACAGGGAGACTGCTATTATAATTAAATAATGAACCGTTCTAATACTCATTGATTATTTATCTGCTTTTATTTCAAATTATTGTACCATTTTAGCGCTAAAATTTGAATTTTAAGGTTATGATGCCACGGTAGATCTTTGTCCATATCTGAGTTAATAATATGATTTAACAGAATTGCTATATAGGTTTGTTGTAGTCGTTGAAGAATAATTCGCATTAAAAGTTTCCAAAATTCAATCAACAGTTTTTTCAATATTGAGCTGCAATAAATGTTCAGCGAATATCTTTGTAAATTTTAATTTTATTCTAATGTCCGCAGAACTTCATAGAAGAGCACTACCACGAGGACCCTGACGAATACGACGCAGCCATCACAGACTTCATGGAGCTCAGGGAGGTCAGTATACCGTACTCGTCATATAGTATACTCATTTCTGCCATGACCTTCCCAAATCAAATGTCCGTGAATCCATCTGAAAATTTTATACGTTCACATTCTGAAGCCAAATCAAATTTTCAATAATAATTTCAGCATTTTAATATTGCCCTTCAATTATTTCGATAGAATAATATTGGAAATGTACCTTTATATATTCAACCTGGTTTTAGCCTAAGATAACATTTATATTTATACTGCGTAAAATTTCTGAGATGACTTGTTCCATGTCGAACTCGTACATTCATGTTCACAGAACAGTTGCGCCATACCCAAGTGAAACACTCATTTTCAAATGGTAATACTTTTTCCCCAATTGCTTCATTCATGTTAACATGAGATTTGTTCCACCCCCAACAACCACATGTTCATGTGGATGATTATTCTCTCATGTCGCGCGTCTCACTGCAGTCCTGATGATTATTCTCTCATGTCGCGCGTCTCACCGCAGTCCTGATGATTATTCTCTCATGTCGCGCGTCTCACCGCAGTCCTGATGATTATTCTCTCATGTCGCGCGTCTCACTGCAGTCCTGGGCCTATACTTTCAAAAAAAGTTAAAAGATCGTAAGTTCATCAGCCAATCATTGACAGTCTTTTAAGCAAAATCCACCAATCATAGACAAGAAAATAGAGCGTAAGTACTTACGTTCACTTAGCGAGTTTTGAAAGTATAGGCCCTGATGATTATTCTCTCATGTCGCTCGGTCGCGTACAGGCGATGCGGACGCCTGAGCGGGACGCCTCGGGAGTGTCGCTCATCTTCGCCTACTTCAACCAGCTCTACTTCATCGACCGCCGCTTCTTCCCTCCTGACCGCTCGCTCGGCATCTTCTTCGAGTGGTGCGTTATTAGTACAGAATTTACGGCTTCTGTTTGAGGTTATATCCAAATTTATGGAAAGTCATTATTTAACGGCTTCATAGTAATTAGAGAGAAATTTGTAGCTAATAATATAATTGACGTGCATGATGAGTCAATTCTAAAAAGGTATGCAGTCAAGTTAAAAAGGTGACTTGAGAACTATCAACAATAAATACATAAACCCAGCTTCGAGCATATCTTATTTTTTAATTCGTATGAGAAGCAGTAATTTACATTCAATCGCCCCTCATGAAATTAATATAACCAATTAATGAGAATAATAATAGTGCAATCATTAATGAAGTTTATTATTTTTGTCAGTCAATTATTTATGAACGTGATCGTGAGTAATATTGATCCGAACAATTTTCGAGAACCCTCATTAAATCTTTTAATTGTCGTTTTCTTTATACTTCTGATCTTGAACTTTTATTAGTGATCATCTTTCATAATTATCTTGAAGTTCCCCCTGATCGTCCGTATTTGTCTGGTCGCTTGCAATCCCCCTGATCGTTTTTATTTATGTCGCTGCTTGTCACGCGTGCAGGTACGACAGCCTGACGGGCACGCCGAGCTGCCAGAGGACCGTGGCGTTCGAGAAGGCGTGCGTGTTGTTCAACCTGGCAGCGCTATACACGCAGCTTGGTGCAAGACATGACCGCACCACCGCCTCAGGGCTGGACTCCGCCGTCAACTGCCTTCTGCGCAGTGCCGGGGTGCTCAAGTACATCCACGACACTTTCACCAACGCCCCTTCTAAAGACCTCAGCCCCGAGCTCCTTAATGCACTCATCAAACTCATGCTGGTGAGGGAGCGTCAGAGTTCTAGTGATATTAGGAAAATATTGACAAAATGTCAATAATGTGACCAACTGATCGCGATCTAACGCTACATAGTCGTACGTGTGTGACAACTCTATAATCACCCGTGGTGCCTTCATTTATAGTTTAGCTCGAAGAGCGGTCAGTGATAGGCCGATGGAGTTGAGAATTCGTAACTATTTTTGATACTACGGTCCCTGAGAACGCAACGCGCGCTGTGTACCAAAATTATTCACCACCCTAACGCCCCTCACCCTAACGCCCCACCACCCTAACGCCCCACCACCCTAACGCCTCACCACCCTAACGCCTCACCACCCTAACTCCTCACCACCCTAATGCCCCACCACCCTAACGCCCCACCACCCTAACGCACCACCACCCTAACGCCACACCACCCTAACGCCCCACCACCCTAACGCCTCACCACCCTAACGCCCCACCACCCTAACGCCCCACCACCCTAACGCCCCACCACCCTAACACCCCACCACCCTAACACCACTCCCCTGCCCCCAGAGCCAGGCGCGAGAGTGCCTGCACGAGAAGGCCGCCCTGACGTGCGACGACACCACTGAGAGCCTCCTGGAGCTGTCGCAGGAGGCGGCGCACACCTCGCACGAGTACACCGAGGTAATAATGTCACTAGATTGCTTCAAGCGCAGATTCACTAGAAATTTGAAAGCGAAGAAAACTCCACAAAAATTCAGCATTTCTCTATTGAAAACGTGCTGCCCGAGGTACCGGTATCGTTGCTCCTCGTGCTGCTCTTTACTGTGACGCTCTGGCGCCCTGAGGCTCTAATAAGATCATGTTTTATCTAAAGTCTTTCTGACTAACTTGTGTTTAATATCGATGATTTCAATCATCTCCGCGTTGATCCAGGAATATTCTTTAAAAGTTTCCCCTCGGATGATCTTGAATACAATGCATCACAGATGATTAGGTACCGTACTTATATTATCAGTCTGCTTATATCACAAGTTCACAAGGAATTTAAGAGCAAAAAAAAAAAAAAAGCCACGAAAATTCACCATATCAATATTGAAAACGTTTCGGAGTCCAGCTCCATCATCAGTTCGACTAGACTAAAAATGAATAAAATCATTTCTAAAGTCTTTCTGACTAACTTGTGTTTAATATCGACGATTTCATCATCTCCGCGTTGATCCAGGAATATTTTTTTTGAAAATAATTAATGTTGATAGGTCATCACAGATGATCAATTGCTACTGGAATATTTCCTTGACTCGTATAAATCCGTTCCATCACCCGCAAGTCGTGGTGTATATCCTAGGTGTACAGTTACGTTAACATATTTGCACATAAATGCCTACAAGGAACGTATTTGTGCCGTGTCATAAAATGCCTACAAGGAACGTATTTGTGCCGTGTCATAAAATGCCTACAAGGAACGTATTTGTGCCTTGTCATAAAATGCCTACAAGGAACGTATTTGTGCCTTGTCATAAAATGCCTACAAGGAACGTATTTGTGCCTTGTATTCGATGATGCCAAGGTCCACATTCGCAGGTGTACGACGCAATGAACGTGGCGGTGGTGCGTGAATATGTCCCCGCGTCATGGATCACTCTGGTACACATCAAGTCCCTGTACTACAAGGGGCGATCTCACCAGCATGTGGCCGAGGCTCTGCTCTGCTTCACAGGAGACGCGCAGCAAGAACCCGAAGACGACGTCGGGCTCAGCAGCAGAGCGCAGGAAATACTGCAGTATCTGCACAAGCCTCCTGAGGAGGGTCAAAGTGACACTCTCTTCCTTGACTTCACCATGCCCTCCAATGCTAAAGAGAGAACTTATTTGGGTTAGTTGTCTTGTTTTGATAACAAAACACAAACGTTGATCGTGGCCGATTTACCTCCTAACTTACTCGAGATTGACACTATTATGCCTTGCCTGGCTTCAAGGTACGCATAAAAAATTTAAAGTGGATTCTGACCTTGTTATACGCAAGCAGAGAAACCTTAATGCGTGTGTACTTGAATTTTTGATTTCACTGTCATTGATAGGTCACTTATGTCCTATCAACGATAGATGTGCACTTATTCGCACTTAATTATATTTAATCAACCATCGTCATATTCGTCTCCGATTACGTTGCTGTTGTAAAAACCTCCAATGAATGAGGTTGATGTTGAACATTTTTGTGGCTTTATCTTCTCGAATGAAGTTATTGTTAGTCGACATTATCTGACTTTTAGGCAACGCATGACATTTTGGAGCCGCTTTAGTGTCATGAGATTGCATTCCATTTATAATCAGGGCACATTTCATCATTTTATATTCGTTTACTTTAATCGATTTGACCTATGGCCAAATAAATCTTAGTTGTAACTGGGAGGCAACCCCACTAAACCTAGCAGTCAAGTCTCTAAACGTAGCAGTCAAGTCTCTAAACGTAGCAATCAAGTCTCTAAACGTAACAGTCAAGTCTCTAAACGTAACAGTCAAGTCTCTAAACGTAACAGTCAAGTCTCTAAACGTAGCAGTCAAGTATGACGTTGTGTGTGCAGGTCTAACGCACGGCCGTGAAGCAGGAGTGCAGTACGAAGAAGCGCTCCGTCAACAGCGCATGTGCCGTGACCTGAGTAAGCGGCAGGCGCTCACGGACGTGCTCAGGGCAGGACACGCCTCCATCAACAGTCTCCTGCAGGACTTCGAAGAACAAAACGATCTTATGGCCATATTTGATCCTCCTCCCATCATGCGTGAGTTTATCCAAAATCTTCCCTAGTACTAATTTGTTCATATGGATAGATTTTCTAGTAAGAACGAGGTCTATATATTATAAGAACTAAGGAATATTTCACTGAGAGTATAAACAAGATATGTGAAACTATCTGCTTGGGTCAACAATTTTCAAAGGTTTCAGTTCCCAGTGCTCCCCTACTCAGAGGCTCATGTAATAATTATATTTGTTGCTGACATTAAGCTTTGAGCTCCAATGACCTCTTGCTGATCTCAATGAGTGATCTTTGATCTCAATGATCAATGCATTTTGGACCCGTTTCAATTTTAAGACTGAGGCGCGCGAACAGCCACTAACATATCTATTTTAGTGACGGAGTTTGGACCTATTTGCTAGTTACACCTTCTTAGGTATTAATTTTTCAACTTGACGAATTTGTTCTAACCTAATCGATTTCCATCAAAATGAAAATTTCTCCCAGCCAAATAAATTGAAACAATTTCCCTTCCTTGAACCACAAAAGCCTGACTAATTAGGCTATTCCTTCACAATTTCTCTCGGTGTCTTTCTTTTTGACCGCGAGTTTTCCTCATCTTGATAAAATTTTCCTTAACCTGACAAATGTCCCTTTATCTGATAATTTTCTACTGCTCGATCCAATTTCCCGCCGCTTGAACTCACTGTCTGCTGATGGAACTGTAGTTAAAAGACCTTATGATACGAACAGCGTTAGACTGAGCATTTAAAAAAAATCTCTTTACCGTTAGGCGCAACTCAAACTCGTTTTCTGTTGAACCATTACTAAATCCAATGGACATCACTGCACCATTGAGGCGCTTCTTGAGTTATCAAGATCCAACAAATATAAACATGAAAATTCTGCTATACATGCACAAATAAAATATATCATAATTATCTATAAATATATGCAATATATAATTTATCAGAAACCTAAATAGCATTATATCATCGATAGCCTCGACGAAGATCCAACTGACGCTCGCGACGCCCGACTTCACACGGCACCGCGTAGACGACGCATTCCACGCGCTGGGCCCCGTGTCCAGCTTCTCGGCCAAGAAGACGTGGACCGCGCCGCGGCCGATCCTCCTCAAGAAGACCGAGCGCCAGGGTCTGGGGTTCTCGGTCAGGGGCGACGCGCCCGTCGCAATTGCTGCCGTTGACCCTGGCAGCCTGGCCGAGGTGGGTGGTAATAGGTTGTGTTCGTCAAGCATTGTGTGTTCTACTTTTAGATTCCTAGTTCATGATCCATGCTGTTGCGACATTAAGGTAAAAACGTTTTATCTTTTTTAAATTGAATCGCTAATTATCTATCCCTAATTTTTTGTACCTTATGTTGTAAAGTAAATTTTGGAAATGATAAGTCAATTCTTAACAAGCGATACCTATCAATTCTTAGGGTTTACTCTTCGAATTTTTCGCTTATAATTTGTCTTGTGCATGCAATGCGTTCCGTAAAAATGGCTTCCTCTCTTTGCGGTGCTCTTAAGAAAAGATAATGTATATAAAAAAAGATTCAGTACTTCTATTTAATTTGATAGGATAGTGAACGTATTATTAAAGTGTCATTGCTGTGAACAGCGCGCTGGGCTGCAAGAAAACGACATCGTGGTCGCCATCGGCGGCCAGGACGTCAAGTGGATGCCGCACGACCGCGTCGTGGCGGCCATACGTGAGAGCGGCGACTGCCTTCACATGATGGTGGTGTCTCCCTTGCAGGCGCCCCCTTACTACCACCAGCTCAGTAAAGTAAGTAACATGATGGTCGTGTCGCCCTTGCAGGCGCCCCCTTACTACCACCAGCTCAGTAAAGTAAGTAACATGATGGTGGTATCGCCCTTGCAGGCGCCCCCTTACTACCACCAGCTCAGTAAAGTAAGTAACATGATTTAGACTCCTGCATTTGGTTCTTTTTTTCTATTCGAGGCGAGACGAGACAACAGGGTCTGCCCCGGTTAGCAATAAAAACTGGGATAATTCTCAGCAGTATGGGGGAATTCCGGGACAATACCGAGACGAGACGTACCGGTTAGAATAGGAATTTTGAAATTTCGTGCAATTTTCATATTTTATAAAGGGACATATCGAGACATTACGAGACATAATAGTTGAACCTTTATATGTAATTAGAATAATGAATTGTTTCATTCATTATCTGATCAACATTTTGTCTGTTTACAACATTGCAGGAATATTACTATGTAAAATGACATCGCTATTACCTATCTAGCAAGATTAAAGAGCCAGAATTAAATTCATATCTAATCAATAGCCAGACTCCGCAGTATGAATCGACGCAAATTTTTGCGTTGATTCGTTTTCGGTTTAAACTATGGTCGGTAATAATCGTCACTAATTACCAGGCTAGTGGCCTCGTGTACAGATTATCTAATAATGCAAACTAATAATAAATGATGATTATAAATAAATAAATTTACTGCCTGCTTCAGAGGTCAATAGCGAGGAGCGGCCAGTAGCTGCACGTTGTGAGCCTACTTCCAGCCAACGAGTTTTTTCGAAACAAACATCTGCCAGGGAAACAATGATGCTTCTTTTTAGCGCATTTTCTCATTTATAGAAAAAATGCACTATTGTGCTCGCCATGTCCGTCTGTCTGTCCGTCTGTCCGTCCGTCCGTGACCTCAAGTTTTCGTCGACGAGAAAATGCGCTCTCTGTCACTCACTGCAGTGAGTACTGAGTTATCTTTTTTTAACAATCTTTGCTTAAAAATTAAATGAACGTGTGATAAAGCAAACAAGTTCAGAGAGCACAAGGTGGTTTGTTCTCTACTTGAATGGGACGAATTACTCTCATTTGCGGTACCTAGGCTACAGGTAATGATCATTGATGGAATAAGAGACTTTCTTCAATCCTTCACTGGGGGTAAACTTTGGCTTCGGTTAAACAACATCACAACTTGCGACGTATGCGTCTACTATTCTCATTTAAGACTCGAATTTTAAAATTCAGTGCAGCCTCATCTTCATGGCAGATGTTTTCAAGTTCGTTTGATGCCATTTCAGGGTCTCTGTTTTAGCCAGAATTATGTTTCTCTAGCCTAAGAACTAACCAGAGTCGGCACGAAGAAGCTGTCCACGTATGCCCGATGTGTTGCCATCATTGACCTTGTAAATATCGTCACAAAGTTTGCACCGATTATTGATCGGGTTTATACCTCGGCCTTCATCGGTCTCGCCTGTTTTTCGTTCAGATTCGTTCAGGCGAGATAATTTCGTTCAGATTTTTTATCCATGTTCGTGGCATCTTGCATGGCCCAAAAAAGCCTATTCACATTCTACTAAGTGCCTGCCCGATCGACACTGCGTCACAGGCTTGCGATGATGCTATAAGCGTACTGAACTCGTAGTATGGTTCTCGTCATGAGCGATATAAGCTCAACAGCAACAACATCATTCACTAAATATTCAGCCATACATAGTCAAGCTGCCCACTAATTCAACTGCCAAATTAGTTTGGCAGCCAAATGTCACCGAATCTGCTCATGACTGTCAATTGCCCATTAACAATCAGGGGCTAACTTGATATTCTTAACCCCACGTTCGGAATTTTTTTTTTTCGTCTAGTAAGGAATATCTTTTTTTTACCTTGAATATTTATGACATATTGTCTCGTTATGTCACGTCTCGTTTTATATCGATCTGACTCGTATCGTTTCATAATTACGGGTACACAAGATTTAAAGTCCGGGACACAAGTCTTGTTCCGCTTGATTTGTTGATTTCGGGACAAATTTTGCCCCATAACCCGTCATTTTTTCCCGGGGATTTCTCGTCTTGTCCCAATTGTCCCGATTCCTTTCGACAATATTATTCCGAGATGCAGGAGTCTACCATGATGTTGGTGTCGCCCCCGCAGGCACCCTTTTACTGCCATCAGCTAAGTTAAGTTAATACGCAAATTGGATGAAGGTCCTAGGATATTTTTACTAACTTTTCAACTGTGACTACTAAGCCTTCAACAATGCAAACGACTAATTAATTTTCAATTATATTATCGATGATCTGTTACTAAGTCTCTCGTTAATGCAATAGTCTGAGGTATGTCTAATTAAATTTTCTTTTGACAGTGCAAGAGTCTGAAGGATCTCTCGACGCACTCAACCGCGAGCTCAAGTAGTGGCGTGAGCAGCAGCGGCAGCAGCAGCACCCGCAGCAGCAAGTATGGCTCCATCGGCACCCGATTTAACGACTCTTCCCTGAACAACAATCGTTTTAGTGATACTTCTCTCCCGAACTCCAGGACCAGCAATCGGGCGATGGACTCCTCCACACAGTTCGGTCCCGTGCACCGCATCAGAGACCCCAAGTTACTCGGTTCCTTAAACAGCTCTGCTTCAGGTCACAGAGACAAGCGTCTTAGCTGGAATCCTTTCAGGAAGACATTATCGAAAGACAGACTAAAAGCAGACTCCATGAATGATTGTAATCTCATAGCTCGATGATTTTGTATATCTTGCCATTAAGTAACGCGAATGGAATGTATTGCAGGAATGATAAAACTGTACAGTGTACACGTCACGTTGTGATTCAGTGCTTGTAATGCCGTCTCGCGACGATGGCTGGCTTAGTCATTTACTGAAGCTCCTGCGCTGTAAATACAGCCGTTTCACGTTTTATTAAGTCAATATAATTGTTTTTCATTTATAAATATTAGAGTCTAGAGCATAGCAGTGAATGATTGACTGAAACGACAAAAAATTTCGTATTTTTGCTTTACCTCGTGCGTTTCGTAAATGTGTAATACTGTTACTAGGCATCAGTGGATGTTCCTCCTGCTTCTTAACAATTTCGCCTAATTGTCGTCCTTCAGTTTGTATGTATTTATGATTTGCATAAGATATCACAAGTCTATTGCCCACCTATTTTAAGTTTACGTTCGAAGGCTGCGAATCGATGTGTAAATAAAGTCATCCTGAGCGGGTCGAGCTTTCGATCGACATCGCCATCCATTTGACGACTCCTCATCGTTTCATAATACGAGTCGCCAAATATATTCCTATTAATAATCATCTACCTATAACTATGGACCATTAACATCCTCTATTAGAATGTATATCATCCGTATTGGATGATAAACGTTGCCCTCGTCTTCCTAACATTATCAGACCTGACCTATTCTTTATCGTCTGACGACCTGACCTTGTCATTGACTTCGCCCATCCATTGTTATTGGACCTTATACACCTAATGTAATTATCCAACTAGTTTTACCAAATAATGATCATATAATAGTCCTTTTGTTTTTACTGTATTTGACCATCTTGATGTCTGTTCTTGTGAGGATCGTGCTGAATCGCTTGCTAATGACCTCTTAAATTTGCATACGTCTCCTGCTATGGCGACCGCTCACTGAAACAAAATTTCTCGATATCTTTCCAAAGCGGTATCACGTCTTCTTATTCAATAATTTGATCACCCGACAGCCTTCACTATCGTGTTTAGCAAACGCGCCAAACTCGACCAGAGTATTGGCAGTTGAGCCGGTTGCTTCATTTATATCGGCAATTGCTCGTCATCATGACTGACGACTTAATTTGACTCGTAAAGAAGATATGTTTTAATGCATTGTGTCGACCTTGTATGTGGATGTATTGGACGATTATAATGATAATACTGCGATTGTTTTAGGCCATTTATGAATGTATATTATTTGAAGTATATATTTTATTTGAATGCTATTTACTTTCCCATGCGAGTTTCATCATGTAACAACAACGGTAGAAAAATAATAGAGTGATCTTAGTGAGGCCATGCCAATCTCTTTGAATTTCTTCAGTATTACCTGAAACTTCCTCAGTATTAAATGAAAGATTCGGATTTGGTTGTTCGGAAATTTAAAGATTGAATAGTTTCGCATCATAAAGTTGAGGTGTCAGATTAGAACGGTCAAAAGCCCGACTGGGTTGAAGGCATAACTCCATTGCCTTCATGAGACGAACCTCGGTCCTTACGGGGAGAGTCTGGGTCCCAGAAAAAGTTTTTTTTATTTACGGATCACTTTGAAACTTGGTACACATGTGTAAAACAGAAATCTAAGACTTTTTTGTTTGAGTAAATTTTGCGAAAAAATGGAAGAAAACGTAAAATTCTTAGAAAATGGACAAAAAGGGGGTACCACAGAAAACTATCTCCTAGGATTTTCAAGCTACCACATCGAGACGCATATCATTCGATGCGTTAAGACCATATCTATCGACTGGTCGTAGCTTTTTTTTAAATTAAGATTTTTGTGGGTAGGGAGGTCATTTTTGCCCTCCCCCCCGCCTCCCCACAATTTTTCAAAATATTTTAAAAACTATAACGAAAGTGAAAAAAGTTACGACCATCATCTAGATCTTTTCTTTGTAAATCGAATGGTATATCTCTCAATTCTGTAGCTTCAAAAACTGAAGGAGGAGATAGTTTACCATTGACAATAAGTGCGATGTTCAGGAATGTCCAGCAGAGCCTACAATCGGCCGGCCGGTCGCACCGCGTTAAATATAGGCACTTCCCGTAGCTATGTTAGCGAAGTTACGTGTTCTTTCACTTAGAAGAGAGTCAGCGATGTAAATAATGACTACATGGCTAGAACTAGAACTAGAGAACCTTTCCTCATGACAGTTCGAGGGGAACTAAGCTGGAGGCCGTCAGAGTCAGTCCGTCACTCCCGTCAGACCAGGTTTATATGTTCAGGCTCCCTTAATATTTCCGGTAGGGATTTATGAAGGACTCGACGAAAGGTAACTCTTTCGGGATCTGTCATGAACGCATAAATCAACGTACAGAGATGATTTTGGTACTGCTGGATAGCCAGGATAGGTCAGGATGTCAGCTTTAAGATGAGCATAAAAACAGGAAAAGCCTATAATTGTCGATTTTGGACCCTGCCAGACGTAGATCAGTGCTGCCTAACCCTTCTATTTCCGGTGCTCTCTAGAAGCCAGTATTTTTTTTCGAAATGCTCATTCCAGAACCGAATTGTAGGTTACAATACACAAGTTTCCTAGTTACGAGTACTTGCTGTCGCTATACATTTAATATATAATATTAAGTGTATACCAACTTTCCTGTTAGCTCACAACAACGTTGCAAGCGCATTTTCATTTTTGTATTCGAGTGTTGTATAACTGCTTTGGTTTAATTCTAACTATAATTAAGAATCTCATTGCCTCTTCGTTATTGGATTGCAATTGAAGATCACCTGCCAAGAAATTACATCTGTAAGTCTTTTGTTGGGAAAAGTTTCCTCTCAAACTTCCTGAAGCTTATTGTGAAGAAGTAGAGCGGGCTCGTCTTAATTAAACAGAGGGACTTTTTTGCCCATAGTTGCGCGAATTCTGAGCACTATTCTGTCAGGGGGCTACCTGCATGGACGAGTCTCCAGAGCTCACTCAGCTCTAAAAAAAGAAGAAATAGAGGGATGGCTCTAGAGAATATAGCTTATCTTAAAGCGAACAAACACGATGGCAGTTTTCTTGATGCTTTGTGTTGCACCATAATTTCCTATATATAAGAAATTCATTTAAAGTCCTTAGTTGTTGTGCACAAAACCCTGCTGCGTTTTTGTCTTCAGTTAAATTGTGCATGCGTTTTTCACTTCGTTAGGAACATCATGGCAGGCCAGTCAAACTTTGTGGCTGTTTCCCCTTAAGGAAATTTCAGCTTATTAAAACTTAACCTGTGCTTCAGCAGTACTGTAAGTTATCATTACAACTTAGTTAACAGTCTACTTTGATTGGCGGGTTATATTAGAGTCTAAACTCTATACCCTAACCCTTCAACTTTACCTGTAGTGTCAAGATATTCAAAGTAGGTTATGGTGCTTTAAATTAAGGATATGTGTCTACCTGTAAACTTTAATCTCGTGCGCTTATTTTGATTTAGGTAATAAGGTGAACATTACTCTAAATTAAAGTGATGTTGGAATTCTGAAATACTCACAGTATTGTACACGAATCCCCTCGGTTGTAACTTTACGTATTTCCTTGTTCAGTATGTATTCCTCAAAACTCTAAGTTTCGGCCCCCATTAAGTTGATCTGGATGCTAATTTTTATTACGTCGATGGAAGTAACCGCATCTTGTACAGAGGAAGAAATAAAATTAAAAATGTTTAAACATCATTTAATCATCGTCACTGTTTTCAATCATTGTTACATCATTATGAGAAAATTTCTAGAAGATAATAACTCTTTTTCGTAGGGAGAAATTCCCTACACTTTCCAGCTTAACAATCAGTCACTTAATAAATAGTAATATATTTTAGGCGTTCACTCGCCTGAAATATGGCCAGGTGTGACAAAGAGGGCGTTTTCAGTAGGAAATAAATAATTCCGACGGAATTAATAAATTAATTCTGCGAGATTAATGGCAATCAATCGTCCTTCTCCTGGAATAAAGCGTAGGTAATTTTGACTTTAGTTTATTTTATGATATTGAACATAGATTGTGTGGTGACGCGAGTCGCCGACTGCAGTACGGTCGCTGTAAACAATACTGCTGCAGAGATCCGCGTGAGATATAAGGTACTGGTCCTAAGCTCTATCTCGAGCTCTAAATCGTACTGGTCCTATGTCAAAGTTCGATTAAATTCCTTTTACAAGTTCGATTTTTGTTTCGTCCGACCAGGATTTTGTCTTATTTCCCAAATCTTGTGGTTTTCACGTGTCGGTACTTCAACAGAGGAATCTTTCGTGAGGATCTCGACATAGGACCAGTACTATTTAGAGCTCTGCTGATGTCCTTCTCTACATCAATCCAAGATTCCTCCAGGTCGCTTTTAATTTCACCGCGAGTAACAAACGGGTTCTTCTGTACCTTTCTGTTAATCCACCTTGCATTACCGCCCTTTATAGTTTCCTTAGACGACCAGGTCTTGGAAGGTTAGCAACAGCATGCTCGGATGATATCATCAGGGTGATTGCTTCCTGGTGATATTTCCAACTGTACTCAATGATAGATCAGGCTCTTTGGATATTATTAGATACCCCTTCCGTTTCTTTTGACAATCTGTCGAAAATTCATGCACGACAATTCTCGTGTTGTGACATGACGCAAGCCTGTCGCCAACTCTCGATTTTTAGGCATTTAAAATTAGATTTAAACGATGAACAAGAATAATTATAATTAATTATAATTATATAGACACAATTATAATTGTGTCTATATAATTATATAACTGCCTGATTGGTCAATTAGATAACGTTATGATGTTAGTGGAACGTCTGAAGTGAAAAGCGAATTTTGAGTACATCAAAAAATTTATTTTTGTTTATTTTTGAACATGTATCCAATACTTTTGCGTGGGTTAATTTTTCTATTTGTTGAATAAAATCTAAACAACGCATACTTTCAATATACTTTCTATATAATGTTTCTAGCACCATTAGCAATATACTGACCAAATATTATAAAAAATATTGCACTCTAACTTGAGATATGAAAAAAATTGCAATGTTTCCTATACTTTAGCGAGCCACTGTATATTCCTATGGATAGCTGACCGGAGGAAAAACCATACGAAGGTACATCAATGGGCACTTGATTCTCAGTTTTATATTTATGGTATAAGTGTTTCAGTGCAATGCTCGTTTTGTATATCTTTGCCGTTGCCTATATAACGAGAAGTCGAGTAATCGCTCACATATACTCCCAGGAAAACCCGTGACGCTATACGGACGAGACCTGACTAAATGATAGCAGGTATTGATCAATAGTAAATCAATATAATGAAAACGAAAACAACGCTCAAATTTAACTTTAATCATCCCATCATTACTTTTTTAATTCCATCGATCATCCCTATAGCTACCTCTTCATCCACTCAATCATCTCCATCATTACTTACTTCATCCAATATCAACCATCCCATCATTACCCATTCATATGATCATTACCTCCATTAATCAGTACAATCAACTCCCTCAACTGCATCTCTCTAACCAACCCTGTTCAAGATCACATACCATCTATTTTGCCAACATTTCTCGCGTGTTTAGTGGCAGATTAACTTGCTTCGCCTGAGCAGGTGCAACCAATCAAGCGATCTAAAGTCAAGCCTTATCGAAAATCTGTTCGTAAACAAATATATAATCGTTAAATAGGCTTCCTTTGTTCGAGGGAAGTCATTCTTTCGCTGGCGTTGGTCGTGGAAAGCTGTGCTCCCAGGCCAAACTGTTGTCATTTTACGTGCAATTAAATGCAGCAGCATACAATGTGGCAGTGCAATTGGATGCAACAGCATACAATGTGGCAGTGCAATTGTATGCTGAAACATACAATTTTTGCAATGCACACGTTCCACGAATAGAAGGGAAATGATGTCTTCAATTTATGCGTTCAGAGACCAACGTTGTGAGCCTATTTTAAATTTAGTATTTAATTGCCATAAAACTGACTTTGTATAATTCTAATTGTAATCAGGAATTTCATTGTCTTTGGTCATCGGATTGAAATTGAACATTACTTTACATCTTTTAAATTACATCTTTTTATTTTTACAGCTTTACAATCCGTCACTTGATAAATAGAAATATATTTAAGCGACCACTCGCTTGGTGTATGGCCAGGTGTGGCTAACAAAGCGTTTTCTGTCGGAAATAAATAATTATTTCCTCCTTGGAGGAAATTTCCGAGCTGTGAAAATGAAGAAAACTCCTTCATTTGGTGAGTACAATTCTATAACATTGTTCCATCAAAAGTGTTTTGGGGCGCAGCTTATCAGAGGAACGTAAATAAAATTAAATGGAGCAAGCGGATGACCGATGAAAAAAAAATATAACTCAGTACTCGATCACTGCAGTGAGTGACAGAGAGCGCATTTTCTCGTCGACGAAAACGTGAAGTCACGGACGGACAGAGAGACAGACGGACGGACGGATATGGCGAGCACAATAGGGAATTTCTCCCATAAATGAGAAAATGCGCAAAAAACAATTATTTTATTTCGGGACGATGCATTGAATGCCATGATGACATACAAATTAGGCCGCAACAGCAATTAGTAAAGAAAAAAAGTGCAGCTGCGAAAAATAGTTATATTGAGTTTCCTGATAAAACGTTCAACATTTTTAAAGTCCAAGTCTCATGACGTCTTGGTAAAGAAGGGCAAAAGTAATGCTCCTCGCTACGTTTTATTGAGAGGCAGGCTGGAGGCATTAGATCACCTATACGTTGGTATTTGCAAATGCCTCTCGCTCTAGCACGGTGAGTAGATAGAGCACTTGCTCTAGCATAGTGAGTTTGAAAAGCACCTGTGCTAACACGGTGGGTAGATAGAGCACTTGCTCTAGTATAGTGAGTTTGAAAAGCACCTGTGCTAGCACGGTGAGTAGATAGAACACTTGCTCTAGGATAGTGAGTTTGAAAAGCACCTGGACTAGCACGGTGAGTAGATAGAACACTTGCTCTAGCATAGTGAGTTTGAAAAGCACCTGGACTAGCACGGTGAGTAGATAGAACACTTGCTCTAGCATAGTGAGTAGCAAGAACGCGTAGAGTTAGATAAATACCACCTTTAGGTAATGAAACTCAGAAATGGCACTATAATTTACCAGAAATGTATCTCAGAGACAACATGATGATTGAGAAACGTTACTCCAGTGTTGATAGTTGGAGTCTTGATCATAAATTCAATAGCGCCGTCAAAAATACAGATATAAATTCGACGCATAGCCTAACTCGATATTAGTACTTAAATGCTGAATATGCCGCGCATCTTCCGGTTCACAAGTTTCACCTAAATCGACTCCTTTACTTAACGCACTGCCACGTTTTACAGTAATTGATAATTTTCCTACCTCATCCAATTCTCAACCCAATACTAAATTCACCAATACCCAACAATATAATATTATGTTATTCTAAGGTGTTTGTCAGTTTTGGATATTCCTAATCATTAGCCATTACTCTAAATCTGCTAGCTTGAAACAGTTCACTTTCATTTAATTATTTACTTGTAGAGTTTATCGGCCTTATGCGCCGCAGCATATTAAAGCGACGCAGGAGTGACTTGTAGGGCCTCAAGATGAAATTCTGGAAATTCTGGGTGTGAATATTTGATATTTCATTGTCAGCTATTGGAGCGGATTTTATTCTCACTTGGCGTTAAATTTTCATATTTATGTCTGCACCTATTGAAAAATAAATAGATATAAATTATTTACTAATTATGCCACAAGAATACTAGTATGACGTTGCTTGTATGTTTACAAGGCATATACGTGATACTTGAGAGAGGAAAAAAACAGTACTGATGCAGAAAACCCACATCTAGCACAATAATGTGACTTGCATTAACGTAAAATTGCTTAATTTCTTCCAGTAAAACTGGATGCAGTTAAAAAATTTAATGTTGGCATCGTTTAATTATCAAGCATTAATGAAAAACACGAAACCAGTAACATATGAATACTCACAAAAAGACCCAGTTTTGTTTTAATTGAGTTATTCATGCTGCATGCTGTATATGGGAAAAATAGTAAGAAGCAGTCATCACTATCCAAGATAATCTGAATGCGGGAGTTACTTAGGTCCGCCCTAAGGTATAATTCAATTTAAGGTAAAGTTCAATATAAGAAAAAACCGAGGAAGCAAATACCACGAAATAAATTTGTCACCAAAGGCATGCAAACATAGGAATGAGGTGAACCATGCCAATATATATAACTGGTGACCACCGGAGAGATAACTTAGTTTCAATTACTGAGTGATTCAGGCATTTGGTACTTGAATAAAAAACCTTCAGATTAGACTATAAAGCTTCTAAAATAACTTCCGGCAGCGGTAGCGTTCGAGGAAAGTCTTGATGTTACTAATTGGTTGTAACTTGATGCTACCGATTTTTACCGAGCGTGACTGCCTTAACGTACGAGTAATTGGTGATATTTAGCTGTTTTATTCAATGTAATTTCAACATACATGTTATTCATGGAATTGATGGTGTCGTTGCAGGACACGTATGGCTTGTGACGGCGTGGCTGGCTCTGGTGTTGACCAGTCGCATGTCTTCTGGAACATCCCAGACGACGTCAATAGCAAGCAATTCCTCTGACGCTGCTCCAACCACTGATGATACAACAATAGCGGCATCCATTCCAACGACTACTGTTTTAACAACAGCTATTCTATTTAATGATAACTCAACTGATGCCAACACGACAAACGCTGTTCCACAAACTGATTCTCCGACAACTGTTGATGAATCAACCGCAACAATTAATACTTCGGTCAATGTTTCTACAACTGCAACTGCTTTAACACCAACAGTTGCTGAAACCACCATTGTTTCCACAACAAATGCTAAGCCTTCAGTTGAGATATCAACTGCTACTTCAACGACAGATGCTCGAACAATAACTAAGGGAACTATCACCGAGCCTATTACAGAAGCAGCGACCCAAAGAAACGTTTCAACAATGAATGATTTCACAACCGGCACTTCGGCTACAACAGCGGTTGAAACGAATACAAAAGATGTTTCAACTACGAATGCTACAATGGTTACCTCAACAGAAACATCACCTGTAACAAATTCATCATCAACCTCCTCTGACGTAACTGTTCGCACAACGCAGAAATCTCATGAAAGTAATTACACCAACACAACATTTAATGCGACAATAAGCACAATGCACTTTAATGTTTCTGAGCCAACAAATGTTGCAATAACAACAAGTGCTGCTAATGAGACGATACCAACACCTACCAACACAAACACGACAGGCGTCGCCAATACAACTGCGGCCACAACTCCTCGAACTACAACAACCACCAAGAAGTTAGACCCTCCCACGGCAGCCATAACTGAACTGGCTGCAACTCGGGCTACAACAGCTAAAAATTATTACGAGATAGAAAATCAGGTCACTGTCCCTCAACAGAATGTTTATAACTCGTTCTCCACTTCCACCACAACCACAACCTCTTCCCCTTATCCTTCCTCGTCCGTAAGCCCAACTTCTACTGCATCCATCAGGAAGGGATCGAGTGAGGCATCAACCACTGAGGAACCAACTTCTCAAATCGCGTCGACTTTACATTCCTCTTCGACTAAGCTACCCACCACCACTCGTTTGGAGCCTGTCCCTTCAACGCAAGACTCTTTGACTACTGATAGAGTTACACCCTTAAATTTGGTCACAATATCCTCTCAATCTTCAATCTTGCCCACCAACCAATCTTGCTCGTTCCAAATCGCGTCAAATTTCTCAGAAACCAATCAAACCACGCAGTGCAATGTAACATTCGGGGACAACAGCCCCAACGTTAATGTGGACCTTATTGCCTCGAATCAATCCCTACATCATACCTACGCCTTGGAGGTGAGCTTCATTTTAGTTATTCATGAACTTCGTGCTAATTGCAAAGAGTTCGACTTCACACTTGATGTTCAGTGGAATGTTTTGATTGGCGTCGCAGATCGGAATTACGGTGTAGTTTCGGCTCGACAGAAATGATAGACTAACTAGTATTATTGGTGGAGATTTACTGCTAAAATGATTGACTGTCACAATGGCAAGAGAAGCGAGTTTTTATTCAAAGTGACTTTTCAGGAGTTAACTTGAATGATAAGCCTATTATGCGTTCGGAAGATTTAGTCAAATTCCAGTGTTTCAGGAATAAGAACCAATAATAGTGTCCTCGCTCCTTATTTGTCATTTTTTCAAAATTTTAATGATATGCATGTTAACTACCTAAATTTAATTGCTGTTGGAAAACCTGTAGCAATTCAATCTTAATAATTGGATAATTTTTGAAATTTAAAAGAGCATTTATTTTTCATAATGATTCCACATCGATGAACAATTTCACTGGATCATGATCCTAAAATTATTTTTCATCATTACCAATCCACCATATTTCTACGTGCAATGACGCGCTTGAAATTATTTCTCGTGTGAAATTCTTATATTCAGCGGGAAGGTGAGGCAACGGTGGAGGCTTGGTGCTGGAAGGCCAGTGGCGGCCCTATTTCCTCCAGTTCGCTGGTAGTTACGCTCGTCAGGCCTCTCAGTGACGTGCAGCTCACCGTCACGCCCTCTATGGTTGTCGTGCCTCCAGGCATTGTCAACGCTACCCTTACTTTCACTGGTGAGTTTTCCGAGAAATATTCCATTTTTAATTATTTATTACATTTTCGTGCTGTTTAAGTTAACCCTAATCAGTATATTCATTTATTTGTTGTTTTTCAACCTAAATTTGATGGTGGAAAACAGTTCGTGTAATCATGATTCACAAATTCAAATTATATTTTCGCGTCGAGGGTACTTCGTACGATGCGCTTGAATCCTTTGCTGCAAATTTGTGGTCTGAGACACTTTTTATATAGTAATTATGGATTAATTATTACAGAAAAAGTTCCTCAGATACAATCATTAGAGGCATGAAATTTTTAGCAGAAAAAAGGTAGTTTCGTCTCGGGTGTTTGATACTTCTTTCGGACAACAATGACAATAAGTCAAATTTCGTTTCAATGGTTAATGCTAAACTTTCCTCCGTTATCTGATAGATAGTCGACACATGAGCAGTATTTTTAGAGATATTTTTAAATCTTATGAATCTTTCGACTTTTCATATGTGTGGACAAGTAAGATATGTTGTCCTTAGCAATGTTTTCAAATCTCTGATTCCTCCCAACATGACAGGCTACAGGTATGCAAACCACAATCTGACGTTGATCAGAGACATGGGTGATGGGCAAACATTCAACCTTGGCATCAACAACTCAAACCAGCAACAGTCTTTCGTCTTCACGCACAGATACAACATTACGATGGTGTCTGCGAAAATAACCTTTATTCTAATGAATGCAGTAAGTGACGTGACTCTGATAGAGAACATCACCACGCAAGAAGCAATCGGCGGAGGTCAAATCACAGCAGTGAAAACCAAATTGCTGGTGAATGAGGAAGTTAGACTTCAACTCAATTTAACTTCACGTGCAAACGCTACCATCACTATTGACTATGGCGACGGTGCAGTGAACACGTTTTCAACGCCGCCATTTAACACAATGACTCACAAATATGCTAACCCAGGCAACTATAGCGTCAGAGCTTACATTTTCAACAACGTCAGCAGCGTTAACGTTTCCTGCAATAGCGTATTGACCGTCAGGAACGACCTGCAGAATTTAATTATAGATACCCCCGCAATGGTTGCCCTACCAGCCGGTAACTACGTCATTACGTTGAGTTCACCCATACTTTTCATAGGAGTTACATGCACCTTCAACGTGGCCGGTAATGTAACTCCTCAGAAATACTTCCCATTGATCTCGCCCAATTCTACTAGGCAGGTACTATTTAACCTCTCTTCACTGCAGACAAGAGATTACATCACGCGAGTGATTTGCCAAAATGAAGTGTCCAATATTTCTACCTTCACCACCCTCACGATGGTTGAGAGCATTACGGGTATCACGATGAAACTATCAAAGAACATCACCCAAATAGGAGACTCTTTCACCGTCAACCTAGAAGTAGCTTCAGGTTCAAATATTTCATTTGTGGTGAGCTATGGCGATGGAACCTTGGACCTGAAATACGGTGGCGCGGAGTTTCGTAAAAATTTCACAGGGGTATACAACACGACTGGAACATTCTTGATCAGAGGTTCCGCCGTCAACGCACTTTCTTCCGCTACTGCTGATGCAATAATTTACGTTATTGAGCCTCTCGAGGGCGTATCTTTCAGTCACTACAGCATCGATCTGTACTCAGGAAGAATATTCTCAGGCACTGGCGAGAGAAGTAACAAGTATAACCTGGACAGAAAGCTGGTCATTTCAGCAAACATCACCCGAGGTACAAACTTGAATTACGTGTGGATTTTCGACGTGGGTGGCAACAAAGAGTTTGTAACCACAACCGAAGCGCAGGTCATGCAGAAATACTACGAGCCTGGCAACGTAACAGTGACGTGCACAGTGTCCAACGGGGTGGTAAACGCATCCGACCGTCTAGTTGTGGAGATGTTGACACCGGCGTCATTAACGCAGTTTACAAACAATGGTCCGCAGAAAGCACAGAGCAACGTCACTTTCAGCTTAGTTTTGAGAAACCCAACGCCGACCACCTGCGTACTGATAAATCTTCAGAACTCGACTCAACTTTATGGCGCCTCAGTTTGCCCCCTAATCTTCAGGTCTCAAAACTTCGTCGACCTCAATTATGACTTTTTCGAGCAAGCGTTGTCAAATTACGTCAACTTCACTGAGTACTATGACAAGGAAGGGTCGTATACGGTCAGAGCCTCACTTTTTAACTGGGTGTCGCGCTCATTCGCTGCCTCTCAGGTGAGCCAACCAAACAATATAAACTCTGTTATATGCAATCAATTCTTATCTGAATTTTGGTTTAACTTGGCTTCTCAAAATAAAAATAACGGTGTAATATATTCCTACTGTGTACAGGGTTAGCCTCATAGTGTATCTGTCAGTAAATCAAAGTTGTTACTGTCCAATAATTGCATAATACAATAATGAAATAACCATTCGTGACACGAACCGTAACACACCAAACGCCCAATCTTTAGGTAGCCATCACTCGGGCCGAGTGCAAGTACCCGACCGTGTGGCTGTTCGGGAGAGGCAGGGACGTCGAGGATCCTCTGGTCACAAGCGTCGGTCAGCAGGTCGTCGTGGAGGCCAGCGTTACCCTCAACTGTACGTTTACGGTATTAATATGTCTTTGGAGGTATTGTTTAATCTTAAAGGTATCCTGAATTCTCAAACGATGAAGTGTCTTCATATTGAACCCTATTACACCTGCCTCACGAGGTCGCAATGTGACAGGATGAATAAATGAGTCTACTAGGCTCATAACTATAATGCTCAATAATGATCGGGTGCTGGACCAAGATGGAGTGCATAATTCAGACATTCAACCTCCAGAGGCAAGCAACAAACCACTTCTAGGTGTCCTGAAACCAATCAGCGACAACATTTGGCACTCCAAGCACCATTTAGCGACATCATTTTGCCCTCCCAATGCCACTTAACAACATCTTACCCTCTTAACACCATTTATCGACAAAATTTAGCCCTCTTCACTCCATTTGGTCACAACGTCTAGCCCTCCTAACACCATCTAGCGACAACATTTAGCCCTCCTAATATCATTTAGTCGCTGCATATAGCCCTCCTAGCACATTTTACGACAGCATCAATCCCTCCTAACAGCATTTAGCCACAGCATCTAGCCCTCCTTACAGCATTAAGCCACAACATCTTGCCCTCCAAGCACATTTAGCTACAACAAGCCCACCTATCACCATTTAGCTACAACACATAGCCCGCATAACACCATTTGGCCCTACATCAATCTGTCTTATGACTATTCAGTGTTAACTTCTTATCATAGTCACCTCCTGGGTCATCCAGTCTTTTCTTCGAAATCCTGGATAAACACATTTGGCCCACGTGACGTTCTATGATCTTATTATATAGCCATTTAAAACACTGAGGCAACCACATGAAGCTCTTCGCTTTAAATATCATGTAGCAACAACATCTTGCCGTTGTATGCGCATCAGGCCCATCGAGCCCATCCGTATCAAAAATTTGATTTTTATCAGCCGCTGGTACAAGGACGCCCCAAGATCGCCTAGCGCGTAAATTAGCGGCTCAATGTCCGTTTTAGGTACGAGGGAAATTATCGCCTGATTAGAAACCGGTCTATTCCCTGACAACCGTGGGGCGAGTGCGGGGTGCGCTTATTAATTTGGTACCTGATACGTTCGGGACAGACATGGCCGAATCTGAAAAGTGCGTTAAAAAATGCCCCCTCACTTACCCCCTTATGCTGGGGGAAGGGAGGGGCATTTGAATCGCTGTACGCTATATATATGAGCAGACTAGACATGTTTCACCGAGGCACAATTAATGAAGCAAATGGCAAGTAAACACTAGTTTGAACCGGGAATAATCTCAGTTAATACAACATTTAACCCGACTCTCCACATTACCCACAACTTTCTCTAATATTAACCAGAATGCAAGAGTCTTCCAATTGTCCAAACAACATAATCTACAATATTCACCAGCACTCAACATTCTCACACATTGCTCAAAACCAAACATTCTCCGACATTCACAAGCACTCCACAAAAAACATTCTCCAATGGGTGGTCCAATGGTCCAACATTACTGGGCAGGGTGGCCCAATGGTTAAAGTTCAGAGTACCGAGATTGGCGCAGAGAGGCGCGGGTTCGATCCCAGCTCTGTGCGCCAGTTTCTGGTCAGAATCGGCAAGGAGGCCAGGCGGTTAAACAAAGAAAAAATAGAAGCAGTGAGTTGCGAGTTAAAGCCCGCAACAAGCTGTGGAGGTTCTGCAATGTTAAGAATTGGCGACAGGCCTACGGCCTAATAAACCCTGAAACCGCTATATAAAGATATTCAACACCGCTCAATATTATCTCACATTATCCATGTACGAAACATTTTACCATTCATCCGTATGAAACACTCCTACCAATTGCGGTACTAAACATTTTACACATACGGCAGAGCAAAACATTCACCTTAACCAGTATTAAACCTTCCCTCATATTCGCCAGCACCATACTGGCGTATATAAACTGTTATATATCCCTCATATAACAGTATATTCACATATACTGTTGAGCATTCTCCCGCGATAATCGCTTGAAATCAGTCCTCGAAATTATTCCAAAATATTTGCAAACAGCCTATTGTATCTACAGGGCTCAATTCTACCCATATAATCACAGCGCAGATTCAATCTACTATATAGTAGCTAATACCTGTGATTCCAGGTATGAACTACCTAAAATATAGTGAATTGTTCTCGGTAATGCAATTCTTCCCAATCCTGTGTATCTAATATTCTCAAAATGCATACGCCCAAAACTACTTTTCACATTGACCAGTATCAAATATTCTCTCACTAGTCTCATATTCACCAGTACCATTTTTCTGACATTCATCAGTACCAAACATTATCTTGCATTCAACAAGTCAAGAAATTTTCTTCCAATTCACCAGTAAAAACTTCTCCCACTTGCAATAAGAACCAAACATTCCATCACATATACACCAGTACCAAGCATTTTCGCGCAGTAATCAGTCTTCAAACCCAAAGTTCTCCTACAACATTCACAAGCAACAGCCTAGTGTATATACAAGACCCAATTTTAAGACAAGGCTAAATTTTAATCCAATTCAAAATAATACTTCAATTTCACTTCGAATAAAGTTCAAAATAACGGAAACGTACACCTTCCGAAGCGGAATGCTTCCGAATACGCTTTGTAACCCTGTTGAAACAACGTGTTCAGCAGCAAGTTGTTCGCCGACCGGTTGGTAAGACTGCCAGGCGCCGCTACATAACTTGAGCACGTAATTCAACTGTTGACGAATCTAAGCTTTCGGTTCCACAATCCCCAAAACAATCCTGATGTCTTGTTTGATCAATCAGAAACCTCTAGTATATGAGCACGAGTAGCTGAAAAAACACGCTCATGTCAACATATACCCCAAAATAAAAATTTCAGCAAAAAAATGTAAGCAAGATTCTTGAAGCTCAATGATGTGTTCTTGAATGTCGTCATGAAGGGTATTCCAACTGCCAAAGAACTTTACTTCAGAAGGCATTGGACATTTAACACTTATGAAGTTGTGTTTCTAAACATTCCTAAATTAACATGTTCAGCCTTTAGAAACTCAATTATTTTCTTTTCGCTCACATCGCAATTCACACCAAGGTTACACGATTGGAACGAGAAGCATGTCTCACTTATCACCCGCACGAGACGAAATGCACCAAACTACTGAGCGTCGAGGGTGGTGGGGGTAGTGGGCATAACCCCACCTTTGAATGGGGAGCATTATGGGGTTGTTTAGCAGTCTTGCCTCGAATGCGTGAGTTTTGAACACATTTGTGCACAAGTAATTTGCGCGTGTTGCCTAAAATACAAAACTCGCGTGTTGCTAGAACGCGACGCACACATGTAGATATAAATGTAACACAAGCGTGTTCAAGATAACACAATGCACGCGTGTTGCTGCACATATTCGATAATCGCAAGCGTGTTAACAGAAAAACAATGTTCGCGTTAAATGTTGACGGATAATAGTAACAACCCTATTGACATAAAAGTAACGCAAGCGTGTTGAAGATAACGCAGTGCCCACGTATTTTTCTGTGTGCACGCAAAACACGCGCATTAACAGACACCCATTAATTGCTCGCATGTTGAATCTCACGCAACTCTCGCATGAGCAACACCCACTCGATGCAAGCGTGTTGAAGATAACGCCACGCAAGCACGTTGACGTACACGCAATGCAGAAGTGTTGAAACACTCGCGTGTTGATAAATGCGTACCCATGCACAATGAACATGCAGCGTCAGGACTGAGGCAGAGACTAATTGTCACGCTCACGCTAAGAACTCATGCCAGCTACTGAGCAGGATAAGCAAATGGCAGCCTGACCAGCCGCTGATTTCGTGTGTCATTAATAAATAAATAATAATAATAACGGTTTCAGCTCTTATTACGCCGTAGGCCTGTCACCGATTCTTAACATCGCAGAACATTCATAGCATTTTGCGGTCTCGAACTCGCAACTCACTGCTATACTTCTGCTGTGCTTAACCGCGCCGGCCTCCTCGCCGACACTGACCAGAAACTGGCGCACAGAGCTGGGTTCGAACCCGCACCTCTCTGCTCCAATCTTGGTACTCTGAATTATAACCACTGGGCCACCCTGCCCCTGATCATTGATCCTGATATTTACCATGAAACTACCCAAAGTAGCTCCTATTTAGAGGCTGAATACAGGCGGCTGTCATTTCGTGCTTGATTCATCTCTAAGGCGAGAGTGGAAACCGAAAGGCGACCGAGAGCTGACTCTAAATTTTGACTGGGATGTAATTACCAAAATCAGCAGCAGTGTTGCCCCTGCAATGATAGAACGCTACAACCCCATGGCACTGAACATCTTTAGGCGACATTATATAAGCCCTGTAACATCGACATCTAGTGCGTGCAAAATCTTAAGGAAACAACATTATATGTTGCTCATTATAAAAGTGGAAACATAAAAACGGATAAATTGGAGGTCAACCACTATCTAACGCATGTTAAATCGTAAGATAATAATTGACTCGTGTCACAAGCAGCACACAAACTTCAGCCGTTAAAAAATCTCTAGCAGAACGCGATATCTTCAACATTATTTAAAAGCCACATCTTGCCAATTAAATTTCCTATAAGACCAAATCATCCAACCGTTGTGTAAATGAACTTCGCGCAATGTTCATAAAGATTGGTAATACCAACTTCAATAGGCAGAATGTAATACAATAGAGCTAAAATTCACGTATCAAAAGCAACATTTTAAAGAAAACAATGTGTAGAATTTGTAAGATAATAGCGGTGTCAGCGTTGATTATAGACCGTTACTGGAACTAAATCAAGAGGGATATGCGGAAATACAGTGACCGTCTAATGGTCTGTAGATAATTTAAAAATAGACCAAATAATGATGCCACGGAAGCACCACTCAGTTTATTCCTTCTGATTCTGATAGTGATTTTTTTAGTGCCGTCGCATCGTTTATTTAATTGATTTGCATCTTCCGTCCATTTACAGTTTCGGAAAGACTTCATTAGGTTTCTGTCTTTACAATGAAAATGCTTTTTCTATTCGCAGGCCAGTACTCTTCTCGTGCTAACTACACATGGTCGCTGTCCCGGATTGGCCTGCGAGACGCTCTCGTCGACACATACATCAACTACCAACTCAATGCTTCGCTTAGCAACGATCCAAGCGTATTTCTCCGCAGCGTGGTGTTCCCGGCCTTCTCTCTCGCCACCGACATAATCTATAATGTTTCACTCACCGTTACAATGATCGACATGCCCGAGGTGAAGTGCCATTTTCTGATAAATAACTCAGGTTTGTCGCTTTTGTTAACTTGTAATAGGAGGCAATCATCATAATCTTCAATTTCAATTTAGTTACTACGTCTATTGATATGCAACTTTGATATTGTGTTATATCAAGAAAATATGATATCACCTCCTGTTTGGCTAATTGAATTGATATCTGTGTTACCACGTTTATTGGTGATGTAAATAAAATAAAATATGATAGGCTACGTAGCGTTCCACTCTTACTCCACACTCTAGGACTCAACTAAACCTATATAATTATGCCAATACCTTATCTTCATATCATTCGCACTGAAAATTAGTTGTCAAGTCCGAAGCTTTCACTAAGGTATCAATTTAATTTAGGCGGGTATTTGTCATCAGTGGTCTCTATCGGTAGCCTACTCTATATCAATAATATTGCTTATATATAAATATAAAAATTTAAAATCTGCTTCTCAAAGAGATTTGTTATTATATTTTGTCAATGAAAAACATTTTCAAACGCGTCCAACGGAAAAATGTTATATATATGAACTAAATTTCAAGCAGAGAAACAAAATTTTCTATGAGATTCAGAATTAATTTTTCAACATTTCGTTTCCTCAGATCTACCGCACTACTTCGTCTTACATCTACGTTAAGTCTCGACCGCTTCTACTGAGCTTCAGAAGCGGCTCCCAGCGTGTTGTGGGCTACAGTAAACCTTACACGGTCGACATCGTCTCTCAGTCTACGGTACAAACGTGACACTTGCTGTTATTTTACCATGAAATCTACCTCATATGCGTATGAAATCTACCTCATACCTCATATGCGTATGAAATCTACCTCATATGCGAATGAAATCTACCTCATACCTCATATGCGTATGAAATCTACCTCATATGCGTATCTACCAAAACAATTTGTAAGCCTACCTCATATGTCAAGCTGAAATGCGTTTGGTGCGTTGAAGCCATTGCAGTGATAATGTAATTTCAATCTGCTACAGCACGAAGAAATAGTCACAACATTATATAACTTCAAATATGAAATTGGGCGGTCAGAATATTATTGTATTTTTCAGTTCTCGAAAAAAATAAGAAAAATAATTTCCAAAACTGAAATTACGCTCCCATTAACAATGAACGTATAAAGTTCATATATACCATATTATATGTATACGAACACAATTTAGTGTCATTCATTATCATAACGATGGGGGAAAAAAACTCGAAATGGTTTGCAAATAATTTAATGAGTAATCTTGCAAAAAAAAACATCGAAATAAATCGCTTGCAAAAAACCATCAAAATAAAAAGGAAACAACTAATCTGGTTCTAATATTTGAATATCAGGAACATAATGCAAGAGGTACACGATTTTATGGCAATAAAAACATTCCAGGATCCAGACGACTCAAGTGAAGCGTCTAAGAGTCAGTGGAGGTTCGTGTGGTCTTGCTACCGTGAAGGTGAACCTCGACCGGACCCTAGCGTTGCACCCATCATCGAGATACCAACAACACTCATGAACATCACCGTCATGACGGACAAGGGCGGCTGTTTCGGGACGGGACCAGGTCGTCTGAACGTTCCCAATACCAGAGGTTGGTTTATCAAGAATTTGCAAAGAGAGGCTGGTTATCAACCCAATACCAGAGGCTGGTTTATCAAGAATTTGCAAAGAGAGGTTGGTTATCAACCCAATACCAGAGGTTGGTTTATCAAGAATTTCAAAGCAAAGAAGACAGCCAAAAAATTCACCATTTCTTAAGAATGGAAACGTTTTGGAGTCCAGCTCCATCGTCAGTTCAATAGTAATACCTATAAGACAAGTAGAATCAATTAGAAAACTAGAATTCACATTGAAGATAAAATCCTAAATTGACGGAAGAAAAAACAAATACACGTGAGGTGGAATGCCTATCTATTTACAATTTCAAGGGGATAGGAGCTGAAGGTTGCATTTAAATTAGGTTTCTGTTTAAAAATATACAGGGATTCTAAAATTCGAAGGGTTCTTTGAGAGCCTTATGTCCCTATGACTTTGCAAGCTAGGGGCCTCCAATTTTGTTGGCCATTAATATCTGAACACATTATACAGAACGAATAATGTTGCTTGAAAAGCTAATAAAAAACAGCCAAGATTCTGTGAACCAGATCACAGCTTTCAATGATTTCCAGTGATATATTTGGTCTATGGCTCAAGGACATTAAGTTCTATTCATCAGTCAACCTGAACTAACCATTCGTTCAAACTTACATCACAAATAGTTCTTAGAGCGATATTTCAACTTACTATACGATCTATTTCAAATGATACTTAATGATTAAAGATCATAAAAGTTTCTTCCAAAATATAACTACTCCGGTGATATAATTTTGCCGACGTGCTTTTTAGCGCATTTTCTCATATATGGAAAAAATGCACTATTGTACTCGCCATGTCCGTCTGTCCGTCCGTCCGTGACCTTAGGTTTTCGTCGACGAGAAAATGCGCTCTCTGTCAATCACTGCAGTGAGTACTGAGTTATATTTTTTTTTCAAATATCACCCGAGTTATCAATGATATAATGTCTTTGAACATTGCAGGCACTCTGGAGCTGAACACGAACTACTCACCCCTGCTGGCGGTGATAGTCCTGGAGGTGGAGGTACGCACTCCGCGTAAGTCGAGCGTGGCCCAGCACAGGGTGCAGATCGTGCCTGGGGATCCACCGCCAATAACTATAAGGTTAGTATACATTTCTTCACAACGTCTGCTTCGTTTTTAGAGAGACTACAAAAGATTCATCAGCAGGTGCAGAGAAATGCATGAACACCAAGAGTTAAACGAGAAATTGCCCAACTCGAATCTTCCAACGAGGTATACATTTGACCTTCTTCACGACCACGTTCATCTGGCTGACAGCATCCTCATCCATCATCATCCCTCAAACCACTTCAACCTGAAAGTAAACTAAATTTGATCGCCGGATAATTCATTCGTGCAGAATACAACTTCAGAAATCGAGCCCAAAATTCAAACTGACAGACCTGTAATTTTCCAGCCGTCTTTCAGTTACTTGAACGCGCTAACGACTTTGCGACGGTACAACTGTTTATTTTTCGTAGGAATAGACGACGCTTCTGCCCAAACAAAGGCGTAGGCAGAAATACTTCGGGAGAAATTATTGACTATAGTTCTGGACTCACATTTGAAAAGTAATAAAATTAGAAGGCAATCCCCATGTTATTAAAATACACTCACATCCTCATTGGCTACAAGTGCTATAAATTTGAATGAAACCTAACTCACCTATGCTCCGCCACTACACAATCCTACTCTGAGCTAGCAACCTACGGCCGCACCTACACACAATGCATCGACACATAGCAACAGAAGTGCTTCAGTGGCCACCAAAAACGCATGATAATGGCCGCAACTATCCGTGCCGGAAGTACGACATATTAAGTCTAGTAAAAATGTAACAACAATCGACCATGAAACTCATAATACAGAATGAAAATACACTGAAATAGCCAAACATGCACTGATACAAACCAAAATCCCATAAAACATCCTCACTTTCACCAACACCTAACACATCGAACTGACTGCATTATTACTTGCAACCCATACTGCCCGCCTCGCTTGACACGGAATATTCGGTTTAATACTCTGAAAATCACTGAAAGCGAATAACGATATCTACTCTATATTTTCTCGACCGTGACTTAGCTAAAATAATAATTAAACTTTTTCTACAACCACGACGACATCAAAAGTCCTGCAGTAACTACTTCAAAATCTGAACCGAATTTAAACATGACGATGTCATGAGACGGCAGCCGTTCAACAGAACTGCAGCCGGACGACGAACTCCAGAAGACCGACCATCCAGCCTCGGTAACCAAGCCCACTATGAAGACCGTAACCCAAAGAAAAGAAAAATATGTAACGAACAATACAACGAATCGTTGATCACGCAAGGAAATTCCCCTCCTCCCCACCAGGTGCATCAGCAACTGCCAGGCTAAGATACCTCCCCTCCTCCCCAACAGGTGCATCAGCAACTGCCAGGCTAAGATACCTCCCCTCCTCCCCAACAGGTGCATCAGCAACTGCCAGGCTAAGATACCTCCCCTCCTCCCCAACAGGTGCATCAGCAACTGCCAGGCTAAGATACCTCCCCTCCTCCCCAACAGGTGCATCAGCAACTGCCAGGCTAAGATACCCCCCCTCCTCCCCAACAGGTGCATCAGCAACTGCCAGGCTAAGATANCCAGGCAGCCAATTCCGCATCAGCCTCCTAGGAACCTCCCCCTGGGCCGCCCCAACCTACACGCTGCTCGAGTTCGCGACCACCCGACCTCCTTATGGCGGCAACTGCTCCGTCACTCCCATGCAGGGTCTGTTGAGAGCATGCCAATATTTTGCCTGTTACCTTCCTACATGTTACTTGATTACCTGATGCCTCCCCTACATGTTACTCGTTATCTTGCTACACGTTACATAATCACCTGGCACCTTCCTACTTGTTACCTGTTATCTTTCTACATGTCACCTAATCACCTGGTACCTTCCTACACGTTACTTGATTACCTGTTACCTGGAATATATTAGACAAGTATCTAGCCTTTCTGCATGTTAGTCGATGACCTGTTACCTTGCTACATGTTACCGGCACCATAATGCAATTAGCAATAAAATACCATCTGTATTACGGAGCAGTGAGTTACCTCATTTTGCTGTTCCCTGCTGAACATTAACACAGGTAACTGCTGTTATTATTAGAAAACTGGGTAATTACCCCACGGCGTCATTTAATTGCAAGTGAGTTTAGTGCCTGTGAGGCTCATTTGTTCTTAGCTTGTCAATACTCAGACACGTCCCACTGGTCTCCTCTCTAATTGAAACTTCTCCAACATCTCACTCATCAACCTTTCGCCACTTATAAATACTCATCACCATCCGCTCACTAACCACTCACCCTCAGTTTGCCATAACTCACCTCCCACTCATCCGAGTTTTGCCATCACCCACCTTCCACTCATCCCATTTCTTCCCTACTCACCCCCGACTCATCCCGATTTTATTATCACTCACCCCCTCCCACTCACCAGGTGAGGCCATGACGACGGCATTCACGGCCACATGTGCGGGTTGGATCAACCCTGAGACGTTGACCTCAGCAGGGCTCGTCTATAGGGTAGGTTGAAAGCACCTCCGAGCATGTTGAATTTCAGTTTTGTCCTTCAATTTACGCGACGTTTTTGTGACTTTTCATTCGACGATTTGCAGCTACTTGCTGAGGTTATCACTAACCTGCGTGTGCGTTCACTAACCTGCGTTCACTCGAATGAAACTAGTTCTGTTTGGGAGTTACCTAGCTGTGCTCGCGCCGTCTCCGACTTAACATGTTTCCATCGAGGGCTGCATTTGAAGTGTATATGGTGCGGTCGATGCGTGTGGTTAGAACGCACTTCCGTTTGGGATTAACTAATGTATTGAATTCCCATTTGTGGGATGATTTAACCCACGTGGATTGAACTTACTTGCGAGAGTTGAAATTTCTTGCTTAGCTCGCGTCGGTGGAACTCGTCCGTGCGGTTTGAACAACCCCGTGTGGGTGACACTCCCACGCGCAGGTGTGGCGGGTGGTAGGGACGGACGCGCCGGCGTTGCTGCGCTCGTCCCCGACGTCGGAGCTCGTTGGACTCGTGTCAGGACCCGGCGACGCAGCGGCAAACTTCGCCGTGACGTTCCTCGTCGACGTCGCCCATGATCTCGGCGCCTTCGTCAGGACCAGCGTCGCCGTCACGGTGAGATATGTGCAGCATAGCAATATCTGTCAATCTGAAACAATTTTACCCGAACTTTTCAGGAGATATTTTTGCATTCATTTATGTATGGTATGTATGTTCTAGTTGCACGATTCATTCGTGCAGCTGGTCTGTTTTTGTTCCTTAATCTGTGTAAAAAAATATGTCATGTTTTATTTGAATGGAAGAAAGTAATTCACGTGTATGAATAATGGAATGCGAGTGCCTCAATGTGGGCAGGTGCGGCCCGCGGTGCTGGCGGGCGCCGACGTTACAGCTTTTGCGGAGAGCGCCACGGACCTTCTGAAGACGGGCGACCTGCAGACGGGGCTGCAGCTCGCCGCCGCCCTCGCCTCCAGCCTCAACACTGCACCTCAGGTGCGAGAGTGATTAGTGAGGATCTGTTGGAGGTAAATCTAGGCTGCATCTAGGTGATGAGCGGACGCAGCTGTGGATGAGGGATATAGATGCATAAATGTAACGTGAAGCATGTTGGTGACAAGAATCTAGGTGTAGTACAAGTGGTTCAGCAAAAATTATCCATAGTCATCTCGGTAACTATCTTAAGCAGTCCGGTCTCGTGCCTTTCCTTTAGTCCGCATATCGTCGCGGATGCCAAAACTAAATTGAGAACCTAATTTATTTGGTTTATGACTGCTCGGTGTCAGCATCAGCTTCTGGCTGACCCTGTTCGCTAGGTCATCACTCCTGCGTTCTCGATTTTAAACCATGCATTCAGCCGGACTCAAATATCTACGAACAATCACGTCACTATGCCAAGCTCATCACTGCTTCTTCTTGCACTTAGCGACGAATTTGTAGCGTCATGCACCTGTTGTGCCTCGGGAACCTTGTGGTCACATATGTTCAGGCAGGGCGCCGCCGTGGAAACACAAATTCAACTATTGGATAAGCACTGGAGGCAACGCAACGGCAATGCCTCACTGATTAAATTCCGGCCACAGCACAAGAGAAACTGCAATATGTAATGAACGCCGCCGCGTAATACACGAGTTTAAAAAAAAACGGTCACTTGGTAATGACGTTACATTTTTTATTGGTTGCGCAGCGCGCGTTTAGCTGCAAACTTAGTTAAGGTCTGCTTCCGTCGGCAACGGTGATTGCGCAGATTTATAGGCTATAAATTCAACTTTTGAAAAAGCTCTGAAAGTGACGCCCAGCCTCAGCAAGCAATAACTTTACTCAGCCTCAGAGATTGAAGCCGCAGATGATTCTGGAATACTGTAAAGTTCAAACAGGATGACACTAATTGGGCTCAACCATTCCACCCACGACTACCACCGCGTCTCAACGAGAAATTAATGATCGGTGAACTATAATTTATTGAAGAAAGACCAGAGAAAGCTGAGTAACGACATAACCAACTAATTAACAAATTTTAACGCGAATAAATTACCGAATATAAATGGGTACATAGCAACACAGCAGTATTGAATGTAAACAATACAGCGGGGATGCGTTACAGAAGGTAAACGATACTGAAGGTGCAAAAGCATGAAGTCACGCGATACGGTAGATAAACGACATAACACTGAAAATACTATGTGCAGAAAATACTTAGAATAGGAGGTACGCAGAAATTAGGTTACACAACAATAAAGGTACACAGCAATGAAGGTGCACTGCAATTAAACTGTGGCTGTAGACACTCGGCGCTATATCTTTAAGCGCTCAACTTACCAGATGGCTATGCCCCTAGCGTGCTTATTGCTTACTCATGGAATGGAGTATGAACTAAGGTTTGCGTTTGACATATCTGGCCTACGGCATGCGCCCCGTCAACGACGAAAATCATCGTACCAACGTCGGAACTAATTCCTACGGCGTTGTACAAAGTGTTTTTTGTTATTTTTTCCGTCTTATTTTAACTGACTTTTAAAATTTTCCTCAATGCCCTCAGTATGTAACATACCCTCGAAGACCTATTGTAACAGACATCACAATACATCTTCGTAAAATAACAAGGTCATTCGATTTAGCATAGCATTCATACATGTAATGGCAGTGGAAGATCCTTATCATAAAATCGTTGGACAAATTTTTTAATTCGATTTCAAAAATTTATTTATTGCTTTAGATAATTATTCTACGAAGCACATTCCTTAAAACGAGAGTGCAAACCGTATATGATCATCAGTAATTAATTTAAACTATTCTGATCATGTGATTGTTAGAAGTGACAATCAACCAGGAATTAAAAAATATCTATAATAATCTAGCGGTAAAACGAAATTTTAACTGTGGAAATTAAAACTTTGATTAACAACGAGAGATGGGGTGAGGTTTTTCGTTTAAATGTGGACAAGGTTGCTACAGTATGCGATTACTCGAGAATCACTATGGAGGTGTTACTTTTGTAGTGTCTTAATTTCAGGACACAAGTCAGCAAGCGTGTTGCAGTTCCACGCACTATAAGTTCATGCGAAGAATTATTATTAAATTAAATGAATGATTCAAAATCAATCAGCACAGGAAACGATCCCTTAAATGTCGAAAAGCAAATATAATTTGGCTGTACGAGTTTGGAAGAGCCTATAAGAGGCTCTTCGATGTGCTCCTGAATGATGGAACAACTATACAAATTTTGACTATTCCGCAATCAATGTAACTATTTGTGAAACTAAATGATGTAACAAATATTCAAATTTTGACTATTCTGCGCTCAGTGGAAGAATTACAATGGCACATTTAGCTGTTGGAATCTTGATATAGAAAATCGGACAATGGTTGACAATATTGCCTTTCCATAAGAAATTTAGAGTAAAATTTAATTATTTGCAAAATAATCGGAAAGGATACAAGCTATTGAATTAATTTTGTTAAAAGAAAACAGGAAATGATTTCAGAAGCGCACTAAGTATGCAATATCGTAATTTTTGGGAATGATACAAGCTATTAAAATATTTTTTTAAAAGAATACAGGAAATTATAACAGTGATTTGATATGTATGCGATATCTTTACATTTTGTTCTCAGGCGAGTGTGGAGGGGATGACGATGACCGCGGCGTCCGTGACGACGACTCAGAGCTCATCAGTTGACAACGAACGCGTGCGTCTGCGGGACGAGCTCACTTTAGCGGTGACATCTGCGCCTGTCAATACCCTCGAGGCGCTGCAGCAGAGTGCTAGGTGGGCCTGGATGTGATTAAATTTATTACATTTGATGTGATTAGATTTATTACATTTGATGTGATTAGATTTATTACATTTGATGTGATTAGATTTATTACATTTGATGTGATTAGGTTTTTTACATTTGATGTGGTTAGATTTATTACATTTGATGTGGTTAAATTTATTACATTTGATGTGATTAGATTCGTTACTCTTGATGTGATTAGATTTATTACATTTGATGTGATTAGGTTTATTACATTTGATGTGATTAGATTTATTACATTTGATGTGACTAGATTGATTACATTTGATGTGATTAGATTTATTACATTTGATGTGACTAGATTGATTACATTTGATGTGATTAGATTTATTACATTTGATGTGACTAGATTTATTACATTTGATGTGATTAGATTTATTACAATAACGTTATCTTCCATGGCACGTGTTCAGGAACGCAGGCGCTGCATGAGCTTCAACGATCTAATACCATAAACATTATTTGCTCGTGGCGTCGTGGTCCATATGGCGTCAAAGTAACAGCGGAGGTTAACATTTAGGAAGGATTAAACAAAAATAAGGTTTAAAACCTCTACATTGTAAGGAAAAGACACCGAAATTAAACAAGTTGTTTACCGGTGGCATATTGCAAGGGCAGGCTTGAGCAAATCGTTCTTGTCCTGGATGTCTGTCGCTGATTGCCTTTTCCGAATCTGATTCAAAAACTTATTTCCTCTTGGACCTTTTGCACATGGCATTGGATCGTTGGCTACGGTAAACAACTATTGTTAGGATGAAAAATGCTGGAGTCACTTCGTTCTTGCGGACGTGACTTCTTCTTCTCTTACACGTCGCTGCGTAGCTCTAAACTTCTTAATTAAGTTGAACGGCGTCCAAGTTCCAACCATAAACGGCGCGGGAGTTCGAAACGATGAACACTGTGAGTTGTTTGACTGCTAGTAAATCTTCTATATTTTAACGAGACTATTAAATAACGTCGGCGTCTCTCTGCACTTACGGCAAATCTCGGTCCGTTAGAAGTCGTGTTGAGCTTTCGTACTTCATGTCGGTCGTCCGCTCATCACACACTTACATTAAACCTCTGTGATATTAGGTCACTGACTTTACCATTAAATATTTACCATTAACTATCAACCAAAGCTGCTGTTGCAGCTTTAACTGTTGCAAAAAAAAAATAGAAACGACCTTTACAATAGCGAGAAATCTATTTTCACTTCATGAAGAATATTGATATTAAGCGCTTTCGTCCAGCCTGCCAGTGAAATAGGATAGGATTTAACGCCATCCATCAAAACGAAAATAATTCCCAATACAGTGCAATAATTTGCCAGATAACCTAGTGGATATTCGAAGTAGCGTGCTATGTGTGAAGAGACAAAGGATTGGATGGAATGGATTAGTATGATTCAAGGTGATAATCTAGAATCGGCTAATATAGAAATCTTTTGTATTTCCGCTGACTACTCTATTGGCTCCAATATGAATGGCAAATCATAAATTTTGAATGCAACATCGCTAAATTCACTAACAAGCTTGCAATCTAGCAATTTATCGAACCAGAATTTAGAATGAAGACTGAAGAATTTAGAATGAAGCATGAAGCTACGGGATTGCATTGGAAATGTCCTTCAACAACCACTCTTTCATCGCCTCGAACATAAGAGTCCTCAGTCCGCATCAGCCAGGTCTTCACCAAATTCCATAGTTGTTTGATCAGCGGTTTACTTTCTCGTTTGAAACAACCACCGCTTCAGTCTCCTGTGGAGCCAAATTATTAAGCTAGACACCGTCGCGTTCAATCATAATTTTTGTTTCCACAAGGACTTCTCAGTCTCCCACGAGCTTGACACTCACAACGACCGAACATTGGGGCGCGATTGAACCCTGTATAAGGGGCCGAAACCCACAGACGACAATCAGGAACAAATACCCATGAACTCTCCCTCCTGGGAGACTGTTAGACCCACATTGCTCGTACAAATTTTAAGTAATGATTTAAAAGTATTGGTATGCTATAACTTTTTTATTGAAAACGAACATGGAGGTAATTAAGTAATGTCGCTATCAGCACGATGTCAGCCATCACGCAGCAGAAGGAAGAAGTGTCAGCGGAGAGTCAAATGCTCACTGTCGACTTCATGGCTGCGGTTGCTGGCTCCCTGACGCACTTCACCAAAGGCGAGAAAGGAAATCCTCCTTCACTGCAAGACACGGTCAGCTCTGCAGCCGGTGAGTATCAGCTCTGATGTTGGTGAAGCACTATTGGCAGCAAGTCGTAGCTCCGTAGCTAATGAATGTGTTATTTTGGTTCAAGGGTCAGTTCAATTGATAGTGAGTCAGCATCAAAGCTGATGATTGTCAGCAGCGCAGCAGAAGAATGTCAGCTCTGCTAAGAATGAAAGCTTCATTACAATTATTGTTTTAATTGTCATATGTAATTTTGGATGTGATTGTTCGCGCCACATTAGTGACACTAACAATCATGGCGCCATTTTTTGATAGTGTATTGTTAGCGGCACATTAGCGGCTCTCGTTTGGGAAATTCTAAGCTATCCTCTTGGCGGGAAAGGATGGAAGAACTGACGACAGCATTTATTCTCGGAATAAAGAAACGCACAATAGAAAAATACAAGTAGACTATCAATGAGAAAAGTAATTATAAAATTCAGTAATTTATATTTTATTGAAATTATGGTCATATTAAATCCTGAACCCGGTTGAACGAAATAATTGACAAGATCCGGGCTATGAACTTCAAAGCGATTTAGTTGAGCGCCGTTGTGAAAACTCTACATAAGTTAACATGTTGATGCTGGCGGCAGTATAAAAATAATTTCTAAATAAAGACATACTTATAACCGCTATAATTGGTCAAATTTGAGCGATCAACTTTTCACCAAAGACACAATTTAAATTAGTAGGGGTTTACAGTAGAACATTTACGCCGTTTAACAATTTATCATAATAAGGCATTTAATTTTAGGTATATATCATTTTTGAATGATATATGAATTGATACCAATTAATATTTCTTGACCACAGTAAGATCGATCTTAATGAGGCAACACATTGAGCACGAGTTTAAAGTTCATATTGCCGATTAACGTAAAAAGATTATGACATCAAACTTATATAGACTGGCGCATGAACCACAATAACCGTTTTAAAAAAGTAATCAATGAAATTTCCTGAAGCATGTAAGGGAACATGGTGTAGTAAAAGCAAACATACTTGACATATACAACATTACATAACCGTGGTTAGAAGAAGCTTTGATCCAGCGTAGCTTCTAGGCAAGCTCGACGTGCAGTGACAAGGCAAACGATTGAAATTACTGGGGGAAATCACGTAGATGGGGGAAATCACGTTTCTAAGGCAAAATGACACATTTATTCCATTCAGTTGTTGCTTATGTTATATGACGGTTAGACTTACACATGAATTAAACACAAATTCCTGCAGGCTTCATTTTTGGGTCCTATACTCGGGCACTGTCGGCAGAGGAATATGGAGACACGCTTAATTCTCTTGCGCTGTTGCCATTTGAGAACTCGCACTAAATCGAATCGCGTTTGTACTTTTACTAAATGTGAAACATTCAGAGTATTTTAAAATAGATGAAACTTTGGATTATTATGCGACTATCTTGGTCTAAAAAATAATTAAACTGGCCGATGAGTATTTACTCGCAAAGGAAAATGTGAATAGGCTAACATTTTTATAGTTTAAGGCACGCATTGAATTCGCTTTCTGCGATTCCAGATCAGTACACAAATTCATATTTATTTTGCAAAGTTTACAACCGTTCATCCGGTCAATACAGTTTCGGAGTCAGTAGACTTGTATTCTTCGTTGATTCTCGCATGTTCAGTTAGACTGTTGCATCAAAAATAGAACAATTTGACGCGCTCGTTGATGTCTTCAATTGTTACAACAGGTATTATGAACAGCGTCGCTAACGTTGGATCAGCAGCTGCTGCGGCGTACAGCAGCAGCGTACAGAAGGCGCTGAGCCTCATAGCATCGCACAACGGAAGCGAAGCCAACACCACCGAGGCCCTCATGACGAGTCTGGCCGAGCTAACGACCACCACGCAGTCACCAACCACCATCAGCATCATTACATCTACCGCCGCAGCCTTAGAAGCTGCAACCACACAGGTGTTTTACGGACATATATATTTAAATATAAAATACGAGTACATATAATTTTCTTCCTGCTTCATTGAGGATCGAAGAAATCATTTTGTTTTTCTTTTTATTTTTTCTTTAAAATGATAAAAATGTTGATTATTTTATAGTATAAATTTATTCAAATGGTTTTTAAGACTTTAGGCCAACTATAGTAAGTGCATAGAAAATTTTCAATAGACATCAGAAGGTCGCTCCCCCAGCTTGCTTCTGTTCACCCTAATTAAAAAAAGGATTCGTACTACAACGGTGTAGTAGATTGCAAGATTGTGCGGTGGCATAGAGTGATGAAAGCCACTGGCTTCTAGAAGTGTCTCACCTCGCACCAGGGTTTTTACTTTGAAAGGGTCGGACTATTCTCATGAACAAGTCAAACACTTGCTTAACGTTTTGTTCCGTTATGATTTTATACTGCCACTGAACAACCATTTAATTTTTGTGATAATGCCTACTTTTTCACTTTCTTGCAAATGCTTTTCCCGTGCCTCTCTGGTGTGTGCTTGGGCTGACTTGTCTAGTTACTTTAGTTCAATGGAGGAGAGATATGGCTTTTTCTTGAAAAATGATTGAAATGATGAAATATTTGAAATTTCTATGGAAACGAATGTAAAAACTATTGAAGAATTTTGTCCTAACTGTGTTGTCGAAAATAAATAGAATTAATATGTAGGAATTGCTTACAGTAAATAGCAAAATAAGAAAAAATTATTGCATATATTTAAAAAAAAAACTGTTAAAATTCAATTATGTGGAGTTTCTATTTAATTTATGGTTTGGTTCCTACCTCGTGACGCTGGAAGACGTGTTCAGTTAACCGCCACTTCGAAAATAGACCTGCATTACGCGAGTAAATGTTCAATCATCGAATTGAGCTTTCGAAGATTTTTTTTTATCATAATCAATTTTTTTAGCTTGGAAAAATTCCTCGAAAAAGAAACACATTATAAGTTCTTTCTAGGCACCCGCATTATAAATTTGCTGCCAAACTGGATCTGAAATTAGCATATTTTCTATATTCTTATATTTTGCTATCCTGCATATAATGATAGTACATTAATTAAGTTTAATATCGAGGCACAATATTAGTGAATTTCATTGGATTATTCTTCGCCAGGTTCGCGCGGTGACGAACGGCATGGTGGGCGTAACGAGTAGCGTGACCGAGTCCCTGCTGAGGGGTCAGGTGCCAGGTGAGGTCCTTTGGGACGCGCCTTGTGCGGGACAGCCTTGTGAGCCACTTGTGTCTGTGTGACAACTGCAGACACGCTAGCTTTTTTGGGATCTCCTTGTGCTAGCGCGGGACAGCCTTGTGAGACACTTGTGTCTATGGGACAACTGCAGACATGTCAGCTTTTTTAGCGTCCCCTTGTGGTAGTGCGGGACAGCCTTGTGAGCCACTTGTGTCTGTGGGACAACTGCAGACATGCCAGCTTTTTTAGCGTCTCATGTGACAGCGCCATGTTGCAAGTGCCGCATTTAATATTGCGATTTATGGTAGTGCCATTTCTAATGGTGCCACTTGCGGAAGCACAATATGCGTAGGGCAACCTGTGCATGGCGGTACTTTTTAGCGCATTTTCTCATTTATGGAAAAATGCACTATTGTGCTCGTCATGTCCGTCTGCCTGTCTGTCTGTCCGTCCGTGTCTGTCCGTGACCACGTTTTTGTCGGCGAGAAAATGCGCTCTCTGTCTCTCACTGCAGTGAGTACTGAGTTATATTTTTGTGTTAATGACACGTGTGGTAGTGCCCGTAGTGGTGCTGACGATGTTGCTGCGGTGCCACTAAGAAAGAGTGGAAGAGAACAAGAGGTGGCGCAGAACGGTCAGAAAGAGGCAGGAGGAATGAAAAACACAGTACAAGATGAAAAAAATGCGCATTGCACATAATTGGGGTAGTTGTAGGTGAGTGGGGTATATTTGGGGTCGGGAACCCGTCATGGCTTTGGATGGTATAAGCGGGTGGGTGATGAGAAATTGGTTGTGGTTCTTTATTTACATTATTTACATTTTTTTGAGCACAGTTAAACCAAAATAAAGACGATGCATGTTCATGCTATTTACAGGCGTTTTAGCTTTTTAAAATTTTATATTTTTTGCATTTTTCATAAATGATATGATGGAAAGAGGGTTGTCTAGTGATTTCGTGTTTGATTTCGTCAGCAATGTTGCTTCCTACGTCCCCGTGTAGATGTCGTACAAAAATGATCCCTTTAGCTAGGAAATTTGGAGGTATAATGAGTGTTAGGTTGATTTTTAGGAATACATAGGTGTTTTTTTTGCAGTCAGTTTTCAATTTTTGTAGCGTCGTCAGTCACGGCGTAAAATCCTGTGGCAACGTCGGTCAGTCGGATGAGTAGAGCGTCGAGTTGTTTGAAGGTTGTCTGGTATTTCTTGTGTCGGTCCGTCGGTATTCTTGAGTCAATTATTTTCAGTTGGATGCGGTAAGTCTGGGATCTTGAGCGTTCTGATAAGATTGATGATGGGTTGGCTGAGGATGAAGATTGAAATGATGAAGATTGAAAGTCTAGATCGTGATGATGATGGTGGGGGGTTACTGCCTCTTGCGTTCTGGGACAAGCTCGTCATGTTCGAGGCAGAAGTACCCCCTGAAGGAGGGGGCATGAGGGTATGGGGAAGAGGGAAGGGTGCAAACACAGCCGATGCAGAAGTATGCACAGCCACAAGGATGCAGAAGTATGTAAAAAAAAAGAAGAATAGAGACAGAAGTAAAAAAGTCGAGGTTCCTAGTGACACGCTCTATAGTTCTTAGTGACACGCAATCATTGTTAAGAAGGCTGACAAATCCAAGTGAGTCACAAGAGATCACGAGAAGAGAGCACAGTCACAACCACTAATAATGACCCCGGGGGGCTGGTTATGATAGTGTGAAGTTGATCTTTGTCCCTCGCCTTTTCTATTCTCCCTTTGCATTAATGTGAGAATAATTTTTAGGAAGTAATTCCGTAAATATGGATTCAATCGATACTAAATATTAAAATGTTCATTTCATGTGTTGCTCAGGCCAGGATGCAGTGGTGATAATGACCCCGTCCCTGGAGGTGAGGGCGGGACGGGTGCTGGGTGAGGCTGCCAACACCAGCGAGGTGCCCACGAGAGGAGGAGGATTCCAGCTGCCCAGCCTGGGCGCCATGCTGGGCAACGCCTCCGTCAACTTCCTGGACCAAAAGGTTAGTCCAGCGGGCGTTAGGACTAACGATATATTCTCTTATTAAGAGTAGAGTGCGATGTTTTGTTTGCGGCCGCTCATTTTTAGTTCAAGTGTTCTCCTTATTGTTTAGTTTGGGTGCCGAACAAAGACTCCACGTCAAGCGTGCTGTCTTTTTCTGATTTATAAATAGACGAAAACTCAAAATTTTAACCGAGTGAGGAAGTGTAATAGTGGAAATTTCTACCTGTATTTTATAATTTTAGAAGGAAATATCATGTGTGTAGGTGTGGGCGTGCATGGACAACCCGTTCAAATGGCACCACAGCGGCGATCAGCTTGGGTCGCCTGTGCTGTCGCTCGCTATCGGCGACGGCGGCGACGACGGCGACGTTGCAATGCGCGACCTCGCCGAGGACTTTGTCATAAACCTCGACATCGCGCCCCATCTCGTACCCCCTCCAGTACAGGTGGGTGCAATGCGCGACCTCGCCGAGGACTTTGTCATAAACCTCGACATCGCGCCCCATCTCGTACCCCCTCCAGTTCAGGTGGGTGCAATGTGCGATCTCGCCGAGGAATTTGTCATAAACCTCGACATCGCGCCCCATCTCGTGCCTCCTCTAGTTCAGGTGGGCAACACAGATATCCCACGAAATACATCTCCCGTGAAATGATTTGGGAGAAATTTCTTGATCATAAATTTTATAGAACATTCTGAATTACGCAATAATTTTAGTATCCGACAAAAGGATTTATAACCTTATTAGATTGTTCAATGTTAAACATAGATTGTTGACCGACACAGGCGTCTTGCATTAGCCGGCGTTAATTTTTTGTCGGTTGTATCGTTTGGTCATGAGTGCTTTATTCATCTTATTTATCCTAATCTGTCGTAATAAATTTTCGAATTAGTCTTCTCTATAACAAATTAGTTGATCATATGTTTGGATAAGTTTACCTTTGCTTCCGGTGACTAAATAGATTAATTGATTCAAAGGGTGTCAGTGATAAGTGGTTTGTTTTCGTTATTTTCAGTGACTTTCTGTTCGAGGCACTTAGTCATATTCAATGATTCGGCCTTGCTGACCTGTCGCTGATTTTTTACCACCTGACCCTTTTTCCGATTTCGGCCAGAATTGCCACAACTAGTTTCGACACCCAACACGCTGCTACAATCGCTTCAAAATCATTTTAACTGTATTAATATCAATTATATGATAAACGAACATCTAAAGAAAATGATTATATAGCCATGAAAGTGATTATGTATCCATCTCCACGTAAATAATTATGCACGTGAAGTAAACGGTAAATGAAAAGAGGCTAAGCAATTATTATATTTTTTTAACTAAGCAAAATATTTTCAAGCCGCTTGCAGAATCATACTTTTTGTAACTATTTCAGTATTCACCTAAATACAACTTAATATCATCGGGAAAGCAACCTAGATTAAAAAAAGAAGAAAGCAAATGTGGAAAAAATATGGCTAAACTATTACAAATCCAGATTTAAATCCGGAAAAATACATGCTGATAGGGAAATAAAACTACCTAAACTTCTATGAATTAACGGGACGGCATTTGATTTAGATCAAAAAATTACACAACTGAACTCGTTATCAGTGAGCCAAATGCAGGTATCAAATTATAATATATTATTTAGCACGTTATTCCTGCGGACACCTCAGATGAAAACGCAAGAATATCATTCGGAAAATTATCGGTGAACTGTAAAAATATGCCAAAAAGTGCACCAGTGACGTACAACTCAATTACTAACCCTTAGACAGCGCAGCGAGTACTTAGAGTAACTTTACTACCATACTAACCACAAATAAAACATGGTCTGATTTTAGAGCGCTGTTACTTGTTACACTACTCCGATTATGACAGGAGATAGAAGGTATAGGACGTTTGGGTTTAGTAATCGATAGTCCGGCTCATCTCTGACCCATAGTTATTAACTTACTGTAAAACTTTTCGCCGTTTCTGTAACGATTTAGCGTAACATACCGTCGCTGCACAAGGTCTTCAAAATCATCAGCTTAATAAAATATATTTTGTACCTTAGTAATTTTGTAACTTAATTGTCGCAAGTAACCTTCAAGTGTGACAGTAGCATATTTATTCGGCTACAACACGACAATGTAGCGCCTAGAATTATTGCATAAGTAACGTGCGCTGTTGTGTGCAGGTAGAGCCGCTAGTGAACAGACGCAACCTGACTTGGGGAGTGACACATTCCATCCACATCACGGATGACGACAGCGCCATCTACTTCGTCCTGACGTACGTTATTGTGCCTATGCGCTTCCTGGCTATTCATTATTGAAAGGCAATAGCTAACAAAAGCATTTTACTACAAATGTCACTAGTGCTAATTTTGTGCATTTTTAAGAAGTGCCACTAGTAATAATTATCATCATCTTGCTTACGCGTCACATATGCCTATTTGATATTTTGTTTAATTAAGTGTTGGCATAAAATGCTAGCGTGTTGGTGATGTTACTAGCGAGTGTTAGTAGTGTCAAATGCTAGCGTGTTGGTGATGTTGCTAGCGAGTGTTAGTAGTGTCAAATGCTAGCGCGTTGGTGATGTTGCTAGCGAGTGTTATTAGTAGTGTCAAATGCTAGCGTGTTGGTGATGTTGCTAGCGAGTGTTAGTAGTGTCAAATGCTAGCGCGTTGGTGATGTTGCTAGCGAGTGTTAGTAGTGTCAAATGCTAGCGTGTTGGTGATGTTACTAACGAGTGTTAGTAGTGTCAAATGCTAGCGTGTTGGTGGTGTTTCTAGCGAGTGTTAGTAGTGTCAAATGCTAGCGTGTTGGTGATGTTACTAACGAGTTTTAGTAGTGTCAAATGCTAGCGTGTTGGTGATGTTGCTAGTGAGTATTAGCAGTGTCAAATGCTAGCGTGTTGGTGATGTTGCTAGTGAGTTGTCCTGCCATTTGCAGGCCTTCTAACGCGACTTCGGTATACGACGTGTTTCTCGGCTTCGAGGAGCAGCCGACTGAGTCGTCCTCTAACATGTCCTTTACGGTGAGTATCGGCTAGATATGCCGTACTCCCTTAAAACTATTGATCTCGGCTTCCAGCTGCTTGCGGAAAGAAAGATTGCGATTAATTTCTATTCAATGCACAATATTGGATTTCTTTAAATTAAATTTGTTCACACCAATTATCACTCATAACAGCAATACAGATGGTTTGTGACCTAATTTGGTCTCTAAAACTAGACTTTGCATTAGAAAGCGGTTAGAATTAATCGAAGATTTGCATAAGTGTACCTACATCAACTTTCAACCAGAGAGATCTACAACATACGAGTTTTTAGGCGTCCTCTTTGTCACTGTAGTGATAATACTTGATGAGCAGTTTTGAAGAGTCGTTGCCATGAGCAATGAGTAGGGATTAAAGGACTTATACAGGCGGTGGGCAACCCATGCGGCCACGTCGGACGCAGCTCGATCGCGTGGTGAGTTGAAACAATTCCGCCAAAATAAATCCAATTGATCGAAATAGAAACAGATACAATCGTCTTGTTCCACTAACAGGGATAGAACACAGATAAGGAGTATATTGAAAGAAGATAGCATGACGAGATTTCTTATTAACTTTCTCTGCCATGGAAGGTTCATGACGTTGGGTACGGATTAGGTCCGCCCCACAGACATGAAATTGATGCGAAGCATAACAAATTGCAATGACTGAATGGCTACACGCTGGTATTCATCTACACGGGCATTCTCACTTAAATGGAAGCTAGTTTGTGACTCAAAATTGGACGTTTGATGCTTCTACCTTACTGTATACTAAGTATACTAATGCTAAAAAGTTGCCTCAGTTCATGTTTACAAAACATGAATCTTCAAGTGCACTTGCAGCACTGATGCTGACCATACCAGGGCTGTTATCAAGTTTCTAGCACGGAGTAATTTTTTCTTTTGGTGACGTCGAAAAATTAACTTTCATGCTTGTTGCATATCACATGCAATGAGCACTAATAATTATTTCTCGATCGTATTCTCGATCGTTCAATCTTATTTATAGCTCAGCTGCCTCACTCACAGTGAAATCATGCGCAGAAGGTAGAATTAATATTTCTTAGACAATATGCATGTGTCAGCCAACACTTGTAGTGGCAGACGTCGGGCCATTTGTCGTACAGGTGCCGCACGAACTGCTGGACGAAGACGTGGCTGCTGGTGTGCTGCCGATGGCTGAAGAGGAGCTCCGCCACAGCGTACTTATCCCGTCACAGGAACTCTACGGGAAGGGCGTCTATCTTCTGCTGGTGCAGGAGAGAGGTGATTAAAGTTATAAATTTTGTTAGATATGAAATAAGCTACATTTGAAATCGCTAGACTGCCATGAGAATAGCTTCTCACGAGGATTATTAATAATTAAATTAATGACACGAGAAAGGCTTCTCTTCTGTTCGACGTGTCTAACTGTTCGTGAAAAACTGATGCTGTCAAGATAAAATCAGTAATAATGCTAAATATATGCTACAAAATAGTGAATTAAACATGACTTTACAATATTATTGAGTTCAGCATCGACAACACATCAATCCAAGGAACATTTCATAAGTATCAATCAGCCTTGTGACTCAACAATGTTCCCTCAACCGAGTGCAGTGAACATAAGCTTCGACTATGAGATGCCCGCGTACGAAGACGTGACTGGCACTCGCCCTCCTGCCCCCACGCCGCCCGCCGCCGACGCCGAAGACTTTTTGTTCGGTGACGCCGCGTGAGTCTTTGGGTGTACTTTACTGATGATATTAACTGATGTATTTTATGATATGTTGTGCTGATGTTGTCGTACAGTTGTGTATCTTTACTGCATAATTGTAGGTAGCACAGTGTTGGTATACCTGCGCAGTTGAGTCGATTCAACAGAATTTTCACATAATGGAATAACATTTAATTCTATAATTATATGATGAGGAATTTCCAGCCGAGCTAAACCGGCAACTATTTACAGCTGTTTAAAAGGTGTTTAACAAATTAAACCTAAATATCACAAATAGTGTTAAATTGATAATGATTTAAACTTCAAACAACTAATATTGGTGAATTGAATGTATTTCATAAATTACCTCCAATACTCATTGAAAATCTTTGGAAACGAATAAATGTTTCTAATATTTTTATTTTTTTTTTATAAATCCCGGGTCAAATACCCATTGTTGCTAAGAAAATGGGAACCGAATACAAAATAAATCTGGAATGGAATATAAAAATGAGCCTGATGCAACACTTTTTTCCAAAAAATAATGTTATCGTAAATTTTGAATGAATGAAAAGTCATGAGAGATAAAATATTTTGTATAAAAAGTCTCAAGTGAGAATAATTTCAATTATATCAGTCATTTGGATTTTTAAAACAAGTATATATATTCACGAAAAATTGGAAAAAATCTTCAGCCATTAATTAGAATACGTATGATATATATTCAAAATTTTAATTGAATAATTTAAACTAATAAGGATTTTCACTTAATTAATTATAAAATTAAACTTCATTAAAGAAGCCGTCAATGAAAATCGTTCACAATGTAGGTATTCTGAGGTAAAGTTGTCTTAAATGAATTTTTGCATAAGAAATTGTACATGTAATTAAAAAGCTAGAAAATTGAGAAAATGTTTAATGTCATGAGCTCGTAACTAAAATTTCAATTTGCAGCGATCAGTAAAGTAAAATAACTAATAGACTATGGAAACATGATGTTTACTTGAAAATTGAACAACTCCGAATTTCTAGTAAGAGATAATAATTTTTACGGTCAAAATAGTCGAATTGTTGATTTGAACTGTTGTGATGGTCGTAAGTCTACCCTTGGATAAAAAAATAGCAAGCAATGTATTAAATGTTCGCAGCTTCATTTCTATTCTTATGAATGAAATAGTAGCAGAGTCACAGTCTTGTGTAACAGAAAGCTAGAAAGAACATCTTATATGTAGGTAAAAAACATAATTTTTAAAGAACATAATTTTTACTGTAAAAATGATAGATTTTGATTCATATGCTAACACGGGAAAAATTCAATACCTTTTCTAAATTTGAATAAAATACTGAAATTATGTTCAAATTAAGTAAATAAAACTAGATATATAATATGATTTCCTCATTGTTAATGAAAGTTGGTGTTTGCCCATGCAACCTGCTGGAAGTAACAAGTTATCTGGCAAAAAAAAAATAAATGTATGATCTTATAACGCACCTGTAAAATATATGTAAAAAGAGAAGAAAAGCTTAGACTGAATTACAACCATTCTTCTATTTACGTTGACTTTAAATCGACGTTTAGGATAATGAGTTCATGTCAGCGCACTCCACCCGCAAATTACACAGAGTAAAATACAAGAAACGTCGAAGTTTCTTAGGTGATGATCGGCTGAAATTCATTTTGTTACGAATAATCAAGATTTTTAAATTTCCGTAACGAAAAAATCAGACCTGATTGAGTAAACCTATAAGGTCATTTTCTGACTCGTGAAGGTTTGCCTTCATAATTATTGTAGATTTTATGAAAAAACCAAAAATATTCTGACCCTTGGGCTGGTGTGTCCTCAAGATTAAGTTCCACGAGAGTTCTTTCTGTTTTCGAAACCGAATAAAATAATTTATGAAGTGATCTTTAACGGGAAACTAGTAAAAATATAGAGTTTCTTGTAAAGTTTCTTTGATACGCATTGCTGAATTAGACTTGCTTAACGACCAAGATATTTTAATATTTATCGAGAAAGGAAAGTAAAGGTCGACGGATCAATAATATAGATGATGCAAAACTTCGATCACAATTTGAGATAACGCATTAGTTAATGGATGAAAGAGTTTTGGATGTCTCAGATGTTTAGAAAAAAATATAAACGAATAATTAAAAGATAGATTGGGCAAGATGAGGAGTCATGGAGCATATTAAATTCCTTGAAAAGGGAATGACAATTGAAATTTATGTTGCGTAATTTCGACGAAAAAGTTTCATCAGGAATGCAATAAATTAACTGGCGTTTTCCTGTACACTGTACACTTTATTTGATCTAACGAGTTTATTACTGGCATTAGTACAACCTTAAAATTTATTTTGAATTAGACAGCGCAAGTATTGCGAACCTAAACATTACAGTTGTAGTTGGTCTATCATTAATTAAGTTCCATCAGAGAACTTTACTGATTTAAACAATATTCGTCTTCCTAGTAGGTCAGCACCACAATCAAAATATAAGTCGGTAAAATTTTTTTTTACTCGGGATATAATAAATCTGATGTTGGTGATTTATTTTGAGATGTCAATGATAATATTATGTCAATAATGATGTCAATGTTCAGTGGTTAAAGTTCAGAGCATCAAGATTGGAGCAGAGAGGTGCGGGTTCGATCCCAGCTCTGTGCGTCAGTTTCTGGTCAGAATCGGCGAGGAGGCCGGGCGGTTAAGCACAGCAGAATTGTTGCAGCAGTGAGTTGCGAGTTCGAGACCGCAAAATGCTGTGAATCTTTTGCGATGTTAATAATCAGCGACAGGCCTACGGCCTACTAAACGCTGAAGCCGCTATTATTATTATTACTGAGTTAAGTTTTGAATTTTGTCCAGTGAACCTAGCTGCTCGAATTGCTTGGAGACTTTAGCGTAACAAAATGAGCATCTGCCTGCCCGACACACAGTTCTTTTCAAGTGTTTGGCTGACTGCAGTTCATTACGTTCCCAATGTACTATAATCCTACCCTTATTTTCAATGATGCAGGGTAAAGGCTGCCCTGGATGTGCAGCCTTGGTACGCCGACACGCCGACAGTAGACGACTTGCGTTTGAACAACTACAGCATGCAGCTCGTCGCTCCGTCCTGCAGATACTGGGACGCTGAGCGCGAAGTGTGGGACACAACAGGTTGCCGAGTGAGACTGCCTTATATGAAGGCAACTGGATAGTAGAACCACTGCAGGGCAGATGTTGCTGATGATTGCCAACGCGAAATATGGCCGTAGGGAAGTTCTGATGTTAGGTAGTTTGGTCATTGAGTGAGGCAGCAAAAAGAAAATGCAACTGCTGAGTAAGCAGTTACAGGCAGTTGAGACAGGTCGGCTGGTAGGTATTGCGGCTGCAGAGTTAGCCATTAGGCATGTCGGTTGGTAGGTATTGCGACTGCAGAGTTGGCCATTAGGCAGGTCGGCTTGTAGGTATTGCGACTGCTGAGTTGGCCATTAACCAGGTCGGCTTGTAGGTATTGCGACTGCAGAGTTGGCCATTAGGCAGGTCGGCTTGTAGGTATTGCGACTGCAGAGTTGACCATTAGGCAGGTCGGCTTGTAGGTATTGCGACTGCAGAGTTGGCCATTAGGCAGCACGGCTGGTAGGTATTTGGGCTCAAAGGTATAAGGATAACAGGATGATAGGTTATAGTATAGATATATTAATCAATTTAAGACAACAGCAAGGGTATTGGTTGCAGGAATTACGGCTGCAAACTGGAGTAGCAACTGGTATCATCATCAGTACTGATGGGTAGGATGACTGAAGATAATGCAACAGCTACAGGGTAAACAACTGGACGATGTTCTTGTTGAAGAAAGGAAGCACTCCAAAATAGGTCTGCTAAATATAGAGATAGACGGTTGCAGAGTAAGGGAGCTTAGGTTGAGAACAGATGTCATTGCTTGTGGATAAATGACTGTATTACATCGGTAATATTCCCTAACATCATATTAGTCTGCGGCTTAGTAGTTTATTTGCCTGGTTTGAAGAACGACTGCAATGAAGACGGCTGGAGGGTTGGATATGGATAATTTGATCAAAGTTGAACGTCTGCTAGTTGGACCTCTTCAAAGGGCAGTCGCCGGGTTTCACGGTTTCAAGGCCGTGCTGAAAAATCGATGCATGCTAGAGACCAGCACAGCTAAAATGCACACTTCCTTCATAATAATTTGCGTAGCGAAGCGTAATAGACGGAATGGTGGCCTGGGAAGTTAAGTTTTTTAAAACATTATAGCAGCGTAATCCTACAGCAATCACAAAATTAAGCGAGCTCGGTGCAAGAAGAATGTTAATGGGCTGCAAGAAGAATGTAAAGTAGTGCCTGTAGACTTACGACTCTGTTGGCTCAAATGTCTCGTTCTCACACTGCCGGTTGGAGGGCCGGAAGACACCCGGAATCGATTCCTGGGGTACCGGTTATCAAACTGGAGATCAGGGAAATGAGATCCGGGAGTTCCTAGAGTTCCTGGAGGGTGTGGCCATAATCCGGCTTGGTCGAAAAAAAGTATTGAACATGTTGAATAATTTTGCCGGTACGCCAGGAACCATAAAAATCCGGGACCCAACCTGCTCCTCCGATGCTATGTGAGAACTCAACCGGCACGGCCGGGGGACCAGCCTGGGGTACCAGGAGGGGTGAAATAGATACCAATAGTTACCATAGTCTAGTCTCCTGCCTAGCCAATCTCTGACCCAGCATCTCTTTCGCCGCCTTTCTCTCCTTCTCCTCATTGCTGCCAGCTGCTCTCCCTGCAAAAATATAATTATAATCTACAATATATCATACAATAAAACTTACTTTATAGTGGCTAGAAATCCACAATATTATTTATCAAAATTAACTTACCAATTCTATAACAATTCTGTTTTGTAAAGCCTTGGCCATGTGTACATACTCTCCCATTATGTTGGCAGCCTCTGTCAATATGTCTATCCTCTGTCTCTGGCTTGCCATGATGTTGCCCGATCTGTTGTGCTGCTTAAAATGAGGAAATCATCCACACACCTGGACTTTTTATAGGAAACAGGGGAAGGGGCGGGCTTAAATTTGCATAACTTACCTGGAATATCGGGAAAAAAGCCGGGCGTCTTCTGGTTTTACGGCAGTTCTTACTGCTCAAACGGCTCTACTTGCTGTTTTACCGGCTTTTTTCCGGGAATTCCGGCGATCTACCTGGAAATCCGGGAGGCATACGGGACTTCCGGCAGGCTCCCGGGAGTACCGGGAATACGTTGACAGCCGGTATTGCAGGATCTCCCGCGGCTGCTGAAGCCGGATCTCCCGGATATCCGGCTCTTCCGGGAAACTTTCCAGCTCTTACGGGACAGCTACCTGGAGGGCATTAGCATATTAAGCCCTGCCCCATATACCGGCTATAACTCCGGCATTTCAACCGGCTTGGCGTTTCCGGGACTTCCGGCTCTTTAACCGGCTACGAATCCGGCATTTCAACCGGCTTGGCGTTTCCGGGACTTCCGGCCCTTTAACCGGCAGTGTGAGAACGAGGCATAAGCAGTGCGAAACTGACTAGCTTTCCGTGTTCCGACATGGTCTGCAGCTTTTATCTCTGAGGTGGAGTGTAGTTAATGCAGGCTGAGGATGAGCCTCGGCTCCAAAGCTAATTTAATGCTTTAATTTGTGGCCACGACTGGACTCCACTGAAACGGTCTGCGCAGGATGAAGTAGTTTGGACGACAGGTGATGGTGAGGCCGTGCAGTATAGCGTCGACCAGGTCAAAGAACGGCGGCGCGGTTGGATAGCTGCTAAGAATAATGATTGCTTAGTAGACACACTGTAGAGCAAGTCAAATGCAACATCTGTTTTACCTTATGAAATCACACAGGTGGGTTACGGCACGACGCTGAACCGAGTTCGTTGCTTCTGCAACCACCTTACTTCTTTCGGCAGCGACTTTTTCGTGCCTCCAAACACAATTGACTTCAGCGCCGCATTTAGTGACCTCGGCGGCAAACTTGCCGACAACTACGCCGTGCTCCTTACAATTTGCATCTTGCTGGGCGCCTATGTAATCCTCGGCGTTTGGGCGAGGTACAAGGACAGGCAGGATGTGAAGAAGGTGAGTAGTGGCTGCTTCGAAAAGACATTGTTGGTTAGTATCATGGTGAGCAATTCGTCGAATATCTATTTGTGCTTGAGAATGCTTAACAGGCTATCGGTGTGATATTCATTCGATCGAGTGATAGACTGATAGTATTCACGTGATTTGCATGGTAGTGTAACACACGTTGGAAGGGCCAAATACACATACGTGCCTGATACCGAAAGACACACGCCATGAATGGAGAGATACATGTCCTGCTCCTGCAAAAGTTATGTGCTGTGACGGTGGGATAAATATATAGAAGCGGGTTCTCATATGACAAGTAGGAACAAAAGCATGATGCCTATACTAGTGGTTTTCTTGCACAAAAGTAGTAATACATCAAATGTCCAGCTCAAGTAATTATGGTATGGTATTGTTCTGAGAAAAGAAAGTCGTACCTTATTAAAGTTTTATAGCCCTGAACGGAGTACGTGTTCGTGTGTCGTGCTTTACGCATATTTTTGTGAAAATTTTAATATTTATCGGGTATGTTTACAGCCATTTTGCATGAATGGAGTCTTCCTCACTTGAAATCTAACTAAATGGTTATGCAGTAGTTTTTTTATTCCATATTTTCTGGAAGCCCAAAGTTAAAGCCTGCAAAAAAGGAAAAGCTGGGGAACTGGTTGCAAGATCTGAATTATCTCAGTTGAATGTTTGTATATAATTAATGAGGGCAAGAGAGTGAAGTCAGTTACCAACTCACTGAATCTATTTGATCTATATTATCGAAAATTTGGCCCAATTGTCATGAAATGCTTCAGAAAGAGCCGAAATAATTAGAAAATATTCAAATAAACTTCATTCCGACGTTCTAATAAATCATGCCGACTCCTAGTGGGGAGTGACGCCACTCGAGGATAACTTAGAGAGTGAGAAGTTCCTGTACCTGATCACGGTATCGACTGGCATGCAAGCCAAATCTGGCACCAGCAGCAACATCTTCTTCAGCGTTGCCGGCGATAAAGACCAGACGGGGGTGCGCAAGCTCTCTGACGGCAAGAGGAAGGTAAGTCGAGAGTTTGACAAAAACTTTTTTTTAACGGTTCAAAACAAAAAAACTTACTCAGCTTAGACAATCCGGATTCATAAAACAAGAAAAACACACACTGCATTAGCTACACTCCGAAACACTCCCTTTCAACGTAGCTCAAATCACAAAATAAATATACTCCTCCGTGATGTCACATAAGCATTCGACCGAGTTTGGCACGTTGGCCTCGCATATAAAATCAGTCAACAGATAGAACATTACAGATAGAACAGCTTCAATTTGAAAATGCTCTTATCTAGAACCCCCATTCCCATAACGCACTGGGACTGGAGTTCCCCAAGAAGCCTGCCTTTCAACCACACTCCACAGCTAATACATCCCCTTACCGACTACATTGCATACGCCGACGATATCACGCAGACCACGGCAAGCAGGTACACGCCAATACGCAGCATAACTAACAGAACATGCAATCACACAGATAGAAACATTCGAGCACAAATGGAAGAATAAAACAAACAGATCAATACTCATGATAATTCCAATCTGCAGGAAAATAAAACAACCGAAATTTTCATCGATAACAAGCATTTTACGTACACCAAAAAAAAGAACGGTTCTGGGGCTACAATTAATTGCTCACGGATACAGAACACAAGTCACAACAAGACAGCTGATAGCCCCAAGAAACCCCAGAAACCTTAGCGAATCGCCAACCTTCCCCTCACCCATAATACAGACTAGGCATGACATTTGTACGATCCTCACTTACCTATCCGCCCATGGCCTACCACTGCAATCCCTGTGCCCATACCATTGCACACCCCACGAACTACAATCTTCCAACTGGTGGTTGTTTGATAAATAACACCTATTACCAGTTCAACCTCACCCTATACATCACAGACGACTCTGTACCCAAATGACGCCTGTCCCCAATTTTCTTGAGTTGAATTCTGTAGGTCTGAGGTTTCGAGCATTCATCAGGGTTTTATGATTGATGTGATGATTTCGATGAAGATGAGGGGGCGTGAGGGCCGGGGAACGTGATGCTACAGATGGAAGGAAGTCGAGGTCGTGATAGTTGGTTGGTCGTATAGCCTCTAGCCCTCTGGGATAAGCCAATCGAATTCGGGGCGTGAAGGAGGGGATGAGGAAGTGGGAGGGGAGAGAGCGAAAACGTAAGGATATGATAGGATTGCAGTCGTATAGACAGAAGAATAGTAGACAGTCGAAAAGTATAATCACCAGTTCCTAGTGACAATTACGGCTGGAAGGCTGCTAATCCAAATACGATGGGTTCAGAGGCTGCTGGTCTGAGGCTTCGGGAGAGCGCCAGAAATCACAACTACACTAGTTGCCACGAGGGGCCATGCCTGTGTTCTCTCTTCCTCCTCTCCACTCTTTATCTCCAGTCCCATTTCTCACACCCCGAACCTGATAAGCTTGCCTCAAAGAGCTAGAAGAACAAACCCTTAATTCTCACGACATCATTGTAACCCACCATAAAACCTCCATCTTCATCTCTACCCAATCAGCAACCCAATCACGTGACCGCTTGAGACCCTAGACTATTAGAATCGAAGTCAGTAAAATAAACCTCAGGTTACCGACCGAACCATGAAAATTCTCCATACGACCTTTAAAGAAATGGACGCCCAGTTAATTAGCCCGAACGAAATTATCAAAGGATTTTGCACCGTTACTGACGCTGCTAGTTACTGCTGCCTAGCAGCAGTAACTTTTTAGGACAACTCAAAAAAGACGGAGGAAATCACACCGTCGAATTTCTTGTCGTTTATTTGTGAGTTTCAGACAGCTGGACTGTGACGCTGGATATACCACACTGCAGACAAAATCGTGACCCAACAGTGGCTACATGTATAACTCTTCAAAATCATACACCACGCACAAGATGTCATATAGATCATAATGAAAGACACTAATATATAGTCTAGTGTATGCTCACAAATGGTTTCTGCATGTACAATACTACAATTACCACAGCACGATGCGAACAGGAACACTACACACCACATACACATACAACTAAATTTATATTTAATTTTATAATTTAGGTTTTAATGTCTATAATATGAATTTTGGTTTTCTAATTTACTGTAATTGAAATCTAGGATTGTTAGACTGATAATCGAGCTGTAGTCTGAAATTTTTCTTCTGTAAAAATATAGTGAATTTTTTTGTCGTTTTCTCTGCTTTCAAATTCCTGGTAAATTTTAGATTCAAGCAATCAATTGTTTTTGGAACTTCATTAAGTTTCCATTGATGATATCCTAATAATATCATTCTAATTTTCGTACCACGACTATTTCTCTTCCCCAAAAATTGAGTTAGGGTACTTAACGCATTTAAGGTGGCCAGTGACTATTCACTTGAATTAGCACATATAACTTAACCTAACGCCACACATCTGCCCGCCTTCATTTTTGCTTACCTGTCAATGAAGAAACACCCCACGAGTTCCACGTTATCATTGATGCATTTCACATTGGTACCCCGGAATTACCAACATCCTCTTCTAACTACCTACTTACCCTCACCAGTACCTGTCACGGAGCAGCCAGGTGAGGTACGTGGTGACGACGGAGCGGCCGCTGGGGCGCTTGCAGACGCTGCGTGTGTGGCACGATAATTCCGGCAAGGGCGACGACGCGAGCTGGTTCCTCGAACGCATCACTGTCTCTGACTTACAAACTGGCAGAACGTTAGTGAAGATTGCCGTGTCTTTTATTGTGCTCCTAATCTTGCTGTTCTCTGAACAGTTCTCCACATTCTTTAAAGAGATGTCCGTAAATAAGCGCGGTTTATGAGCAACACTATTTGTATTTATCTTATTTGTAATCATTTTAATTAAGTGCCAGTAAAAGAATAGTGATGAATAAGCCGGTAATAATTGCAATCAATTGAACCAAAGGTTTTGTATAGGTGCACGGTAACGATGGACAAATATTCAGTGCTGTGTAGATTATGTTTTCTTGTGAAACCAAGTTTAATGAATTACAAGTTTGCCGTCCTGGTGTACCTTAAGTTTCGTTTATTTGAAAGTTCACTTGTATATCGAATAGTTTTTTTTGTGCAGGTTTGCCTTCCTCGTGAACCAATGGCTGGCGGTGGACGAGGATGATGGACAGATCTCGCGCCTGGTGAGCGTCGCTTCTCCTCAGGACCTAACCGCCTTTGCCAACCTCTTCGCTAGCACCTCCAAGAAGAACTTTACTGACGGGCATCTCTGGTGAGATTCCGAACAGTCTGTATTAAGTTTTGGTGATATCATTAGGGTTGTATCGGTGGTTCCCAATGCCGGAAATTATTAGCTAGCAGCAATAAAGGGTAATGTCTAACGATGAGCGCACAAAATCACAGAAACGATGATACACTATACATAACATTCTTCGTAAACGCCTCAATTTACTTTGCAATAGATTAATTTGTAAAATATCTCGCTGAAGTGGTAGTTCGTTTCACTATCGCTGCTTCTCCAGTTTAAAACTCACTATTGTTATGCGATAGTTGATTGTACCAAATTGCCTGATCGTAACAAATAAGCGTTTCCTCGCAATAATATATCCGGACAACACATGAACTTTAACGTTGTTGCACGCGGCTTCCGTTTTTTGTTCAAAGCGGAAAATTCAAGCATGTGCACAGTGCAAAATTAACAAATTTAAAGGATTTTTAGTATGAGTATTTTGGTTGTACCAGAGCTCCTCTCTGCGAGTCGATCTGTTTGATTTATATATTGTTTAGTATCCCTAATCAACATTTGAATGGTTGTCCTGTGGTTGCTGTAGGTTAGATGCTGCACGAGTTACAAGAAGGGAAATTTGCATAAACTAACAAGTTTTATCTATAAATTATACAGGATTTCGGTGTTTGTCCGGCCCTACCAGAGCACCTACACTAGGTTGCAAAGGTTGTCTGTGGTGGTAAGCGTCACCTTCCTCACCATGGTGGTCAACGCCATGTTCTACGAGACCGAACCACCAAACTCGGCAAAGTTTGAGCTCGGCTTCGTTACCATCACCAGCTTTCAAATCTGGGTGAAGAAGCTAAACATGAGATTGACCGAGAATATTACTGAAATTATTAAATAATTTGAAGGCACTAGACCAGTTACTAGTTTCTAATGTTTTGGAAAATATGATTTGATGCATCGCGAAATCGGAGTAAGCGATAACCGTACGCTTGCGTTGCTCTTTCAAGATATCTATTCTTTAGTATATTGTTTACAATTTTTACTTTGACCTTTCTTTCACTACAGTTTGTTTGTTATAAGTTCATTAATATCTATGATTGGCTTGATTTGTTCAAAGAACAGACGGTGATTGGCTGCCAAGCTCACGTTCGTAGCTCCTGAGCAGGTGAGCATCATGGGCACGGTGATCGTACTGCCGCCTTCCATTCTTATGGACCAGATTTTCCGGAAGGCGCGACCCAAGCCCTCAAAGACAGACCCTCTAATGCAGAAGGTGGCGCAGCAGCAGGAACACCTGCAGCAAAAGATTAGTAATGGCAATGGTGGTGAGAATATCGGAGAAGATTATGATCCGGGATACACCAGCAGTGAAATAGGTGAGCTTTCTTTGGTGTAGGTGAAATGACTTCAACGCCTATTTGTTTTCTGCCACTTCAGAAGAAACTGAAATTTTTCTCAAACTGCTGCGAATGACAATCTTTTCAAGAACTTCTATTTGAAGTAGCAAAACATTTTAAACAAAACCATTTTGATGGATTCGATTTCTTTCTCATATACTTCTCTTATAATATGTAAAGAATATTTATCAATAATTCCAGATTCCGATGACGACGAAGTGACGAGGAGTAAGAAGCTGTTGCGCAAGAAGATGAAAAAGAAGAATAAGAAAACCTTCCCGTGGTGGACTGTGTTCGTCGCGTGGGGTTTGGTTCTGGCTGCGATTGGAGCCTCAGCGTTCTTCGTATTCTCGTACAGCATGCAGTGGGGCAAAGATAAGAGCAACTCGTGGCTTATCTCCATGTCCCTCTCCGTATTCCAGAGCGTCATGATTGTGCAGCCCCTCAAGGTGGGTGTAGCCTTTGAAAGCACCTATATAGAAAGGTGCTCGCCTTTTTCACGACAATCCGGTTTGGATTGGCTTCTGATACCTTCTCCTGCTGGTACGGACTCTTTATAGCATAGCATATTTAGCTCGCGTAACCTTTTAGAAATAACTCGTGGATGTAATCGAGGAACCATTCTCTCGGGTACAAATCTTTTTGGAATCTAATTTGTCCGTAAAGTATCTTTTCATGCTTTATGCAAGTGAATATTGTAGTTGTTATTGTTTAACACGTCAAGTGCGGCTATGTCGTATTCAGGGCGTACTTCACGTACTTCATACCGGTGATCCTCATGTACAACACTAAAATCTCACCTTCACAGTGCGAACAATAACGATACGCACACAACGTATTAAATATGTACGAAGAATAACAACCGAGACGCAGGTGCTGCTGCTGGCTGCTGTAGCGGCGATTCTACTGAAGAAGCCTGACGTGGAAGACCTGACGGAGGAGGAGCGTCGCATCAACGGCCTGCCAGCCGAGGATGAGGATCTGGTCGTCGCCATGCCTGGGAAGGGTGGGTAACATTGGCAGTATTGTGGGCAGTATACATCGTACGTCGCTGGCTTTGGCTCAGTTTTTCCTTAGTTTGCAGTCGTTTTGTCTTTCCTATGCGGGCCGTATACATAGTCGCTGGCTTTAGCTCAGTTTTTCCTTTGTTTGCAGTCGTTTTGTCTTTCCTATGTGGGCCGTATACATCGTCGCTGGATTTGGCTCAGTTTTTCCTTAGTTTGCAGTCGTTTTGTCTTTCCTATGCGGGCAGTATATATCGTCGCTGGATTTGGCTCAGTTTTACCTTAGTTTGTAGTCGTTTTGTCTTTCCTATGCGGGCAGTATATATCGTCGCTGGCTTTGGATCAGTTTTTCCTTAGTTTGCAGTCGTTTTGTCTTTCCTATGTGGGCCGTATACATAGTCGCTGGATTTGGCTCAGTTTTTCCTTAGTTTGCAGTCGTTTTGTCTTTCCTATGTGGGCCGTATACATCGTCGCTGGCTTTGGATCAGTTTTTCCTTAGTTTGCAGTCATTTTGTCTTTCTTATGACAGTATATGAAACGACTTTTTTCGGATGGAATCAAGCAACACGGCAGGTTTTGCTCTGACTCATATTGTGTCACCGTTGTCTCTTGTGCCGTTATAGAAATCAGGTGTACGCAAAAGATTTATTGCTCGTTAAAAAAATAAACTTCAAACAATTGTTCACCAGAGGCGAACATGAAAAATCTTGTCATCTTTCGTGTGTAAAAGTAAAGAAGAGGCAACGAAAATGAAATTTTCGATGCCTTCACATCTGTAGCAACGAAATCAAGCGACAGACTAGTTGATACTATGATATTTTATGTCATACATCCACTGACATCCGATGTACCCGACAGGTACGCGGCAGAGGATTGAAATGAAGCCTGTTAACAGCAAAAAGTTGGAAAAACTTCGTCTTAAACGCAAACAAGAAAATGAGATGCTATCTCTGATCAAACAAATCTTGATATACGCCATCTACTTGATATTCTTGTTGTTCCTAGCGCAACAGAACAGGAACTTCAATGCCTTCCTCATCAATGACAACATGAAGAAAATGTTCGTTGACTACGACTCCGATAGCTACGAAAGGGTGAGGGCCTTTCTTTTGTAATGCTAACCCACGATTTACGGTTCTGGTTTATTCTTTATCGTTTTGCATAATGATACAAAATTAACGTAGTGACGATTCGAAACCAAGTATTCTGGTAAACATACATATTTACTATTTTTTCGATTACGAACTTCTAACCTAGTTCGTAGCCCAATGCTGAACCACCAACTTCAATACCCGAAGTTATGTTATTTTCCTAGACCCCAGTTAATGGCAGCGTAAGGAGCTGCCATGAAAGTTGCCGAGCATCTACTGAATAAATATACAAATAAACGTTAAGTTTTGCTCTGTGGCAGTACATGCAGCCGGCAGATCTGCTGACCTACCTCAATGAAACTTTTGTGCCGAACGCTTACTGGACGGAGGAGTACAACGGTGACCTTGTCACATGGCGCAATGCTCCCTTCATGAGCGACATGGCGTCTTTCAGGATAGGCGCGGTGCGGCTCCGGCAGCTTCGCGTCATGCCAGGTACGTTGCGCAGTAGGTAACACGGATATAAATACATATCGAGTCCCTCTTACAATGAATAACTAAGGGAAGAAAGATGGTTAAATTTGTTCGTTGGGAAGTACACATATGAGTATAGTAAGCTTTACAGCGACAAATGATGCCTAGTGTTGAACTGAATAGATAGTGCTTCGGAACTAATTGATTCACACACGTTGAATTTCTGCGCCACCAGTCAGCATGACTTGTCGTTTGAGCAATCAAGCAGCTTGCTCTGATTGGTCAGCTTTAGCTTGACCGCACCGAGACATGGTGATCGGTTCACTGCTTTTGTATCGACAATTCGCAATCTAATCCTGAGATAAAGTGGCTACTTCCTAACTTAGAGACATTATTAGTGGTAGTGGCTGTGCTCTCTTTTTGTGCTCTCTTGTGACGCACTTGCATCTAGCATCCTCTTCACTGTTAGTGCATGTCACTAGGAACTAGTGACTCTTCCTTTTGTACCTCTGTTTTTACTCTTTTTTAGCGCATTCCTCATTTATGAAAAAAAGACGCTATTGTGCTCGTCATGTCCGTCCGTCCGTCTGTCTGTCCGTGACTTCACGGTCGGACGAGAAAATGCACTCTCTGTCACTCACTGCAGTGAGTACTGATCTAATTTTTTGTACATACGGCTGCACCCCTTCAAATACATGTTTTTTGCACCCCCCTCCCCATACCCTAATGCCCCCTCCTCTAGGGGTACTTCTGCCTCGAACCCGACGGGGCTTGTCCCAGAAGGCAAGAGGCAGTAACCCCCCACCATCATCATCACGATCTAGACATCTATCTTCACCATTTCAATCTTCATCCTCATCCAATCCATCATCTAACTTATCAGAACGCTCTAGATCCTAGACTTACCGCATCCAACTGAAAATAATTGATTCAAGAATACCGACGGACCGACCAAAGATATTTTCCACGACGTCAGTCACGTCGTGACAGATGACGTTACTGAAATTTAAAAACTGACTCCAGAAAAACGACCGAACCATTCCTTAAAATCAACCTGACACCCATTACAGCTCCAGACCTTCGACCTAAACGGACCATTTATGTGGGACAATTAGACAGATCTGTAGGTAGCCACACTGCTAATGAAATCAAACACGAAATCAGAACTGGCTACAATACATATGTACAGGACATCATCAAAATCAAACACTACTCGCAGGCTATTAAAATCATAACCACAGACACTACAATAGCACAACGCATACTTACTCACGAATTTTACATGTATAGATACAACACTAAAATCTCACCTTCGCAGTGCGAACAAGAACAATATGCACATAATTTCTCGTATGCTACAAATGTTACCAAATAGAAAATCATCCTACACACCAATAGTGCACATTCACCACTACCTCGTGTTCCGAATGCGCCGCCAAAGACCATACCCAATGCACCAACACCTACACACCACGACAATGCACCAACACCTACTAGAGATGCCTCAACTGCCAAAACGATCACAGTACACTTGTTGTAGCGCCTGAAGAAGTATAATAAGCGTATCAACCTCTGTTCATCAGATCAGTGTCAAACGCAGTCGGAAATGGGCAACGTTAGCAAGCACTGCAACGTTGAATACAGCGACGATACCGAAGACAGGGGGCGTTACAGGGCGGGGTGGCTGCCGAATGCTGGCTCGCCCACCCCCTTCAACTCGCCCTGGGCTTACCGCACTATGGGACAACTTAAAGTGAGTATTTTAACTCTTTGATCCACCAGGCTACGGAGTGAAACTATAAAAAAAAAATCGGCTACACAAAGTCAGTGAGATAAGACGTTCAATCGTTTGGATTAGATTGAGCTTGAGAGACCTTAAAATCAGCTAAACTGATCACATATGTTTTAATTGTTCAGTGCAATATTGCTTATCTCCTTATTAGTTGACTTGTTACGAATAGGGTGCCCCGGTGGTGGGGAGGCTCAACACGTACGGGGGAGGAGGATTCGTCGTGGACCTCGTGGGGAGCAAACTGCAGGTAGACGTCATCGTCGAGCATCTCAAACAAAAAGGTGAGAAAATTCCTCTATCAAATACCAATCTGTCTACATTTGCCCTATCTAGTTTTCTTTGCTAACTTACCGTCTTAACGCCCCCATTGGTTGCTCACCTTTAATTCAACTATTCAAATGCGACTTCAACTTTTTGAATTGATCCTAATTTACTTTCAACATCCACATTCTCACTCATGATGATGATGGTTACTGTGTACTTATCATTTCTGGATGCTCAGCGTGGCTGGACAAGTATACCCGTGCGGTGTTCATCGAGCTCGGCGTGGTGAACGTTTACGTGAACCTCTTCACTCGTGTCTGCCTCCTCACCGAGTTCTCCAACACCGGCCTCGCTTTATCTAGCTACCAGATCACCAGCTTTCAACTGTACAGGTATTTCATCCTCAACACAGTATTCATCATGACGACTATCAATTGATTTTATAAGAACTAGCTATATATATATAGCTTCCAAAAAATTAATGTAGCCTGTTTATAGAATTTCAAACTTCTATTTTAATTCGAAGAAATCTCCTCCAACAGCCTTGAGCATTCTGTGCTATAATCAGCAATACTGGAGTATTGATCTCGGATAAATTGCAAATAGTTCACCAGCCATCATAACTGGCAATTCAAATGGGAAAGCTTGAATTTATAATAATCATAACCTGGCGCATTGCCAAAAAATAATATAACAAAAATATAAAAGCCACGTGGGTGAAGTGTGATCAGTCTTCAATTGAAGGTCGAATTGAATTGAAGATGATATGAAGTGTCTTTCACGTTCTTCATCACATTCATTGCCTTCCTGTAGTTCGACAGGCCTATACAGGCCTATTCTTTAATGCCGAAGATACTATACTACATCGGTAAGTCAAATTGTGGAGCAATAAGTGAGGATAAATTGAGAAGCAATCATGGGCATAACTTTGGTGCTTATGACGAACTTTCTGCTGTCTCAGCTACGTTGGCGCAGGGGCTGCATGGATCGTATTCTGTGAGGTGGCGGTGCTGGTGTTTATAGTCATCTTCCTCGTCAGGGTCAGCAGGAGCATCAAGAAGGTGAGGTTGGCTCACGGACGGACGGAGAAGTCTTGTAGTTTATGAAAAGAAATGTCAGAGAAGCTAGGAGATGAATGGGAGGAAGACACTGGGAAATATTGGAAATTGGCATCGGGGAAAAATGATAAAGGAAGGTTACAATGGAGGATTATGAGAAACATTAAGGCAAAATTAGCTAGAAGGGGCTTCTCAAATATTTTCAAATAATAACAAATTTTAAACCATATTAAACAAAAAGACCAAAGTATGACCAGCATGCTGGGAAATAAATTACAGCTCAACCATGATTAATTTTTTGGTAATTATTAACGCGTTGAGTTCGGCAGATGGCCTTAAAACCGCTATCTTAATTGGTCATATGGCTTGAATTATAATATATTGAATTATAAAAAGGCCTATTATTAAAATAATACTTGTGAATTTGTAGGTTCCGGTGCAAAAATCAAATTTTCCTTCTTTCCGTACTTTTTGAAATTTAATGAGATATTACTGTCATCATAAATTTTTGTCCACAAGCGCAATTGAAAAAACTGAATTGCAGAATTTGTCCGGAAAAAAGAGCTTGCAACCCACCGGCTGGTCGCGCCGCATTCAACGCGTTATTGAATTCCTAGAACAAACTCAGAGAAATTGGTGATGGAATGACTCATATAAAGAAAATATAATTGGTTACAGTATGTCGTTTGTGTCATGTCTTTGTTAGTCTTCCTGCCGCAAATTTTATAACTTTCGTTCTTTGTCATGCTTGAATCTCTTGAGCAATAATCCCGAAGCTGAAGTCCGTCAAGGAACAGAAAGGTATCCGAATAATAAGGTTAAAAATTAACTTGTTTATTGAACAAGCACACGTTTTATTCAAGATATTCACCTTGAGAAATTTTTCAAGCATTCTAGGACCCAGTTGCATGACATGCAGGACAAGGCCTGCACACAACTTGTGCGCTTCTTCTTGGGATATAAAGGAAACTGGACAGCTGCCAAAAGAGGAGTGCTACATACGTAACTAAAGTAGCAATGCCATATTCGAGGAAAACTGTTCTCAAATCCTCGCTATTGCGAATTTACCGCTGAATGCGTATCCATAATAAATAAACGCTATTGATTCTATTCCTCCAAAATAACTCAGTTTTCTACTACCACCAGCAGGAGAAGATGCCAAAGTAGCTCCTGGAAAGTGCCGAAGCTGATGAAGGTGGAGAAGTGGAACGGTGGTTTAGTGATGGCATGTTAGATTATTTTTATAAGCTTATATCTGTTGGCAAAATAAGTTCACGTTTTTCGTCTAAACGACCGTTTAGGCGTTCAAAAATCATTATTTTTGCCATATATGGCTCTTATTTGTGCATAACATTATAATTAATAAATTAATTAATAAATTAATAATTTATAAATTATAAATTTATAAGTCTTCAGCTTTTCCGCCCGCGGGTCCCATAGTACAAGGATTATAATCAATTTACGTAAAGGGCGCATAATATATTTCAAATTTGAGAGATAAAAGTTACCTTACACGAAGATTATAAATAAAAGGAAATAAACTGAAATGACCACAGTACCATAGACCGAGTTAAGGTTCTAATTACTGGTAAGACACAGACATCAACATATTTTAATAGAACAGTGAAATTCAATTTAATAATAGATTTAAGGAAACGGCAGCTATTTTGAGCTAAAAGAGCCAGCTAATGATGGTTCAGATTGAAACACGGCTACTTATTAGTCCCTGCGCCCAAAGAAAGAAGCATATCATACTCATCTTCAATCATGTTGGAGAAGTGGGTCTGCGTACAACAAAACGCTGAGCGTTTCAAGCGAGGCCAAAGGCTGGTCCTCTACAGTGGATCGACTGGAACCCCTTCCTTTAGTATATTACAGTAACTTTCATTGCTTACAGGTTGGCAAAAGTTTCTTTAGGAGCTTCTGGAATGTGATGGAGCTTGTAAAAGTGGCTTTAAGCATCACGGCCGTCGTCATGTACGCCATGAAGAACGCTTACGTCGCTCTTTCCTTAGGAGACATTGCAAACCGGAGTGGTACGTTAGTAGCTGCATTTACATTGAAATCCAAATTTTGTCCAATGATATTTTGATGGAACTCCACTCCATTGAAGATGGAACAATTTTTGGAACAATTTCTGGATTTTTTTTAGAAAGGCTCATTGTTTTCTACCGAGTTGATTAAGTAACACAAAAATTTTTCCTTCGCTTGATATGTTTGCCTCTGAATGTCAGTTAAAAAACTCGCATATTTTCTAATTTGCATACCCAAATATTCAGGGGAATTCATGAACTTCCAGCGCTTGGCGCTGTGGAACGAAACATTCATCTACCTCATAGCGTTCGTGTGCTTCATCAGCATCTTGGAGTGCCTGAACCTGCTACGGTGAGTCGGGCGATGCCTCAGTATTAAATAATACTTGAAATAATAGTTGAATAAACGTGTGAGGGCTTAGTCATAACTCATTCATCGGGCATTTATTGATTGCTTTAGTGTGGCTCATGAAATCAAATGCTGAATCGCCTCAGTATTTAAATAATAGTTGAAATAATATTTGAATAAAAGTGTGACGGCTTAGTCATAACTCACACAGTATTTAAATAATAGTTGAAATTTTCCAGGGTGAAGACACGAAGAAGTGTGAGGGCCTCAGTATTTAAATAATAGTTGAAATAATAGTTAATAAAAGTGTGAGGGCTTAGTCATAACTCATTCATCGCATTCATAGATTGCTTTAGTGTGGCTCATTGCTTTATTGTGGCTCAATCAAATGCTGAATCGCCGGATGGCTTTTCAAAATTTATTTTTATATTAAATTACAATTAAAATAACGAAATATTCTTTGCTCAATCTAATTTTTTAATCCATAAAAAGAGCTCGTTCCCTACAACTATAATGCATTTCAAAGAGAGATAAAATAGAGCAGAGAGACAAAGGAAGGGAGAGATAAAATAGATAGATAGGGAGATCTAAAATAGATATCTATCTCCCTTTGAAATAGATAATTTCAAAGGGAGATAAAACAGAGCAGAATTTGTTGTCAGGTTCAACGTACGCATGTCGATGCTGGCTCGCACGCTGCGCACCTGCTCTACGGACCTCGCTGCGTTCTCGTTCACGTTCTTCATCACATTCATGGCCTTCGTGCAGTTCGCGTACATTGGTAAGTAAGGTAATTGTGGTAAGGTAATTTGGTAAGGTGATTGTGGAGCAATAAGTGGGCATAAATTGTGGAGCAATAAGTGGGCATAAATTGTGGAGCAATAAGTGGGGATAAATTGTGGAGCAATAAGCGGGGATAAAGTGTGGAGCAATAAGTGGGGATGAAGTGTGGAGCAGTAAGTGGGGATAAATTGTGGAGCAATAAGTGGGGATAAATTGTGGAGCTGTAAGTGGGGATAAATTGTGGAGCAATAAGTGGGGATAAATTGTGGAGCTGTAAGTGGGGATAAATTGTGGAGCAGTAAGTGGGGATAAAGTGTGGAGCAGTAAGTGGGGATAAAGTGTGGAGCAATAAGTGGGGATAAATTGTGGAGCAATAAGTGGGGATAAATTGTGGAGCAATAAGTGGGGATAAATTGTGGAGCAATAAGTGGGGATAAATTGTGGAGCAATCTTGCGCATCACATTCGTGCAGTTCTTACTAATTCAAAGTGAAGTGTTCATTCAAAGTTAGTATTCAAGTTTTTAATGAAATGAATAATTTCCGGGATTGTGAATTTTTTATTTATTCCTTAAGAACCTTAAAGGAGCATATTGCAAGCAGTTAAAGAGAATTTTAAGCCCTATGAATACTTTCCAGAGAGATAAATGGTTATATTTTATAAAACGAATTGAAGAATTTCGATATGCTCTGATGTTTTGTCTAATAATGTGCCATAAATTCGTGACAAGAAAATAGGACTAATTTTTTCGCCTTGTAATTTAGAATCATTAAGCGAGATTTTTCTTCCTCGCAATAGCAATATCACTATAAGTGTCGATGTTTTTGGAATATTTGGTTATAACTTCATGCTGCTGACATTTTGTATGTTAATTGATTGGATATTCGTCGATATTACTATTTCAATCTGAAAATAATTCAATGACCTCAGAAATATTATAGTTCTTGCCGGAAAGATTCAACGAGATATATTTCATGACTGACGGTGTCAAGCTAGCTTCCTGAAAACTAACGTTGTTTGGTGGTTACATTTCCCGATTAGGTGGCACCTCTAACTGGGAGAACGAAATTAGAAATCCTTTACCTTTCATTTTTTGCTGTCGTCTTTCCATTTACGGGGCATTTTTTAAAGTTTCATTCGAGTAACTGATTGGTGATGAACATTTCGAAATTTTTACTTGCTTTATAGCTAGTCAGATAAGTGGCGTAAACATGATAAAGTAACTTCGAACACAAACTGGAGGCTGTTGTGGGTCTTTTAGGGAGGAGATTTAAAGAAATTATGTGTGATTTTACCCGATAAAGATTTAAATGCATCAATAACAAGCGAGTTCTGTGAGTGTGCAGTTTAAAGTTAATGGCGGGACCAAGCGGATGACGCGTGGCAACTGTTGTGAATCACCATCAGATTATGATATGTGCTGGGTATCAGCATTTCTTTGCTGTGAAAAACGCCTATCGTGGCGTTAAAATTATTGGTTTGAGTAAGATAAAGGCTCAAGTGTGGTCGAACATTTACTATATTTGTTTGTTTTTTATGAAAAACATAATATGTCAGCCTAGTTAATGGTGGAAGTATGTTGGTCTTTTACTGTCACACAGGTTTGAAATGTTAATAATTCGAAATTGAGCGAAGTTTGCCTGTATTTGTAAAGGTGCTTTACATGGGATAATAGTAGCAGGAGTATTTATTCACCGCAATAACTTCACATTCCCAGTTTTGCGGGCTGAAATAGTATACACTGGGAAAGTATTTGTTTAACTGTATTTTTACATCAGCAAGCGTCAGTGTGTGCGTTAGAAGCCGTTGAGTGAGGCTTGGGCACGACGGAAACCGTGGACTATGGAATGTGACGGCAATGGCGAGTTTGATGAAGCTTTTGATAGAGCAGTTGGTGGCATAGTTGCCACTCTTGCTGAGGAGATGAAAAACTTTGTAGATCACCGGAAAGTGTTGTTCAGAGACCTAATAATGTCTCGTTCAAGTTTCAAAACAGCAATTTGTCAATTGTTTTTGTTGGAGTAGTCATCGTGACGTACATTCCGCAGTAGATCGTAATTTGGAATATCCATAAGAACATTTCGATATCAACTGAACCCCTCTTGACGTTCTTAGATCCGTCGTCGTTGTGACAAGACATAGTTCATAACATTAGAAGCATTTGCCTTAAATAGAATACACACACAACGGCTGCTGCAGTCAAACTGGCGTTACTTCAAAGTTCATAAACAACCCGGGCCTATACTTTCAAAAAAAAGTTAAGAGATCGTAAGTTCATCAGCCAATCATTGACGGCCTTTCAAGCAAAATCCACCAATCATAGACAAGAAACTAGCTGGGCTGATTTGGTTTTATTTTTTATTCTAGAGGCCGTAGATGGCTTTTCTCTAGAGGCCGTTGAGGGCTTTTCGACTATCTTTTTTATTTTCTGTCCAGCCATTATTAAATGCACGAACTAGATCTCTTGAACGGAGAAAAATACAGAAAAGGACGGAGAAACATACGACTGAGTTGAGTTGGGTATAGTAAAGTTCCCTCGAAAATTAAGGCTGGAAAAACAGCTGAGCTGCAGCTGGCGAGGGAAAGACAGAGGTGTGGTGGGGGAATCAAGGTATCAACGCGTAAGGCGGGTGGAGAGGGGTAGGTGTAGGGGCCAAGAGGGTGGGGAGGGTATAGGAAGGCGAGGCTTGAGCGTAGTCAAGGCACCGATTGTTCTCCGGTTACAGGCGGTCGCCGAGGGTTTCAAAAACTTGCCCTCGTTTCTTGCACTAGAATTTGTCGGGAATAAAACACTTGTACTAGCCGTTTTTCTCACTATTCGCACAATTTTGATTGAACTGCACTAAAATTGAACCTTTCACTGAAATCGTTTCGGTACAAAATTCGCGAGATAAGTCAAACCGGCATAGTAAAAAGTGAGAATGTTGGGACCCGCAAACACTACGTGCGTCCTCGATCACTGCCAGAACTCAACTCAATTATATTATATTATATTCTATTCTATACCAATGATGTCTATGACGCCTAATTTCGTCTACTTTCTTTTGATTCTCCCCTATAAGTATTAGTGCAGTTTTAGCCACCTTTCTTTCTTCCCAATTTTAGGTAGTAGTAACTCACACACAATTAGTGTTGTAAGTCTATATCCCATTCATGAAGTTTAAACTCTACTAATCTGACATGGGATTCTAAAAACTAAAAGTTACGATGCAACCCTGAGACTCAACCTACGATGTACGCTGCAACCCTGGGAGACTCAAATTGGACCTTTCCGGGTTTTCCACTGAGACGTCTAAGTTATTCTTGCTTAATTTATTTAATGTATTATCTTGCAAGTAGGCATTTAATGTTAAGCGTTAAATTTTACAGGCAGAGCACGTTTATAACCCATATAATGATGTCCATATACTGAGAAATAATTGGTGCAACAGAAAATATACATATGTTCAATCACAACATTCTTTTGCGGTCAAGTTTTCAACAAGTTTTCGTCTGTTGGCCCCGTAAATTGATTGTAATAATTATTTAAATTGAATTACAATTTTTTGTAGTAATTATTGTAGTAGTTATTATTATTATTAGTAATTATTTAAATTGAATTACATTTGTTATTATTCGAAGAAACGTTTGGGCTGTTTGAAAGTTTGAATTACATATTGATTGCAGGTTTTTGAAGAATTGAATTTTTTCGGTTTTATCCATTTATAATCTCATGATTTCTTTGTTAACATTGTTTAATGACACGTCTCTTTGTCTGTATGTCCAACCTGGCTGACTGTATTCAGGCAGCATCGACATGAAGGAGATGCTGCACCAGAACGGATACTTCGGCGTGATTTTCTACCTCGTGTTCATCCTGCTCATGTCGTTCATCGTACTGAACATGTTCTTCAGTATTATGGGCGAAGCTTTTGCCTCCACCAAAGAGGAGATCGCAAAGGAGAAAAATCAGTATGAGCTTCTGGCGTTCATGACCGGACTCGTATATGTAAGTCATGAAATTAACCTAATGAGGTACAATTAATTAACCTAATGAGTATTGTTTTTGTGGACATGAGTTTTTCTCAATAACTAACATGTTGGCCCGGCTCGACTCCGGTCAATACTATTCATCGAAAAATGGAAAGCTCTTGGAAAGTACGGCAAGTATTTTATTTTAAAAATGGCAATTTAATCTGAAACCGAACTCCCTTAAAATACTATTTCGAACTTCGCAAAAAAATTTGTTTTTATTTTTTTGAGTAAATTTAAATGCCTCAAATATAAAGCATAAAATTTATTTATTGGTCCAATTCTCCTTCACGTTTCGTGGCGCCTTAATTGTGATTCCAAGACATAAAATTGAATTTCATGCTCACGTAATATCCCCACACGATTATGAAGAGAGATTCGAGATAAGATGAGACATGCCGAACGCTCGGTTTAAGAATTAACATGATAAATTTTCGATGCCATTTACCCAGATTGCTAGTTTAATTAATGGCCCTACTTCTGGGCTGGCAGAATAATGGCGCTGCTGTCATTGTCCCTCGCAAATAATAATAATTTGATACACTTCAAATAATCGCGCCTAACGCGGATCTAACGAGTTCGGTGCACGATCCAAACAATGTCGTAATGGCATATCAGCTCGTGATTTCGACCTTATAATTTCTAACAGAAGCCTAGCTTTGAATGTAGCACTCATTTCGTATCCTCTTGAGATCGTAAAACAGATCAGACAGTTTGCTGTGGCGTTTTTTTTTACAGTGATTTGTCTTTATTGACTGTAAATTTTGGATTATTAACTAATTGCACTAATTTCTAGGATTTTCGATACGTTTTCCTTTATGAAGATATGGTGAATTTCGGTGCCATATTATTTGTTTTTGCATTCCATTTCAAAAATCCAAAACGTTATAAGTCCACAACTTGATTGTACTGAGCTTCTCGGAATATAGGGCCATTATGCCCAACTTCTCTGAATATAACATCACACAGAAACCAATCTTCACAGATACTTCGACTCTGATTCATAATCCAACCTGGTCGGACCTAAACATACCTCATTGGCTGTGTAAATGAAAAGAGGCGGTGCAAGTGATGAGGTAAGGCTGGTATTTGGCTGTATGGTGGTTTACTTTGAGCATGTGAATATGTCATGGGAGGAGCNACTGAGTTAGGGGTACCAGGGCCTATACTTTCAAAAAAAGTTAAGAGATCGTAAGTTCATCAGCCAATCATTGACGGCCTTTCAAGCAAAATCCACCAATCATAGACAAGAAAATAGAGCGTAAGTACTTACGTTCACTTAATCATAGATAAGAAAATAGAGCGTAAGTACTTACGTTCACTTTGCGAGTTTTGAAAGTATGACCCCTGAATTGCTTCAGACGTTCTTGCATCAGCTATTTTCATCTGAGGAAGATATCAGCACAACATTTGAATTGTGAAGAACCGGCAGCCAATACTCGCAGCGAATGCTGTCCCCGTGTATACGCACTTTAATATACGCTCTCGTAAAATCATCGATATGAATTGATAATTTCTTCAACATTACTCCTAATCTGTCCGACATTAACTGCTTACGTATTTACAAAACATTGAATTAGGATTGGTTCAGTCTCAGCTGTTATTAACACTGTATTAAGTTATATGATTCTTTTACGCCAACTATTTTTCACAGCTGAATTAACCTGTGATCGCGTCTGCAGCAACTGATAATAATATAATTTGCATTTACCTGAGATTCCTACAGCTTTCAGCGCGAACATGCAGATATACAAGGGGTTCGTTACCACCATGGAGAGTATGGTCGGCCATCTACTTGGTGAGAATAGATTAATGTAATCTATTCTCTTGTAATCTAATGTAATCTATTCTATTGTAATCTAATGTAATCTAATGTAATCTATTTACCTTATTGCGCCATACACATTTTAGCTTCTTACCCTCACTTTGGGTAGCCAATTCAATCACACCCTGTTGCATTTTCCTTATACTTCTTGCGACCTTCGCTTTCTGTTACTCATAACCTTTACTTAATTTTTTATCAGTATATTATACCTAAATATTTCTTGACCTATCCCGAATCATACTTACTTATTCTTATCAATTAACTAAACTATGGTAACAGAACTTTGATTATTGCACTCTCAATCTTATTAATTAATATTTATTTTCTTCCTCATTTGCGTTCCAGTTAATTGTTACTTACGAAGACTTTAATTATTATCGCTAATAACCACTCTCACAAATGAATAATTATACCCATAACCTTATTTATTACATCTGACTCTCAATCTATTTCATCATTAACCAGAACGTCACTTATTTTATCATTAAACTCAATTATTTATTTAACATGAGACTCAAATTGGAATTTTTTCGTGTTTTTCTCCAAGTTATTCGATCCTGCTTCATTCATTTGATTCGTTGCCTTGCAAGTAGTCATTTAGTGCTAAGCGTCAAATTTTACAGTCAAGGCACGTTTAAAACCAATAATGATGTCCATATTGAGAAAGAATTGGTACATCACAAAAATTATATTCGACCACTACACGCTATAAAGGCTGAAGTCCGCTTATATCTAATTTATTTGAAATAGCATTCAAAAATACATTTTGCCTGCATTCAATGTGAAGAAAATTGGCTCAAAATCATTTGTAATATTTTATTGGACAAATTATGACTACTTATGATGATGCAGGATGCATATAAAACATGATGGTATTTCTTAAAATTATTTGCATTTGTGAAGTGGTGTACGCCCGTGGCTATCGTATCGATCAGCATTTTATCGATTGAATTAGACGAAATCTTCAAGTGTTCACTTTAATCAACTCATTAGCTATGTAAGCACATGATAATTATGTAATTATGATGCAAATTGGGCATTGAGATTTTTTTCACCGTGGGGAACATCCGATTTTTTCATTATCACATCAGGCGAGTGATCGTGTCTGGTTATATATTAGAACTTTACTAAATTTACAGTAGAAAACAGGGGTCGATTTGAGCTAAATATTAACAAGTTTTCTTCTGTTGGCACTGTAAATTAATTGTAAGGATTATTTAATAAATTGAATCACATTTATTATAATTCGAAGAATTGTTTCGTTTGATTGTTTTTAATTACTAGACGTCGTAATTGACGTTTTTTCGGTTTTATCCATATATCATCTCATGATTTCTTTGCTAACATTGTTTAATGACACGCCTCTTTGTCTGTTCAACCTGGCTGTATTCAGGCAGCATCGACATGAAGGAGATGCTGCACCAGAACGGATACTTCGGCGTGATTTTCTACCTCGTGTTCATTTTGCTCATGTCGTTCATCGTACTGAACATGTTCTTCAGTATTATGGGCGAAGCTTTTGCCTCCACTAAAGAGGAGATCGCAAAGGAGAAAAATCAGTATGAGCTTCTGGCGTTCATGACCGGACTCGTATACGTAAGTCATGAAATTAACCTAATAGTGTACAAGTGTGGTTAGAAGGGTGCAGAGGGTAGATGAATTTTCGTGTTTTTTTTTAAATTAATGTTCGTTGAGTATTGTTTTTGTGGATATGAGTTTTTCTCTATAACTAACATGTTGGCCCGGCTCGACTCCGGTCAATACTATTCATCGAAAAATGGAAAGCTCTTGAAAAGTACGGCAAGTATTTTAATTTAAACTAATGCTAACTTTACTTAACTAAACCGCTACTTTACTTTAACTAAACTTTAAACTAATTTAATTTAAACTTTTTAACTAACTAAATTTAAACTAATTTTTGATTTAATTTAATGGCAATCACATCTGAAACCGAACTTCCTTAAAATACTATTTCGAACTTTGCAAAAAAATGTATTTTTTTGAGTAAATTTAAATGACTCAAATATAAAGCATAAAATTTATTTATTGGTCCAATTTTTCATCCTGTTTCGTGGGCCTTAATTGTGATTCCACGACATAAAACTGAATTTCATGCTCACGTAATATCCCAACACGATTATGAAGAGAGATTAGAGATAAGGTGATGCATGCCGAACGCTCGGTTTAAGAATTAACACGATAAGTTCTCGATGCCATTTACCCAGACTGCTAGTTTAATTAATGGCCCTACTTCTGGGCTGGCAGAATAATGGCGCTGCTGTCATTGTCCCTCACAAATAATAATAATTTGATACACTTCAAATAAAATAATTTAATAATTTGATACACTTCAAATAATCGCGCCTAACGCGGATCTAACGAGTTCGGTGCACGATCCAAACAATGTCGTAATGGCATATCAGCTCGTGTCAGTGATGGTCTCAGAGTCTGCCGTCGTTTATATTGTATGTCAAAATAATATATATATATATATTATTTTTAATTTTAATTCGAAACGTCGTTAATAAAGTGATATTACTCCCTTGAACCTGCATTTTGATCAACTAATGTCATCTGAAGAATATTGTTCGACCCTGAAAATTTAAATTGACGAATTCTCCGGCCATTAACCACCCGTGTTGAAACAAGCTTATTCTGCCTTATGATACTAATATATATATATATATATATATTTTTCCTATATGTTATTTATTGAAATCTATAAGGTTTATAATTGTTGTCATTGATATCCCTACACTTAAAAAATTAATTTACTTCGGAACAATTGTAAGCCACTTGTTATATACTTTTAATTACGAACTTAAACCTTCGTCACTGACAATATCTACTTGCATTAATTTTTAGTACTATGAATTAGTGCGACTAGTTTTCAGGTAGTGCTGTAACTGAAGTGATTGATTGGTGAACTTTACACGTGACTTCTGAAATTGGGCTGAACGGTATTCTAGCAATCAGTTTTTATATCTTTTAACGACAAAGAAGCCACCACAGATGAGGAAATGCTGTGAATTACTTGTCGCCTACTGTGCTTAAAGATATTGGCCGGTAAAAATAGTGTCGGCCAGTTTTAGAAGTTAGCATTTTTATTATGTGCCACAAATTACCCCCTTGTGTCAAACTTATGAAATGTTACTAATGTTCATAAGAAATTACTGAAAAAATTCGTAATTTGGATGCAAAATTAGTAATTACCTGGTTTATCCCGTTATGACCCGTTTTATAATTTAAATTTCACGATACTGTAAAGTTATTATTTTGCCTAGGACGTTTTATTTCGTCTCGCAATTATTCCGGATTTCCACAGAAGTTTAATATTATCTTGATTTTTATCAATTATCAGAAGAAAGATGTCAGGTTTGTCTCGTATCAAATAGAAAACTACGAGACGCAGCTGCTGTCAGTGCGTATAGACGCTACAGTATTCTCTGTGAAAGTAATTATATGGCTCTATATTCGCGTAAAATAACCAACATTTTTGCAAGTAGAATTGCGATATTCTAGAAGTGATGAACCGCAGTGTTCAGTGATCGAGGAACTACGGAATTTAACCTAAGGAAAAATATATATAGCCTTTTACCTAAGAAGCAACGGTATTACTCCTTTGCCAAATTAGCGCAGGTGCATTGGCCGGGCGCAAGAATTCTGGTCCACGTGTATTTGCATATACTTTAGGGAAAAAACATTGCTGGTCTTCTCTTCCTCAACTGCCTGACACGAGTAACCAGAGCAAAATTGTCACAAGCCTACTTCCCTAAAAGGATACGTTCTAGTGAGCGCAAAATGACTTGCACTGATGGTTGCTGCCACGTACGACAACTTTAAAATGTTCTCTGTTGCGTACAAACGTAGTCAGTTTGCTACACTCAATAGTTTACGTATAATTTAACTTAAAAGTTATTTCCCCATGAGAGTGACATGCGGCAGTAGAGGGTTAAGGAGTCTCTGTGTTCAGGAAGTCAGTATTATTGTGTGTGTGTGGGTAAATATAGCAGACACTCCTCGCCCCAGGACCTGATGGGGTGGAAGAACAAGCCCAAACTTATCACCGACTTCGACGAGGACGATGTGCTGGACGACGGCGAGGACGACCAGGATGAGCTCAGTGACGTGCGCAAGGAGAAGAGCCCTCAAAACGAAGGCTAGTTTAAATTTCATTAATTCAATATAACTATTTATACACTAGCATATTCATTATCATGTTCGCATCCAACATTATAATTTCAGTTACTTTTCTTACTTACAATTTTATTTCTAAACATGAAATGCATATCATGTTTTCATTTCATGTCGTGAACTCATATTAGTTTCAAAATCTTCACCTTTTTTTCCCCGGACAGGTACCACGGAAGCTGCAAAGCTAAACGAGGCAGACGACGAACTCACTCCTGCAGAGGGCACCCTGCCTGAGGCGCCCCCCGTGGCGAGCTACCTCGAGCCCCCCAAGATCGACCCCCGCAAGCTGCCCCCTCTTAGGCTCCCCTCCAGCCTCCCTGTCTCCAACAAACCTCCCCCGGCGTCATACCTGCTGTCTGTCCCCTCGTCTAGGTGAGCCATAACCTACCTGTCATCTAGGTGAGATTAACCTACCTGTCATCTAGGTGAGCTATAACCTACCTGTCATCTAGGTGAGATTAACCTACCTGTCATCTAGGTGAGCTATAACCTACCTGTCATCTAGGTGAGATTAACCTACCTGTCATCTAGGTGAGCTATAACCTACCTGTCATCTAGGTGAGTTATAACCTACCTGTCATCTAGGTGAGCTATAACCTACCTGTCATCTAGGTGAGCTATAACCTACCTGTCATCTAGGTGAGCTATAACCTACCTGTCATCTAGGTGAGCTATAACCTACCTGTCATCTAGGTGAGCTATAACCTACCTGTCATCTAGGTGAGCTATAACCTACCTGTCATCTAGGTGAGCTATAACCTACCTGTCATCTAGGTGAGCTATAACCTACCTGTCATCTAGGTGAGCTATAACCTACCTGTCATCTAGGTGAGCTATAACCTACCTGTCATCTAGGTGAGCTATAACCTACCTGTCATCTAGGTGAGCTATAACCTACCTGTCATCTAGGTGAGCTATAACCTACCTGTCATCTAGGTGAGCTATAACCTACCTGTCATCTAGGTGAGCTATAACCTACCTGTCATCTAGGTGAGCTATAACCTACCTGTCATCTAGGTGAGCTATAACCTACCTGTCATCTAGGTGAGCTATAACCTACCTGTCATCTAGGTGAGCTATAACCTACCTGTCATCTAGGTGAGCTATAACCTACCTGTCATCTAGGTGAGCTATAACCTACCTGTCATCTAGGTGAGCTATAACCTACCTGTCATCTAGGTGAGCTATAACCTACCTGTCATCTAGGTGAGCTATAACCTACCTGTCATCTAGGTGAGCTATAACCTACCTGTCATCTAGGTGAGCTATAACCTACCTGTCATCTAGGTGAGCTATAACCTACCTGTCATCTAGGTGAGCTATAACCTACCTGTCATCTAGGTGAGCTATAACCTACCTGTCATCTAGGTGAGCTATAACCTACCTGTCATCTAGGTGAGCTATAACCTACCTGTCATCTAGGTGAGCTATAACCTACCTGTCATCTAGGTGAGCTATAACCCACCCGTCATCTAGGTGAGCTATAACCGCCCCGTCATCTAGGTGAGCTATAACCTACCTGTCATCTAGGTGAGCGTTAACCCACCCGTCATCTAGGTGAGCTATAACCGTTACTACGTTATAACCGGTTACAGGGTTTGACTGTTACTTACCCTTCACCTGGGGGAGCTATAACTAACTCATCACATTCGTGAACTATTATTTAATTATTATTAAAAGTTATTAGGTGAGTTCTCAGATGCTCGACGTCTGGATGAGAATGGTAGGATCGCTCCAAGCGGATATCTACAGATATACGAGAGATTTAGCCAGCTTGCTCAAATTTTTGTCTATAACAGGATGAAATGTAGTTTTTATTAGATTATTAATAAGGTTAATGGTGGAGCAATGTGCGCACGTAAAATTACTCGTGCATAAAAATTAGCATGTGGCCTGATTGTGGGTTGATTTGCAGCATAAAATCTTATAAATTTTGCTAAAAAATAATTTAAGAGTTGCTTGAGATGCGGTATAAAACTTAGCATGGATGGTATGACCAGTCCTTCAAAAATAATCACTTCTCCCTCTTTTCCTCCTGCTGCTCCAGGCCGGAGAAGCAGTCTCCTCTCCAAGAAGCTCCTCCATCTCCCGGGACCCCAATCTATACCTTCCCTGGTATGTGATGTCGGTGTACGACGTAAAACTTTTAACGGGTTTCGATGATCACTTGCACAGCATTCATGTTGCGAAAAAAAAGTTGGCACCATGCTGGAAATAGGGCGCTTGTTCTGATGTGGTGGCAACGAAAGTCACAAGACTGTGGTAACAAGGCGCTTGTGTCGGTGTGGTGGCAACGAAATGCACAAAAGACAGTGGCAACAATTATGGCGCTCGTTCCGATGTGGTGGCATGAGTTGTACATGACAGTTGTAGCGCGTCTGTCAAAGGCGGTCTATATTGTTATTAAGGTAGTTTTAGCGCATTTGCCAATGCCAGTTGCTGAGCGATGGCCAATGCCAGTTGTAGAGCGGTGGCCAATGCCAGTTGTAGAGCGGTGGCCAATACCAGTTGTAGAGCGGTGGCCAATGCCAGTTGTAGTGCGGTGGCCAATGACTAATAGTTAACATTTGGAGCGACTGCATGTGTCAAAGCAGGTCAAAGCTTCTGCCTAATATGCCTTATTAAATTCGATAAAGTTCCAGTTAGTAAAATTCTATGATTTCTTTAACATTGAGGTTAAGAAATGAAAATAATTTACATTATCCCAACCTGTTATCCAGCTGAGCTATGACATACCTGTTATCCAGCTGAGCTATGACATACCTGTTATCCAGCTGAGCTATGACATACTTATCACCTGATAGAGCGGGAGCAGTCCCCTGGGCGAGCTATAACCCCTCCACTGCTAGGTGAGCTAATACATGTAGGTTGCAGGATTTGACTACAACTTACCCGTCACCAGGGGAAGCTATAATAAACTCGTCACACTAGTGACTTAATAATTAAGTGACTAATAATTAATTATTACATGCACTCTCTTAGCTGAGCTCTCACCCGCTCAACATCTGGATGAGTATAAATGGATTGTGTTCCGACCGGAAGTCTACAGGAATATGAGAGACTTGGCCAGCTTGCTCAGAATTTTTATATAACAGGATGAAATATAGTTTTTTTATTAGATTTTTGATAAGGTTAATGGTGGAGTAAAATTAAATTATTAAATTAATTAGTAAAATGGAATAAAATTGCACACGTAAAATTACTCGTACATCAAAATTAGCATGTGGCCTGATTGTGGGTTGTTGCGCAGCATCAAATCTTATAAATTTTTTCTAGAAAATAATTGAAAAATTGCTTGAGATGCGGTATAAAACTTAGCATGGATGGTATGACCACTCCTTCAAAAAATAATCACTTCTCACTGTTTTCCTCCTGCTGCTCAGGCCGGAGAAGCAGTCTCCTCTCCAAGAAGCTCCTCCATCTCCCGGGACCCCGATCTATACCTTCCCTGGTATGTGATGTCGGTGTACGACGTTAACTTTTAACGGGTTTCAATGATCACTTGCACAGCATTCATGTTGCGAAAAAAAAGTTGGCACCAAGCTGGAAATAAGGCGCTTGTTCTGATGTGGTGGCAACGAAATGCACAAGACTGTGGCAACAAGGCGCTTGTGTCGGTGTGGTGGCAACGAAATGCACAAAAGACAGTGGCAACAATTATGGCGCTCGTGCCGATGCTGTGGCATGAGTTGCACATGACAGTTGTAGCGCGTCTGTCAAAGGCAGTCTATATTGTTATTAAAGGTAGTTTTAGCGCATTTGCCAATGCCAGTTGTAGAGAGGTGGCCAATGCCAGTTGTGGAGCGGTGGCCAATGCCAGTTGTAGAGCGGTGGTCAATGCCAGTTGTAGAGCGGTGGCCAATGCCAGTTGTAGAGCGGTGGCCAATGCCAGTTGTAGAGTGGTGGCTAATGACTAATAATTAACAGTTGGAGCGACTGCATGTGTCAAAGCAGGTCAAAGCCTCTGCCTAATATGCCTTATTAAATTCTAAGTTCCAGTTAGTGAAATTCTATGATTTCTTTAACATTGAGGTTAAGAAATGAAAATAATTTACATTATCCCAGTGTAAGCGCCGAAATATTTTTACTCATACGTATCTGTCGGCGGTAATTAATAAGCGCCAAATGTGAATTAAAGCTTGAACCTCGAACGGCTTCCTTAAGAAGGAAACCTTGCACGGCTTCCTTCTTAAGGACCAAGTTATAGCTTGTCTTGGAATACACATGAGAATTAATTTATTTAATTTTACTGCTTTTAAAATTATTTAATTCTATCAAATGTTGAAAGTACTTATATAGGTTCATGTGCCATTGATATATTTTACATTGAAACTGAAAAATATGCTCTCTATAACAACAAGTTCTTTGGCAAATACTCTACGAATGCGAAGTTTATGTATCTAGTTCGTAAACGAAATTCATGCGTCCATACAAATTTCCTACCGGTAATTTTTTGATGTTCGGTATAGAGGCGAGCATATATGTTTGGCCATAGCGTGTACTGCAGATTCAGGATGGCCCAGTGGTTAGAGTTCAGGGCCCATACTTTGAAAAAAGTTAAGAGATCGTAAGTTCATCAGCCATCACTGACGGCCTTTCCATCAAAATCCACCAATAATAGACAAGGAAATAGAGCGTGGGTAATTACGTTCACTTAGCGAATTTTGAAAGTATGGCCCCAGGGTACTAGAATAGGAGCAATAAGTCTTGGGTTCAGCGCCAGATTCCTATGACACTTCTGGTCAAGATCAGCAAATTGGTCAGGCGGTTGAGAACAGCGAGATTAGAGCAGTGCATTTCAGGTTCAAAGCCAAGCGAGCTGCGATAATTCTGCGACAGGCCAAATGTGGCATTATGAACGCTTAAACCATTATTGTTATTACTACTAACTGTACAGACCATTATTAATATCAATACCAACTGTACAGACCATTATTACTATCAATACCAACTGTACAGACCATTATTACTATCACTAACTGTACAGACCATTATTACTATCACTCTTAACTGTACAGACCATTATTACTATCACTCCTAACTGTACAGACCATTATTACCATCACTCCTAACTGCACAGACCATCATTACTATCACTCCTAACTGTACAGACCATTATTGCTATCACTCCTAACTCTACAGACCATTATTACCATCACTCCTAACTGTACAGACCATCATTACTATCACTCCTAACTGTACAGACCATTATTGCTATCACTCCTAACTGTACAGACCATCATTACTATCACTTCTAATTGTACAGACCATTATTATTATCACTCCTAACTGTACAAACGGGTCGTGGCGGCCTCGCCCACCGTCGCCCCCCGCGGCCGCTGACGCCCCCCTCCCGCCGCCCCTCGTCTACCAGCCGCCCCCAGGTGACGTGTCAACTTTATTGAAGCATTTCATTATTTTTATTATGTTATCATTTATGCTCGGATTAAAGATAATACTACATTTGAACACACCTAGTTCATTAAATCCGATTAATATAAATAATGTTCATAAGTATTAGCGAGCAATATCAATAAAATCATGAATTACTTGATTGTGTTCAGAAGCCTCAGAATTTGATGCATTATTTGTCGTTTTGTATATCCGAACTTCGGTGAAATAAATTATTTAATGCTTAACCAATAAAATATTTAGCTGCAGCGTTAATGCAATCACCAAATTATGAAATAGATCTTTTATGATCGTTAAGGATAATAATTTATCTTGGTGATAAAGCGATGATATCAAAATAATAATTGATTGATTAAAACTAATATATTGAGCTACAGAGGAGGATAATAATTTATCTCAGTGATAGAGCGATGATATCAAAATGATAATTAGCTAATTAAAATATTGTATTAAGCTGCAGAGGAGGATATTAATTTATCTTAGTGTTTAAAGCGAAGATATCAAAATAATAATTAGCTGATTAAAATAATATATTGAGCTGCAGAGGAGGATAATAATTTATCTTAGTGATATAGCGATGATATCAAAATAATAATTAGCTAATTAAAATAATATATTGAGCTGCAGAGGAGGAGGTGCCTGTGCCGTCTGCAGGTCTCAGCGACAGGCCCATGGACTTCATGAAGCTCGCGCCGCTCCCTGACATCAAGACGCTCTACGGCAATGCCTGGGTCTGTACTATTACTATTACTGTTACTATTACTATTACTACTACTATTACTATTACTATTACTACTACTATTACTACTACTTTTACTATTACTATTACTCTTAGTTACGATGTTGCTGATACTCATAGTTACGAGGTTTCACCCAACCGACCAAACTCACCCTGTTACTGATTCTCATAGTTGCTATGTTGCCGACACTTACAGTTGAGATGTAGCTGATAATAATATTATTAATTATTAATGACAATAATGACTCCTGTTCACAGTAACGTCGTCGGGACTTCTTAGCTATCTTATTTGAAATGCCAATAGCTTCAGTTGTCGAGGATAGGTGAAATGATGTACATACTATTATAATATATATTTTATCTAATATATAATTCTTAACAAGATCAAAGTTGATCGTGAGTTTTGAATCATCGTATTTTCTGCTGTGATCGTAAACTCATGACTCACTCTCGTGATTTGCAGCATTTATTTGAATAAAAATCCTTCACCACTAGTGGTTGGGTAACGGTCGTCTTGGCGGCAGTGTCATTAGTTTCCGGCCACTTATTGCTGTTGGGGTAACGGCCGTCTTGGTGGCAGTGTCATTAGTTTCCGGCCACTTATTGCTGTTGGGGTAACGGCCGTCTTGGCGGCAGTGTCATTAGTTTCCGGCCACTTATTGCTGTTGGGGTAACGGCCGTCTTGGTGATCGTCGTGTTGCAGTACCGGTACTTCACGCACGCGGTGCTGCAGCCCTTCAGCGCTGTCTCCCCTGTCGTCCCAGAGCCGCCTCAGCCACTCCCACATATCGAGGTTTTTATAACTATCATAATACGAATTTTTGTATTTAATATATTATTTGTCTTTTTTTAAACGCTATTACCAATACGATGCAGGTATAATGACAGACTAATTAACAATACTGGAGTTAATATGACAAAAAAGAAGTATATTCATTTATACAATGGAATTGTTGTAGAATCTTGAATTTCTTAAATCAAGTTCATAACAATTTTTTTGGATCGTGTAATTTTAGTGTAAAATGAAGTTAAACATGGGTAAATAAAAGCAAGTCATCATGTACACCAGGCGTACGTATGGTGTAATGAAAGCGATATTTACACCAGGCGTATGGTGTAATGAGAGCCATATTTACACCAGGCGTATGGTGTAATGAGAGCCACATTCACACCACGCGTATGGAGTAATAAAATTAAGTTACTAACTCATGTAACTTGATGCAGACTGAGGCTGTGCTGTGTCGTCTGGACCAAGTGGAAGCTCAGCTCGATGCCCTGATGGATGATGAATGCGAAGTGCCAGGGCCATTGCGTGATGACTGAACACCGCAATTGTCATGGCAGGGAGATGGCGATATTGAGCGCTGTGTTGTGATATTGTTCTTCTCCGCTCTTCAGTAAAGGATTATATATTATAAAGGATATGACCACATCTTGGCTGAGAACGTTGAGTGAAGCGTTCATTGAGGTGCATTAAGTGAATTATTTATTGAGGGTTGAATAAATCTTTTTGAGATTCACGTATGTGTGGAAATTTCTGGAATATTCAGACTCACGTTGTCTCACCTCACGATCATTAGATGTTCTGAATGTAAAGAATTGACCAATTCGCTTATAAATATGTATTGTTTTAACTGAGGGAATTCTTCTTGCATTTCAGTTTCCACCAGTTCAGGTATGCATATTGGAAGAGAAATTATAATATTAAATAGGAACATTACGAACGACGAGTAAATATTTTCCGATGAATCATCCCATTTACCAGGACAAAATGAATTTGTACAATTATATTGTAGCGTACAGAACTGAACACCGATACTTCGATATAAAATATAAAGTTTGAAATGGACGCCCGCAGAATGAGCAGTTGTTTTTCCAAAGAAACCCATTGAATATGCTTGGCTTTGCCCTCGTTCATTTTTCTCAGATAACAATAAAGGGCAAGCCCTGAAATTCGAGACGTGAATCGTAATCAGAGTCAAGGAGGCTTACGGTCTCCTTAGGTGCGTCTGCCACAACTTATTCCATCTTAGACATTGTTTCCATTTTACCTCGTAAACCTTCTAACTGGACCAAAAAACATTCTGGTGCTGGTTTTTGTTGTGAATCATTTAATTTTGTAAAAGATGCTTAAATTTAACATCGAATCAATTATACATGGAAAGCCACCTGCACTTACATTGAATCCTCTGCTACGTCCTTCCCAGTTAATCTCTGACCATGACATTTGCCATTTTACTTCTTACTCACTTCTTAAAATTTTCTTCTTACATTTCTTACTTCTTAAATTTTACTAAAATGGTTGATGCCATTTTACTTCTTAGTTTCGAAAAAGCTATCGATAAATATTGAGTCTTCTAATTCAGCCGTAGCTCCATTATCTTGTGAACTTGAGTGTAGAATGTGTGCCTTAGTTTAATGTGGTTGAGTTATGGAACGGTGGCTTAACTTGAAAATGGTGGGAAAAGTGATATCGCTTAATAAAGAGGAGCGTCTTGGTCCAAAATCGAAAATTTTTGCTTCTCCGCTTTTTATGCTCATCTTAAAGCTTACATTCTGCCGCGTCTAACGGTACCAAAACCATCTCTGTACGCTGATTTATGCGTTCACGGCAGATCGCGAAAGAGTTACATTGCGTGAACCCTTTAACAAATAAAAAGGCCTCCCACACTCACCATTCCAACAAAAAGGGGAATTAATTTTATTAATTAAAAACAGGGAATGGTTTCATGGCAATGATCAGGGCCCCGACCTTAACGCCTCTGATGGTGGCCTACACCGACTCCGAGGGTCACTGAGCTGTGACGCGAGCGAGGAGCGGGCCCACGTCGAACTTTTCTCTGACTGCCGTTAGGATGCTAGCTGCATTGCCTCTCTGCACAGCCAAACCCAACCTTTGCTCCAACCATAGAGTCGCTCTACGTTCGCCGGACAATTCCGCAATGCGACGGCCAATCAGTGATATTAAAGGACCAGTCGTTTCACCATATGTGCCCGAGCGACGCAGCTCGAAACCATTACGATCAATATAATTAACTTTAGTTCGTTGTCGTGCGTTTCTTTCAAACCCCCCACTCGTTTGCGTTTTCAAGAGAAAATGGTTGGAAAAATGATCGCCTATTGGTGGTATCGCTTAACTCGAAAATGGTTGGAAAAATGATCGCCCATTGGTGGTATCGCTCAACTCGAAAATGGGGCAAAAATGATTGCTTAATGATCGTACAGCTTAACTCAAAAATGGTGGGAAAATGATTGCATAATGGTGGTATCGCTTTAACTTATCGCTAATAATTGACATTGCAGTTCACGAAGATCCGTCCTATTTATTTACTTGTCCAACTGAGAGCTTTGGTGTGTGCACAGGCGTGATTATAATACAGTACACGTCATATAAACTATTATTTTGATGTGTTTATTATTATCTATTTTCCATGCTTAATTGCACGGGTTTCATTAGCAATAAATGTGTTGGTTAAAGAAAGACTATCATTTATCCCTTCAATACCCGCCAAATCTGGGAACTTCGGTAGACAATTATTTTTCTGAAAATATTATGAGATTATTGGCTTAGAGCGATCTGCGGATTACCATGCACAAGTTGTACGATAATAGTAAGGCGAATTGTGAGAACTCTTACTTATTTTATTAATTTTTTTTTTCAAAAATAAAAATACTATAAATTTTTTTAAAAACAAAATTCTTAAAAAAAAAAAACGTATAATTTTTTATTCAAAAACCTGAGACGGATTTTAGTGTCTGATATCTTCATGAACCATTCAGTGGTTCGTCAAATAGCTTCTCTGACTCCTAAAATATTTCATAACCTACGCGATCCTGAACCTAGAAAATAGATTCATATAAATAACAAAAATCATGGTTTATTATTTTTAACTCGAAAATTGAGCGGGAATGCACCTAAGTGAAGCTTAAATCTCAATAAAAGAATATATATTAGAAATAAAATGACAGTGTATTTTTATTCTAATATTTTTACCTGGTAAATTAAGTGCAGATGCACCTTAGTCTAGCTAAAATTGCAATGAAAAGAGTATTCATCAGAATTTAAATAATTATATNATAATAATAGAATAAATAAAATAACCAGGAGTAGTGCAAAAGATATCATGAATAGAAGTAGCAGAAATGGGTGGATTGATTTCAACTTTCACACTTTTGGCAGAAACTGTACAGTATAAAAAATGTAAATACTTCACACAGACATTTCAACAGAGGGTTACAGAATCTAGGCCTCTTGATGAGGCCCCCACTGATTCTTAATACTACCATGCTTCATTTTGCTACTGACAGCTCAGAGCAGCACAACTGATGAGGAAATAAAAAATTGTTAGAGGAGCTCAATTGCTCCTAACAAAACCCATACATCTTACTGATATTTTTCTAACTACTCCATCATATTGCTGGCATATTGGGCATTCAGAAGAGCTTGATGTATTTTGAGATAGTCTTGGTCAAAATTTGATAAATATTGACCTTAGCAAGTAGTCAAGCGCCTGTCTCTTATACACATCTAGATGTGTATAAGAGACAGAAAGAAAGTGTACCCGGCTTTTCTAGACATAGAAAGAGCGTATGACCGGGTGGATAGAGAACTTCTGTGTCAAACACTGGGAAAAATTGGAATGTGTGAAAAATGTGTCAGGCATGTCAGAAGTTTGAATGTGAATATTAGAGCTAAATATAGACTTGGGAATGTATTTAGTTTTTAGTTTTTTACTTTCAGTTTTTAGTTTTAATTGTTGAGACGGACTGCATGGGTGAGGAGCAGGAGGGGCGTACGACAAGCCGGTACACTGTCTCCGCTTCTTTTTAACCTCTACACAGAAGAGATGGCTACGAGGGTGAGGAGAATGGATGGATGTTGGTGTGCATGTGGGCGGCGAAAGGTTAAGAATGCTTCTGTATGCTGATGATGCTGCCATTGTGAGTGAAAATAGCGAAGAACTACAAAGTATGCTGGACTGTGTGACTGAGTATGGAAGTGACTTCAATGTGCGATTCAGAGCGGAGAAGAGCCAAGTATATATTTGTTGTGAATGGATCGGTTGAGGACATAAGCAGAGTGTGGATGTTGGGAGGGAATGAGATTGTTAGGGTAAATGAGAATAGGTACTTAGGGATGTGTGTGGACCAGGAGGGATGGATGTCAGAGAACCAAGGCCGCGAATTTCAGTAAGGCGAATCAATGGATGAGTATACTTGGAAGTGCAGCAGAAGTGAGAGCGAGTAAGTATGAAGTATTTAGGTAAGTGAGGAAGAGTGTGGCAGTACCTAGTATTATGTATGGATTGGATGCGATAACATATAGTTATGGTGAGCTAGATAAACTGGAATTGGAACAGCACAGAGTGGCGATATTAGCACTACGAGCCCCCAGGCGGACTGCGGTGGAAGCCCTGAGAGGGGACATGTGATGAACTTTTAATTTTTTGACTATGGTAAAAGCGTGTATGACCCATTACGCGTCTATGACCGATTTAAAGATCGTAACCGGAGGTCAACACGCTCCCAATTCCAGCACGAAGAAGAATTCCATGAAATGGTAGCCATGTACTTGAAATTGACTGCCGGTGGTAATGGATCAGTTGCCCAGCAGGAGGCGCCGCGCCTTGCAGTCCTCCCATTCACTGCAGCGTCGCCGGGGAAGTGAGTTACATAAAAAATTGTTAAATCTTTCTGTCTTATGAAATTATACTGACTAGCATATTGTTAATTATTATTATTAAATTATATAATATATTTATTATTATATTATAATTACATTTATAAATTAAAAGTATAACATAACTTAGTTCGATGATTTCTATTGCTGCCAGCAGGCAATCTGTCAGACCCCGACACGCTGCTGCACGCACTGGCCTGCACCTAACGTCAGGCCTAAGACCAATCGCAGCAAATACATATTAAGTGTTTGATAGATAATTGCACATTCCAGAGCAATAATAAATATAATTACAATGAACATGTCGAATGTCATCACAAAAAAAAAGTATATTTCAGCGAATGCTACGACTTTAACCGATTTAGGCGGCCAGATGCAGCAGAGAAAATAGTGGCGATGGAAGCAGAGCTGCTAGAAACGCAAATACGGTAAGAATTTTGTAAAGTTTATA